CTACTATTGAAATATGATTTTAAGTGAACTAGAAAGAGGTTTTATATTGTTCAATAAAAAGTTTAATAAATTATAGCTGTTAATGCTAGCTTGGATACTACTTTAATTATAGTAGATTCAGAAAGAAACATTCAACCAAGCTTTTTTACATCATAATTTTCATGATGAGGTTTGATGATAATACTAGTCATTCTTTTAATAATAGAAGACATAATATTTATCCTTAAGTTTATTCTGTCTCATTGGTAAGTTAATTTATATCTTAGTAGTTTTTTAATTCCTGATTATTAATTAATTCTCTAAAAAACTCTGCAGCTTTGAAGAAAAATATTCTTAGCCAATTATTTTATTTCAGTTCCTTTTAACTAAATATCATTTTCCATGTCTGATCTTTGTTTAAAATTATCTATAGAAAGAAATTGAATTTACAAAAAGCTAAAAATAATAATCATACTCTTTCTCCAATATCTAATCTAGAATATTCAAGTTAAATTCTAGTATTCCAACGAAATACCATTTTCAAGATTATACCAAGCTATCACATCTTATTTCTCAACTCTTGAAATAAACCTGTAACCTCTTTATTACCTTGTGTTATCGCAAGCAATAAGAAACAAAGAAAAGAAGGAGAGGAAGAGTTTTTAAAGTTTATGTCATCGGATTTAACTTCAAGTATCTTGAATACAGTCTTGGATAAAGCTTCCTGAAGGTACAAACTGTAATGTCTGCAAGTCCCCACCAATGATCCTGAATCTCTCTATAAGTGCGTCATGTCACGCGCAATAAATACTAGCCGCTGGAATTCTGAATCTTGATAATCGTCAGCGATACCAAAGCATAATCGTGCCAAGAGAGTCGACCAGTTCTGGCTATCTCAACAAATCGAAACTCCATGGTCATATACAGTAATGCTATCCAACTTATCTTACCATCTCATTCATTTTTTACAGCAACAACTTGACCCTATGTCGATTGCCCCGTATAAGAAGAGTTCAAGAAGATGTTTACTGGGGTTGATTTGGGCCTTAGTAGTCTTGTGGTGGCTGCTATCGAATCCTACTGGCCTGCTAAGTCCCAAGTTGCCTCTGGTACCTTCATCAACATCATCAGATATGATGAATTCCAAATTTTAAATAAGAAACATCATTTCTTCTTTTTAATCTATCAATGATAGTTATCAAGATAAAGTTGGAATCTTATGTAAGACTGAACTAATATATTATGCAACAAGTAGATAAAATGAAGAATTCTTACATACTTAAAGTTGCAATACGAGGTATAGTTTATGTTGAATTTGAACAAAAACAAGGTCGAACAACCACATGAGTTTTCATGTAAGCACTGAAGAGTGTTGTAACCTCCAAAGGGGTAATAGTTTGTTTCTTTTGTTCACATTTAATTCTCAGAATTTTATGCAGAACCTGTTGAGAAAGTACGATTTAGAAGAATTGAAATAAAAAATTGGAACTTGATCTTCATAATATATTTTAATTCATTCTCATCAGATGTAATAGCTCATCTTGAAAAATCTATCGAGTTAATGTTGCATAAATAAAGCAACTTTAATCATGATATATTTAACTGGTCAAATAAAGATTGAACAAAAAAAATAATTTATTATTATAAATCAATGCCGAAGATAAGTTATTTTAAAACAATAAAGGAAACAATACTCTAGCAAGCTAATATAGTAATGATTATATTTTTGTTTGTTCGTGGGAATGATCGTGTTTAGTTCACAGAATTTCCATTGTACTTAATGGTTTTAGTCTCCATTCTCTTAATCCTAATCTCGCATATCTATAATCAAATTATCATAAATACTAAATATCCAATTACTTTGGCAAAAGAACCCTACTGTGCAAACAATGTCGAGAACACTAGACAATTCCACGTGCATCTAAGGAAATACTAGGAATACAGTGAAACAGTGGACTATTCTAAAGGTGAACTAAAAGGTCCTGCGAGTTCAACGCCAGTAGTTCAAGTCTTGGAGACCGAAGAAGCCGTAAAAGGACAGCTGAATTTAAATGGAATGAAAAACGCAAACGAGTTTTGTGTGATCACATATGCAAGCGCATCTGGTTTTCTTATAACATCAAAGACTATTATAAGAAAAATGGCTGAATTAAAGTATATTTAAATTTATTCGTATAAAATTTATTCATCAATTAGATTGAAGGAACAATAATAAATAAATAAACGAAAAGATAATATGTTATTTTAATCGACTATAATTCGAGTAGCTATGAGAGTTATAAAAGTAACTTGTGCTCGGGACAATTACGAGGCGTCGTTAACGAGCAGCAAAAAGTGAGTGCGACGATAAGCGTGAAAGAGGATAACGTCTTTGAAACTTTTTCTCTTTTTTCCTCCTTCTTTCAACCTTTCGAACTTCTTCTTCTCTCATTAAACTGCCGCACCACTTTGGATAAATAATTAGCAATTAAGAATACCATCATGAGATAATTTATCTTGAAATTTATTACATTTTCCGCTATGTCTTTGATTACAGCTTTATTTCGATCATCTGGATAGAAAAAATCAAGAATAAACAGCACACACCAGGATATCAAATACAAATAAACCTACAAGAATTAACTTATTTCATCATATTTTTATATTTTATATTGATCTAATATTTTCATAAGACCTGATTTAATCAACTCCATTTAATATTTTTTATTTTTATCAGCAAATTTTTTTGAAAAAATCTCCAACTTGAAGTCGATGATAAATATTTTATTTAGTTGAAGAAAAATATATATAAATTTTAATATAATTGAAACAAAACAAAAGCTTTTAATGAAGATGAAATTTATATTTAATTAAATTATTCGATAAAAACAGCATTTTTTTCTGATTGATATTTCAAGAATCTCTTTAAGAGAATTCATTTAATGATCAAGAAAAGTGCTTCTACCACTGATTAACTTATAATAACTTTTCTTTCTCAAATATTTTTACATCTTCTTATTTATTTTCATCATTCTATTATTTTTTTCTCATTAAAAACCACTTTTTTTATAAAATCCTTTTAAAAAAGTATAATTTCCTGATCAATTAGATTTCAGCTTTAAAAAAAATCATCAAATAACAGCTTCTTCGTCCTTTTAACTCACTGTTTTTCTCAAGTACCGATTAATAACTCATCTACAAAATGCCTCCTTTATCACTAAGTAATACTCATTAAGTTCCCCACTATATCATCGATTACAACTTTATTTCCATACAGCAAGCAAGAAATATCGAATAATGCTCATAATACAGAGAATGCTACATAGAACATGAGCAGAAAAAGAAGAAGAATGGTGGGTTATGAAGTCAAGGAGATCAAATCCTCCATGAAATTCGCGAGTCATCGCCAATGCAATTTGGTTTAATTGAGTTCCCTGGGTCTATTCCGTACTCCTTTCTCCTCTTCACTTCTTTTACCTTGTTTCCATCTTATCTGTGATGCATCGATTATATGCAACACACGGAGCGTGGTACAGACATGGCTACTATCGCACTAAACAGTAATTCATCGGTATTAATCTGCCGAGCACAGACGTTCCAACTCGGCAAAGGCAATTATGAAATAGACATTATAATGCAAAAAAAATTAAAAAATAAAAAACATACTCGATAGTCTATTACACTATACTCTGTACTTTTTCTATCTCCTTTCTTGCCTCGCCCTGCTGGGATATCAAATAATAACAACTATTAATCGATTCAAGGAAACGTTCCACTTATTTTCATAGAAACTCATACCTTCATTATTTTTATCACTTAAATTAACAAATTATTAGACAATTAGATAAACATCACGATTCTGCTTATTTCAGTCTAATGGTCTGTTTTAATATTAATTCATTATTTATCATGACAGTTTTGTTTTATAAGTAAATGCCATTGCATACCATTCTGGCAAAGAAAATTATTTTCCATATGATACTGAGTGCATTTTTATGTTTACAAGACACTTGTGTGATTATTGCAGTTATGTAAATTATTCGTTGGGGCAAAAGTGGGGTTTCTATGCGGCATGTGCCTTGATAAATGATAAAACGCAATGCCCTTAGAAATCCCAAAAGTGTCCAACGTTCTTCATCATCATCAACATCATAATTGGAGTCATTGAAAATTATTGATACAAAAGGAAGATGATAATCTTGTTATGGAAGTGAATAAAAAATAATTTTATCGCTTTAATTATCTTTCAATCTTTTAGGGAGTGTCTACTTATTGACCTGATTATCCTAGATAATCTGACAAGTTAGTTTGAGCTGGTATTCAAAATTCTTATAATAGAACTAGAACAAATACAAAAGTTCCTGATTGTGATGATTTCAACAATAGATAATGTTAATGATATTGATGATGTTTTGATCAATTTAATCAGTTATTTGTCAACATGGTCAAATCGATTGTCTTTAAAACATTAGAAGCAATATTTTTGCTCAGAGAAAGTAAATCAATTTATTTAGCATTTTTTATTTCTTATATTAGTTTAGATTAAATCTAGTAGCATGACTCATTTATTAAATCATATTCAAGTATGGGGTTTGTTTATAACTGATAACACATGTAAGATATAAATAAAGATTTTTCTTGATGTGCTAGTAATGATAAAATTCATACATAATAATATTCTGATAGAAATCTATTTAGTTCAATAAAACAACTATTTAGTTTAGCTTTGTTTCAGAGCTTAAAAAAAAAAATTAAAACTCTCAAAGTCCATTACAAACACCTCTATTTTATGTTTCTATTATTTAATATCAATTAATGAATAGGAAGATTCAATCAACTTACATATCTTAATCATAAAAATATTGAGAAATAATTTCCAACATAAAAAGTATGAAGGTAATGATTCAAAGATCAAATAAACTTGATAAACATTCAGGAGTAATTACAAGTATTACTATAAATTACTGCACTATAGTATTACTTACATGCTAAATATACCTTTAAAATTATTTAAGACTGTTATAATACATAAAATGACTTACCAATGTTGTATATTTCTCCATACCATATGCCAGAAATGACTCTGCTGGGTTTTCAAGCAAAGAAGTATCAAAAGGATCCATGATGAAAATCGCGTGCAGGTAGTTGTTGTTTTCTAACACCACTCGACATATTTAAAATAAATAATGTAATATCAGTTAAAACATCTTCGAAATAATAAATAAATTATTTATATTCTATAATAATTATCCACTTAGAGACATTAAAATTAACGAGCCGACAGTTTCAATTAAACTGACGACCTGTGTTTATATTATACTTCAACTCATTTAGTAGAATTTACATGATTAGAACGTAAATAAAGTACTTAAAGGTGTGTATTAAAATTTAATCTATTTATTTTCTCTTTTAATTAAGTGTAGAACAATTTTAAATTAACTAAATGTGAGAAAATACATTTACGTTTTTAATTTATTCATTAGTGAAAACATTCCATCATTTTGTTTTTTTTTTATTTATCTTACTAATAATTAGTGTTTATTAATTTACAGTGATTAATAAACAATAATCCTTATAATTGATAGTTCAATATTTCCATATGTATGATCTATTCCCAGGAATTCTCTGGAAAAATCTTCTTCTGTTTAGTCTCCACATCACTGCACTCATTTCCAGGTCCTTTATTATATTTTCTTTTACGCTTACCTGCACAAAAAAAATAATGAACTGGTTTACGAACAATACCGTACTTTTCGATTTTTTTCAATGTTTTATGTCAACCTTTACATGTAACATGACATTTATTTCAGAGTCTTAATCATTGCATTTGTTCCTATGGATTTATTTAATATCATACTACTTGATGATTTAAAAATAAAAATAATGTATAATATTAGTAAAAAAAGTCACATGTAAAATATACAATATTTTACAATGCTGTAATTAATTACCTTAAAAAATAAAAATTATTCTTAACTGCCCAAGCTTAAGTTATACAAACTATTATTAAATAATCCTCCTTATTCATGAATATGGAATAAAAATGTCTAGGAAAACATTAGTCCATTATGAATTGATAGACATGAAGGAAATAATAATATTTTACACAATAAAAGCCACAAACATTAAAGAAAAGAAGAAGAAGACAAGTCGTTGATTAGCACATTTTACAATTTTATTCAGTCAAATCTTTAAGTTTCAAAAAATCTTTAAATATATGTTCAAAACGTTACGCCAACGTTTGATCATTATTTGATACCAATAATTCATCTTAATAAAACTACAGGCCTATAAAAAATGTCAAAAAGTGCTATTTTAATTAAATAAATAAAGATTTAGAATTTAAATAAATGAATTAATTGAGTAATTTATATAAGTAAATCTGGATTTGACACTTGTTATTGGCTTGTATGTTAAAATAAATAAATAGAAAGATACAACAATTTCATTTGATTCTATTCGAAAGATAAATATTAAAAACTATTGCATTAAATTTCGCATTGAATGGTATTTATAAAAGCATTTAAAAAATATTATCTGACACTGAGGAAAGTCTGTAATTGAAACAAATCAATTGCAATAATGATTTCCGCGATAATAAACTGTAAAAACATGCTTGTAGATACATGACAATATTTAAATATGTAGTATGTAAAGTTATTTTTAAGAATAAAATAAATATATCAGTTCTTCGTAAGGATAAAATGCATTAAATATAAATATTTCATTTAAATGAAATGTAAATGTTATATAACAGCTCAAAAGTCTCAAGTATTTTAAATAATACCCCACCTACTTAAATAGTTGAGTGTAATTGTTACAAATAATTACTATCGTTAAGTGGAAAAGTGTTTATAGAAAACAAGACAAGCGTACAAATACCCACTCCAAGTTGTGGCAAATGACATGGCAAAGTGGCAAAAGTTGTCCTGCGTTCGTTGTCGTCTTAGGATCTCTGTCTATCACGACTTCTAATCACTGCAATTAATCGAGGCCCCTTCGCCACCTAGCGAAAGTTAAAGAGTAACAGAGAGAACGATCTCTTTCGAGTAGGCACTGAATATAACAGAATAAACAGCCGTCGTTTTCTTAATTAACCTCACTCTTACTCGCACTTAATTATCCTCTTTAACTTTATTACTTTTTACTCAAGACCAGATGACGTGTCCACACATCCACTAAACCCTCAGCTTTCAACTTAAATAAAACTACCAAGTGAGATACATGAAAATGACATGCATTCTATCCTTTCATTATTTTCCTTGTTAATATCCTACAATTTTTTTTTAATTACATTTTACATTTTATTTTATTATTCAATTAATCATCATTACAAGGAAAAACCACCACCAAAAAATATATATATATATATATAAATAAATATATACATAAATATTCAAGGCAAGTTGATTTAAAAATATGATAGATTAATTTTATTTTATTTATTATGACTAATGAGATTAGAAAAGTTATCAAGAGTTGACAAGACATCAAGGAAGAACAATCAACTATTGATATAAAGTTAAACCACTTTGACTTAAAATAATAAAACTTTATGTTACTGAGTCAACTCAAGTTTCTGTCTATGAAATAATATCACAAATTAATATCCACATTATTGTAAAAAAACATTGATTAGAAATAACATAAAAACACATAAGATAAAAACGATTTTGCTAACTAGTGCAATTAAACAACATGTGTTCCGCTTAATATAACAAATTAGATAAAAATCAAGTCACAAAAATTTCCAATAAATTCAATGAATTCAATTAGCATAAATATGTATGAATCACATATTAACATTAATTAACCATGAAAGCATATTCATGATATTAATTCCTTTCATTCTGGCTGAATTATTTTAATAAAGTTGTTTAAGAATTTAAAAAAAAGCACCTTTAAATACCACTCAACCTCATGACTATCAATTACATTAAGATGATTCTTTACCAAAGTCACGTAAAAAAATACCCTCCAATACCTAAGAGAACAAGAATAACTGCAAGAATGAGTATAATAACAAATAAATGATGTTCAACTGTTTCATCATTAGATGTAGACATATTATTTCTTTTTGCAACTTTCTGATGTTTATATTTTTTACCAACTACCTGTGGTCTACGTCGTTTATCTTGAAAATAATTCTTGTATAGTCCAGATTGTTTACCTGATGCAATTTTCCATCCATCACCATCTTGTTTGTTATCATCTCCATCATCATTATTACCATCATCATCATCATCATCATCATCATCATCATCATCATCATCATTATCATTATTAGCGGCAGCAGTAGACACTAGGTGGTTTACTTTGTATCTGGAGTTTCTGTAACACATAATAAAAATAATTAGCATGATTTCTTGATCATGGATTTCCGGATCCTCGTAAATCTTTCGTTGGCATTAGGTGCCCACGGGTCAGCAACTTAACAAGCTGGTCCAACAACCATGGACCATGTTGTCCGTTTAAGATTACACGTAAAAATCATAGCGTGCTCCCCCATCGTACTTCACCATTCACATCGAAAGTCTCATGGCCGAGGCGAGATTTATTCAAGGCACCAGGCCCTGACGTGTTTTGTACGGAAATGTTACAGCACCAACAGCAACCTGAATGTGCAGGAGGCTTATGAATATTCAAGAGCCACCGCCCGGGATTCGCACGCATGCACCACGCACTAGAATATGCCGCCACGCATGAACACCGACCATAGCGAAGCTACAACTCGATCTCCATGAGTGATCGTTACAAGAGAAATTGAATTTCCGCTTCTCAAACCCCTGACCGCCTTCAAACAGAACATCGAGTCTGTCCGACAACTAAACAACTAATAAAAATACTGAATAAATTAATGAAAGGTAATCATTAATTTCATTTAATCCTATCTAAATGATTCACGTAATAAAATCATTCAAGAAGAAATTTATATCCCCAGGCTGAATACGAACGTAAACCAAATCCCCATGTAAAGAAAAATGTTATTTAGATATGTAAAGAATTTATCCAGTTGATTTTTCAATATTTTTGTGACTTGGAAATATCTTTCTAATGTATTAGGTAATTCATTTCATATGAATGTTCATATCTGACTGGTCAATTTTTCCGGATTAATTCAAGCCCTGATGGTGCAATCACGATTTCGATTAACAGCTAAGAGGACATTTAATGAAACCATGATCAGCTTCTATCGGCTGATAAATCAATTTATTAATATTCCACCAAGTTTTGTAATACTATAGGATTATAATTATAGAAATAATGGCTTCAATATTATTTTTCATTGTTTTGCATGTAAGAAGAAACTTGGGCATTATTTATGCAATGAGTAAGTCAAATATTGGACTTACATTGTAGTAAGACTAAGAAAAGAACGAGTTGAACGGTGCTCTGACCCCCTCGGGGATTTAACCTAGAACTTTTCGCCTATAGTGTTGTTTGGAGATATTATCAAGTAACTCAAGAACGATTTAATGAATTTTGTTAGAAATTTTATCAGTATAAAAAGTTGGTAAATTATTTATCGACTCCTTTAATCGTAAAAATTGGGAGAATTATTTTTAATGTTCAAAAAAATCTAGAGAAAACTGTTGTTTCTTATTAGATTCTAAAAACTTAGATGTGTAATGTTAATCTCATCATTTCTCTTATTTAAGTTCCCATGAAATACAGCTTCACATCACATAACTAACACCAAGTTTATGTATGAACATAAACATGACAATGAAATACTTGTAAGTAATTTTTTCTCAACCTATTCTAATCCAGTTTATGTTTCTATCAAGCTGCCCTCATATTTAAAAATGCAATGATGTTTATTTGTTACTTTATAACGGTAAACTTTTAAACTGACTGACCTGAAATTTAGCATACAGAAAGTTTATTTGATAGGTCAAGATATAAGTTATACAGTGTACCAATTTTCTCATTCGTTTTCCAGATAATCATAAATTATGAAAATAATTATGTGGGAGTTGGTTTCTTCTTTCATAACTTAGTCGAGAAACTGAGAACAAATCAAATTTATTGATGATTTAAAAAGTAAATCAAACATAGCTATTAATCAATTTAGAATTCATATTTAAACCTTTTGTTGAAAACAATATTATTCATTAAAAGTTACTAGAATGATTTATTAAATAAAAAGGTTATTGTAACATCTTTATAGACCATAAGCCACCAGACCAATTTACTTAATAAACATGAAAATAAAAAATAGAATTATGTTGACATAATCTTATTATGAGCTTAAAATTAGCTGTCAAACTAATATATAACACGTCAGAAATTCAAAAAATTCAGACGTTATGTAGACTTATTTCCCTTTTCCGGTTTATTACAGATAATTTATTTTCATCTTTTTTCCAAAACATTTTCATCTTTGCATGCAAGACATGAGTGCGAATGTGAACAGTAAATTAGCGAGTTTTTCTCAACATGCTCAAGTGGAACGCGAAGCGAATGGAGTAGGTGGAAACGATGAGAGGCAGAAAAGCTATGCGGCAGCTTGGAAGCCAGAGAATAAGCAAGCTGCAACGAGTATAGCCAGAAGCTATCCACGGTGCCAACATTTATTTCTCGTCACTCTAATCTTCCTCTCTTTTCTTTCTACCCTATTATTCATTCACAATCAGTTCTGGGTTCAACTTCTTATCCTTTTTTTGTCTATAAACTTTTTTCAATTACTGTTTATTTCATAATCTAATTCTTTTAACAGAGGAAACATCATGTCACTGTTTTCAAAAAATTAATGATAAAGTACTGAGAAGCTCAATGGAATGTAAACATTGCGTATTTATTATCATATTAGTCATTGTCTCACAGTGCAACCGATGATGATAATTTATGGATTAATCATTACTTATCATTTCAAATGATTATAATAATTTTTTCAACTGTCATAATACCTGTGAAAAAATTAATTATAAATTATAAGAATTGATTTAAATGAAAAAATCATACTATTTCAGTTATATAATTTGAACCAAAATAACAATAAAATAAATTCAATTTTTAAAAACAGTGCAAGTCATTCAGCTGTCTTCTACAGTGATGCATAAATTTTATAGTTGACATCAAATTTTCACTGTTTTAATTTTAGAGAGTTGACTAATGGGAGGTCTCAACACTTGGAAGTCGGAAGAAGAAAGTTCCGTTAAAGAAATAAAAATGCATGGCGTTCAAATTTATTCGTGTACTTGATTCTAATGAGTCTTGACCTCGCATTGCGAATGCAATCAGTGTCTTTGTGAGAGTCCAGTCACTGCAGTTGTCTTGCTGATGTCTAGGCGTTACTTTCTGTTAACGAGTAAGCACGTGGCTTGTGTCTTTCTTATGATTAGACAGAACAGATGATGTTCTCCAAGTTTCCCTAGTACTCACATACAAAAGTACCAGTTGAAATAAAGAAGAAGAAATTTAGAAATGATGCTGAGAAGCTTGGAGTCACATACAGTTAATGAGGCGCCTACGTAATCTTCTAATTATAACTTGGAAAAATGTGTTGCTAATCCTTTCTCTGTTATTGTTATTGCCTTCACTTCAATGGAGATCCTAATGTCCACTATACTCTGGTAATACTTCCTGTATTTATGCTAAGACTAGTTTATCTTTATCTATAAATAAAGTTTAATGCTGCTGATGAATTTGCTATTGTTTTATCAATCAAATGACTCATTTAACATGATTAGTAAAATAAAAATTTTCCATGGAAATGAACTGAAACAAACTGAAAAGTAAGAATATTAGAATAAATCAAGATATCTACATGAGAAAAGTCAATAAGTAGCTAAAGAGAAATAAAATAATATTTGTTCCAAGATGTAAATTAAAAATTTAAAAACAAAAATGACTTATTCCATGCAATCTATAGCCTAGAAGGTGTAATCTTACTTAATTTTTTCAAACAAAAATTAAAGAGGATTAAAATAATAAACGCGAAAATAAAAAGAAAATACCATAAATTTTTGAAATGGTATGCAGCATGGATTTTTTCTATTATCTATAAATAATGTGTCCATTGGCTTTCAATGATAAAAGGAAACACGCCCCTTGTCGCAGGAAGACCCTACTGAGTGTCTACCCGTATCTCATGTAAAATAGCCGGATAGAGATAAAATATCGAAGCAAGAGAGAGAGAGAGAGAGAAAGAGAAAGGAAAAATATTCGAAGCGTGTAGAACTCATTACGCGCAATCCCGAGGGCGTAGCCGAGATGCGGCTGCAGCAGGAGCACCAACAGCTGCATGTGTTTTACCCTCTCTTTCTTTAGTTTCAACTTGATTTGCTGCAATCCACATTATGCATGGAAATCCTTGCCACCGCGCCTTTTGCCTTCGGTATCCCCTTCTTATCGTGTTGCTTAATAACTTCGTAATCATTATTAATCAAAAAAGCTTTTATAAAAATCATTCAGATACATTTAAACTTATGTAACATACGCTCATACATTCAGAGAAGATTTTAAATTCAAACTAGAATTAAGAGATTACTTTCTTTCTAAAAAAATATTAGAGTTTTATTTTATTTATTAGATTATTGCATTATTTATATATTTCAAATATTATTTTAAAATTAATAATTATAATGTCCTAATTTCAACAAATATTTTCATTTATAGATTTATCAGAAACAGTTTGTTCTTTCAGCACAAAATTTATCACCATCAATTGATTTTTGCTGCTCTTGTATCACTGATTATATTTATGATATTACTCATCTGAATTGGAAAAATTAATTACAACCTCCAATCAAAATATTACAGCAATAATATAAGTGAATATCATAATTAGTTTGGTAATTATCACAACCATATCACCATTAAAACTGCTATCTTTTTTTAGTTTATAATTAAATTGTCAATTAAAATTATAGCTCAATTACTTGCTCCAAAATTTACATTTCATAATAAAGATAAATATTTTATATTTAACGATTTATTGTATTTTTTATAATATAAATAAAAGTTTCAGAAGAAGTATTAAAATTATTAATATCAGTTGAAATGTTACTCTGTAAATTATTTATATGAATTTTTTCCTTAATTAAGTATCTTGATAACATAAACATCTTATGATGTTTTGCTTATTTAATAAAAAGAAAAGAAGAATTAATGAACTTTAATTAAAGTTCATTTTTAACAACAAAAATAAGATTTATGAATAAGAGAAGTGAATGAAAAAATGTAGAAGGAAATTTTTAAGTAAAATTCTCTCATGATAATAAACTCGTTAGTTAGGTATCTTGAAATGAAACAAGTTAAGAAACTGCAATGTAAATACTTGTAATTATTGCATGATATAAATCAATTTATGATTAGAAACTATTTTGTAGCATCATGAATGAAACTTGCATAATAATTATGAGGATTGTACCTACGAATTAGCTTAAAGACTCTTAGTTACTCTCTTATGTGAAGGCGTCTTGTGCGTGAGATAACGTTTGGATAACAAATCAGACTCAAGCACACGCAATAAAATTCTGACTACCAGTTCTACGCGGTGTTAACGAGCCTGATAGTCAAACAGACTGGAGATTATCAAGCATTGCTTTAAAGCTCGAGAAATAAATTCACCAATTTTTTGTTTTTTGTTTTTTTTTTTCTTATATAAATCCTCCGAATCGTGCGTGCATTAACATGGAAATAAATCTACTAGGATGTTTCCGCGTGCCTGCAAAAGCTAATAAAAAATATTATGTGACGATGAGAAAGAAATAAAATGTATACGTAAAAAAAAAAATAAAACCGATAAAAATCTATTCAACGGAAGCATTACTCCTCCGTCTTGTTTTCTTTATTTTACTTTGGTTCAGTGATGCATCGGTACCAGCTCGTGATATATGCACTTGGTGGACCTCGAAGAAGTGCTAGAGGGCAAGTCTGGTATTTTCCTCTTGTTGTCGCAATGAAAGGAAGGAATACTGGACTATCAAGTCTCTTTGCTTAACAAGACTTGTACTCCGATCTCCAACTACACTTATATACTTTAATTGAATGTTTCTAATAATATTCATGACGAATGATTTATATTATTTTTCTGTCTTTTTTAAATCAATAACTGAAGGTCAACTTTTGTTTTAATTTAAAAAATTTTAAATAATCAACGAAATATTATTTAAGAAATTATATATTTTTTTCTATCATAAAAAAATATATATATAATAATATTTATAAAAAAAATTAAAATATTTCTTAAAAATTTACATATTTGCTAAAAAACCTGAGTTCAAGTACGTTTAATTAAGCTCTTCAAACAATATTTCTCAATCGATATTGATTAATAAAATCTCAGTATTAACAGAATTGAAATAAACTGTAAAATATTTTATTGCTTGACGTCCTCTAAAAATCTACAAAGCAAATATTTTACTATACATTTCACTGAAAAAAATCTGCATGTAAAAAATCGTGAAAAGAATAAAAATAATTCTCATCTTCTTAAGAAAAAAAAATGAAAAAAATAAAATCATCACGACCACTTAATGAATCAACCAACCATTAAACGTTCTTTATCAGAATATTAATCGATAAAATATATTATAATCATTCTCCAAATGATAATCTCACTAAAGTGAGAAGAGAAAAAAAAGATTGAAGAAAAAAATGATAATACATTGACAACAGGAAGCATCATCTCCACAACTAATTAGAGAACTCTTGTAACGTTAGCTTGAGGATGAAGTATAGAGAGCAAATGGGAATGCTCAAGTTTAACTGAGAGTATTGCCCGGGCGTGTGTCCAATCGCATGTGACTCATAGGTGTACATGCAAGACTCGTCTGCATTTGCATTCCAGTGCTGTGAAGCGCGCCACGCTACGTTATCCAAGGCATGTTGCATTATTCTAATCAAGCTAATACTCGGCGCGCTGTTGGTTTTATTCGCACGTGGGCAACGCGGCTCGTTTGTACCGTAATGAGCCTGATAATTGGGTGTGCCTATATAACATCTGAACTTCACTAGTTCTAGAGTTACCTCTGCTGTATTTTTATCGTTTCCTCGTCAAACTCCTTGATGACAACGGCCTTGCACTTGTTACAGTCTGTCTTTGAAAATTTACAAAAAACAAATCCTTCAACATTATCTAGATTCCTCATTTTCTTTTTAGACTGCTTCTCACTCAAGTTCAATCAATCTTTCTACATCTTTTGAAATCAGTTTAATGAATCTTTCATCAATTTGAATAATTAAGTTTCATAAAAATATTTAATTCGATCTGAATGTTAATTTAATACATGATAAAACTCATTTGTAATTAATGAACTATCTTTTGAAAAATTGTTAAAACACGTCAACATAATTTAACTTGAATTAAAAGCAGTTTAAAAAAGTGATTAAATAATTTTAAATATGAGATTCCTTTGGTTTGTATCAGTTGACAACTTAAAAACAATCTCCATTAGATAATTGTTTTGAAAAAATATATTGCTATCGAAAAGCAATGTCTTCTTGGACTATAAAAGCATAATGATAGACAGAAAGACAGGTAGACATGAAATAAAAATGAAAAACAATGTCAAAATGATAATAAAAATTACAATATATGTAATATAAAAGTAAATGTGTAAGATTAAAGATACTGAGGTGTAAAGTCAGACAGTATATCTGAAGTAAAGATCTAACATAGCGTGTCCATGGGATCGTAAAGTCCAAGTCCAGTGTAGACGGTTCAATTTGTGTAAACCAGAATTGTCTTGGTGGTCGAGCAACATTTAAATTTCATGATGAAATTCAACTCCACAAAGTCTAGTTCTATTCTGACTCTCAATGACTGTTCGTGTATTCTCAAGGAGTATTTGAAGGGTGAGAATGGACTTTCGGCCAAAGAGAATGAGCAGAGTAGTAAAGAAAAGAATGAGGATGATGCAAAGATGTACATCGCATTAAAAACATGTGTAACGAGCCACGCAATGGCCATTAATTCAGACCAGAATCAACGGCTCTATGCAAATAGTAACGTGTACAGGAAACTCGCGAGTACGCTTGAGATTATATACTAAGAATGAGAATGAGAAGAAGCTAAGAAGTAGATAGCGAACTTGAACGAAAGAAAAGAGCATAAAATTATTATAGCATTCCAAGTACGCTTGATAAGGCGATTCTTATTCTTTTACAGTCTGGCCAAAAATAACCGTACCATTTCCACTAGAACGTCATTAATCAGTTACTTTCATTTAGAACTTTATAATATTATTCTAAAATATATCTTTTTACCAATTACTTGTTTTTTTTTTCAATCATCATCACTGTACGATTTTTTTGCACCCATCAACAAAGCAAAAAGCAAAGTAAAAATTATTTGAATGCTCATAAATTTTTAACAAATCATTTTGAATGTAAATTTTTTGTTGGCATAATTTAAAATTACCAAATACTTTTTAAAAAACTTAAAAAATTTTTCAAAATTCCATTGAAAATTTTTTTGCATAGCTATTGACTATTATAAGCATTCAAACTTGTTCAAATGATTTTAGAGATGACTGTACTCAGTCTATATTTGCATTAGTGAGCTATTAAAATGTTAAAGGAATGCCCGATTATTCATGAAATTGATTTTTCATACTGATTGACTTACTCTGACAATTGTTGCTTCCGTTTGCGGTCTCCTCCTTTGTTACCTTCATGCTTATTTTTTTGATTTGATAATTCAAGAGATGCTTGGTATTTTGCATACGTTTGAACTGTCGCTTGTCCTAAAGTACCGGTCTTTTTTATTTTCTTTAAGAGCATCGACGCCTTCTCTTTACACCTTAATCCCGCGTAGGCTGTTGTGTCACTTAACCACGATACGTAGGCACCGCCTGAAAAAAAAATCATTTAAAACTTAATAAGATAATTTGTTGCAGATAAATAAAAAATTATAAATTACTATAAAAACAATTATTATTGATTACCAAATGGTACGAAAACTTGTTGGAGATTATTTAACTTCCAGTCTTTAGGAAATGTTATGTGAAAAACATGATTCCGATCCGGTGTTGCTGAAAAAATAGATTTACTATGTTAATTTTTATCGCAATATTACTTATTCAAAAAAAATTTTTATCCAATAAATGTAAAATTTATCATCTCTCTAATCAAGCATTAAAAAGAATTATTATCAATATTAAAATTAAATAATAATAATAATAATAATAATAATTACGATCATCTCCAACAAGATCAATATGTGGAAAATCTTTTAACTTAACAATCATTAACCTGTAAGAAAAAAAAATGGTCAATAAAAATAATCTTGGGCAATGAAAAAAATATTTCTTATTTTTTCTACTTACTTATTGATGTATGGTTTTATGACAGGAGAATCTGGAAGTATTGTAGATATTTTTGTAGATTCTAATGATCCTAAATAATTTGCCATTGCTATATAACACAGTCCAGTAACATAGGCATCGTAACCAGCTTCATGATAAACTTCAGCTGATACTTTATAGCTCCTGTTCTCGACAGGAATTATTTCAGGTAACGAAAATGGAGGTTGATTAACAGTATCTAACATATAGCACAATATCGATGAAGGTATGAGATCTTTAAGTTGTGATGATTGTGACAAAATTTTCGTATCGATAAGTTTAGGGAATAAATCGTGAATTAAGTCTTTGAAATCTAAATAAGAATCAGGTAATGGACCAAAAAATTGATGAACAATATGGCATAAATCCAGAAGCATGTTGTGTCCGACAATCAATTTTCCCTATTAGATTGATAAAAAAAAAATTATTTAATGATAAAAATGTAAACAATTTAAATGCTCTAAAATTACAAACCGAATCAGCAATTTTTCGGAGCAATGCACTAAGTCCAACAGCTTCTTTTAATTCTTCTTGTTCTTTTTCTCTTCTTTCGGCTTCTTTTTTGAGTTCTTCTTCTCTACTTCCCATTTTATAGACCATAAGAGCTTGCGTCGTCCCATCAACTTTTCCTTCTAATCTAATTTTTCCAGGCCATCTCAATCGCGCTTCTTGACACATTAGTCTTCTGATATAAGCATTACATCTATCTATCATAATTTCATCATCGGAAGAATCAAGAAATTCTTCTATTCTTGAGCTGTAACATGTAATATTACGTCAAGATATGTCTTAAATAAAAAAAAAATTATTACTCTATGTACTCACCAAATATCCTCAATTAAAGGCTTATCATCATCAGATATAAATATAATATCTGCTCCATCTTCTCGAAGCTTTTGTTTCTCTACTAATTTTGTACTCAATTTTTTTTCATCACTACTAGTTAAATAAGGTATTCCTGTCTGGAATAACTTATTAAAGTCAAATCCCTGAGATGCTAGAAAAGCAATCGATGATGCCTGGCACATAAAACGACAATCTGGTGCTGATCTATTAAATGGCTTCGGAAATACATAGAAATTGTATGATCGTTGAGTATACCTATAAAACAAATTCAATAATGTTATTAATAAAACAAAATTCATAAACGATTATTGAAAACTCTTTGTATAATGATATAAAATAAAAATTAATATTAATCTACATATTATATTTCGATTAAAATTTAATTTGAAACACCTCAAATTATATTTTCAAATGTAATCAATACTCCCGGATATTTATAAAACATACTTATCAGTGTCTGTATCATAAGTAAAAACCGAGAGACCAAATTGTACAAGAAGAAAATCCATAGACCCTGATTTTAATTTCTGATAATACTGAGAAGGTGTATCAAAAGGTTTACAATCTGGTCCAGCATTAAGTCCTGTAAATTCTCCGTCAATTGCTAAAAATGTTGAGTTTGTCAAAATTTCATCCAATTCTTCCAGAACTTCCTGGAAATCTGTAAATAGTAAGTTTTTATAACATACAATCATGAATAGTTATTAATAAATTATCTATTGCTGTTAATTAGATAGAAGTTATTGTTAAAATTCTAAGAATGATGACATCATTTTTCCAAATATTAAAGTATGATAACAAAGCTTATAACCTCTATGATTTTATACTTACTAGCCCGCGTTACTTCCATAATATCATTCAAAAATAAAAAATTGTCAATCAAAAGATAGATGTATACTCCATAAACTATAAATAAACTAATTAATTTATACAGTTTTTTGTACAATACATAGGAACAAAGACCGGTATTCAACAAGGAATGTTTAATCCATTATTACACCTACTGCAATTATAAATGAATAATTAATGATAAATGATCTGCGCTCCAAATATAAATCTAAACAATCCCTCTACAGACAAAAATAATGACTAAATTTGAAAGGATTAGAGGCTCTCTCTGATTATTTATTGACAATACATTTTTTAAAACTCACCAATCGATCGGTTAAATAGTTTTCCTGATCAACGTAGTGAATAAAAAATCATCTGTAGGTATTTTACTGACTGTCGATAAAGTATGTATTTGTCAAAAAAAACTGCAACATAAGAAGATCAATAATTTTTTTTCAATTTATTTCTTATAAACAAATTTAAATTTATCGATTTAGAAAGTCATTTTTTTATCAGTAACAAATTAAAACGTTTTTCATAACGAAAAAAAAAAAAGTATTAGGTCCCACCGAGATTTGAACTCGGATCGCTGGATTCAAAGTCCAGAGTGCTAACCATTACACCATGGGACCGGTTGAAAAATAAAGTCACAATTATCGTAGTTACTTTTTCTTTCATTTCAACATTACTTCCTTTATCAAGTTCGCAATTAAAATAAATCATAATGGATTATTTATGGTTATTTGATAATATCTAATGATTGATAAATAAAAATAAAATGTTTTTCAAGTATTAAAATATTATTAAATATAAAGATAATTTTTAATTATTCCATTTATAACATAAATACGAACCTTCAAAAATTTGAGCAACTTTGAAAATTGTTTGAAGCGCGGGATTCAACGATAGATGTTGATTTGACTGCGTCCGGTCGCAACGCCGGATAATGAAGATGGCCGCCATCATGGTCTAACAGTGAGCCTCGTTTTTGTGTAAGGTTGGCTAAATTTATTTTTTAAAAATGTCAGACGTAGTTTATGAATATTTAAGATAACGTATGTGACTGTGAAAGACTATAAAACGTTTTTACAAATGCCAATGTTATTAGAGGTGAGTGTTGCTGACTAACGGCTGAAATTCCCGCTCAAGCAACGACGAAGTGATCTGTGTGTTGAGACCGACACGCGCCCAATCGAGGTCTTACTGTCGTTAAACGTTGGATAATCGTGGAACTTTTGTATCAATCAATACTAAAAGTGTAAATTTTTCAATGGAAATTTTTAAGCATCAAATGTAAATTACTTCACATCAGATGCTCATATTCTTTTCTCTGATTTATGGCTTAACACAGTCATCGCGGGCATTTCGAGGTAAACAATGTGACTGATGGTTTTGATGCCGCATGTTCTTCGTGCCATACATTCTTGGACTTATAATCTATTTAATAATATTTTTGTTTGAAAAAAAACTTTAAAAATATTAACTTCATTATTAATAATACGCTTTGATAATTTATACAACTTTTTTAAATAGAGTTTTAAGATAACTAATTTTATTAATTTCAGATTTTAGCATTTTAATAGTAGACAAAGCTAAAAAGTGATGCCTGCTGTGAGCGTTTGTGATCCGGTCGCGGCAGCACTCCGACACTCTTTAGAGGTCGGTCAAACAAAGTCCTCAGAGGATATTTCAATCGCTTTAACCAGTGGGGTATCCAGAATTTTAGATACAGAAATTCAATATGAAGAAGCTGAAGGATATCAATCAACGGTTTTGGATCATCTTAAAGCAAAATATATTGTACTAAGCCTTCCCAATTCTGATCAGTCTGAAAACGGGAAGGCTAAAGAAACTGGAGTTTGTAGAAAAAAATTAGACAACTCCAAAATGACTGGTCCTACTTTACCCGAGCCAAAAGTCACACTTTATCCAGCACACAAAGTTACCCTAGGATGGAAGGGTACATTTCCAGTTGGTGCTGGTATGTTCAATGTTGGAAATACATGTTACCTCAACAGTACCCTCCAGGCACTCTTTCATGTACCGGCTCTTGTTAATTGGTTATTATCTGACACTCACCACAACACTAAATGTGAACAAAACGGTATGTTTTTGCTTACTTTATCATCTTATAGTAATTATACAAGATTAAAGTGTATACAATATATTAATTTTATATTTTATAAAAGGATTGATCAGAAAACAATCATTGTGTTACTGGTGCAAACTTGATAATTTTCTATTATATTTTTTCACAAGACGTATTAAATTAAAAATATAGATACTTTTAATGAGAATTGTTTCTAGCAGGAGGAGGAGAGTGCCTTACGTGTGCAATGGCAAAAACTCTTCAGTTCAGTCACGAAAAATCTGGAAATGCAATTAAACCGTTTTATATTTATAACAAACTTAAATGTAAGTATTATTTAAAGTCAAATAATAATTAAAGTCGTTTAATGAAACTATTAATAACTTGTAATTTCAGCGATATGTAGAACAATGGTACCAGGTCAACAAGAAGATGCTCATGAATTTTTACGTTATTTACTTGAGGGTATGGAACGTGCTTATTTATATCGTCATAAAGCAACAAAGTTAGATAATTATTCAAAAGAAACAACCCCAATTAATCAAATATTTGGCGGCTATATTCGCACAGAAGTTAAGTGTCTTCAATGTCGTCACGTTTCGACAACATTTCAACACTTTCAGGATCTTTTAGTAGATATTCGTAAAGCTGGTTCATTAGATGAAGCACTAACAGCTTATTTTAGTCGAGAACAATTGGATAATAATGATTATAAATGTGAAGCATGCAAAAGAAGAGTTCCAGCAACAAAGCAGTTTAGTTTGGAAAGACCACCGAAAGTTCTTTGCGTCCAACTGAAACGCTTTAGTGTTCTGGGAAGTAAAATTTCTCGTCATATAGGTTTTAAACAAAATGTTGACATGGGACCGTATCTTTGGAGAGAACCTGGTGAATCTCCAAGGAAGCTCAATTACAAACTGATGTCAATAGTAACACATATGGGACCATCAGTGAATTGTGGTCATTATACAGCTGTTGCTCAGGTCTCATCAGGTCAATATTACTCATTTGACGACTCGTGTGTCCGCCCGATCAATCTTTCTAGTGTATTGAGTACCAATGCTTACATAATGATCTTCGAGATGGAGCCCCAATCTCAAAATCAACTGCCAAGTCCTCAAGTAACTAAGCTAAATGGACTAACTAGCGTTAAGACACTTTCAAATGGATCGTTAAAACCAGCGAGTCCAAAGCCTTCAACTTCAGGGCTTCTTACCTCAAACGGAGTATGTAATGGTTCATCGAAAAATCATGATACTGATTCTACGCTTATTGGTCCACAATTACCTCGATCTAAATCTCCGAATAGTCCTCAAACAGCCCAGAAGACTTCAGGTTTTATCGGACCTCAACTACCATCTAAAATAATGGAAAAAAGTCAACCTAGGCTTGTCATGCATATAAAAAATAGTAAAGTTTTAAGTGGAAATAGTTTGGTACCTTATGAAGGTTCAAGCGATGAAGAAGAAAATTCATCAAACTCTAAAAATAATGTTAATCTAAATTCTTCCAATTCGACGAAATCAACATCAACAGTACCTAATGGCATTTTAAAATCTTCTAAAGAATCAACAGAAACTACGAAAGCTCCTGTAGTTACAAAGTCAGAAATCAAATCTGTTAAGCCGGTAAATCAAATACAAACTCAAAAATCTCCAAGTCCTAGTCTCACTCAAAATGGATCATCCAATAGTCCAAGTCAAAAACATCAAAATGGAAAGTCAGAAAGCAGTAGTAAATCTGATAGTAAAGAAACTAATGGTAAAGATAAATGGTATTATCCTATTAAAGTAAAAACTAGTAATTCCGAGGATAAAGTTTCTACAAAAGCTACTAGTAGTATGAATGGTTGGGAAGTGTCAAAAGATGTTCCTTCACCAACTTCTGCAGCTACTCCAAATGGATGGTCCGTAACAGACAACAAGTTAGTATTATTGTTACAGATATTTTTTACTGGTATTTTTTGTCCAGAAATCATCATTTATAATCATAAATTTCATTTAACAAATAACTTTAAATTTTATTTTAATAATTGTAAGACTTGTTGAAAGATTTTTGAGAATTTGAAGAACACATAATAATAATAATAATAATAATAATAATAAATTATCAATAAGAAAATCAAGAAAACTAATAAAAACTTTTCGTTCAATTGAACTTTTCTTTCTTTTTTAGGGAAGAGAAAAAATTCAATCACATAAATTCAAGCTCAACACCAAGTGCAGCAGCACCACGTAATTTCAATGGAACAAATCGCTCTGACACGGTGTCGCAACTTTTCAAGATGTCTCATCGAGGCTATGGAACGTCTTCGGGTCAGTACAGCAACAAAATGATGAAGCCAAGTGTTATAACAACTTCTACCACCATTACTACTTCTACTAACATTAATGTTGCGCCTACTACTACACTTTCCTCAAAATCCATCTCCTTCTCAAGACAATTTAATCCAAGAGAGCGTGGGATCTGCTCTAAAATTATTAGCGCCTCTTCACAAAGATGTAATGCTTGTCGTAAACTGGCTGCCCATAAATCAGGAATCAGTATCAGGATTTAATCTAAGCCTTTAAATCAAAAGCATGCAAGTTCCACGCTGAAGAGACAGGTCTCAGGCGTTTGGATTTCCTAATAAAAATATCTTAAACCTTTAATTAAAAAATCGATTTGCTTTTTGGTGCTGGATGTTTATGATAACGGTCTTCCGTCTTTATCTCAAAATATATAGTATACTATATTGCTTTTGTATGCGACTAGAGTGTTTATTTCACAATGATAATATCTATTGATTGATATTTAAAAATTTATTAATATTAACTCTAAAACAAAAGTTATGTTGCTCTTTTTGAATACTCGTAATTCTTGAACTTATTCGATCAACTTTTTATTAAAAAAAACATTCTTTTCTATCCTTTTAATTTTATAATCTATCTTGAAAAATATAAAATGTTTGATATTATTTTTACATTTTATTAATTAATTTTAATTCAATAACTCTTGGAATATTACACAATTCATTTTTAATGCTTTAATATAACGAGCTGTTCATTAGTTATGAGTGTTCAAAATTAAAATATTTTCAGTTCAAATGTATTTGAATAAAAATTATAGCGATAAAAACCACTGCTTTCGTGTGAATGTTTAGAGTGTTTTCTCTATTAAAACATGCAAAAATTGACTAAATATTTTATTGTGCATTCATGTAAAGGACCTAAAAACCATTCATTTTTTTATTTTTATTTTTTTCTTATCTTTTTCAACAGTTACTAACTGGAATGGAAGCAGAGCACACCTGGATCGTGAGGTAGATGATGAAAGAAGGAAGGAACGTAAACGTCACTTTAATCCTGAAGATGAAGAAATGGATCGAGGTAGAATAAAGAAAATTAAAAATCATCGAAACTACGGAGGACGTTCAAATCCTGGATATAATTCCTTCCAGGAATATCAAAATGGAAAATCTTGGAGTCGATCTAGAGGAAAACATCATCGACGATACGATAATACGAGCAACGGCCGATCACGTCATTTAAATTATAAACAATACCGATACTACAATCATCGTGATGATTGGTATCATAGGTAGGAAGTAATAGTAAATAAACGAAAAAAAAATTCAACAAAATGAAGATTAAATGGCCACGAGGCGTTAAGCAATATTGTTGCTAATAATTATAATACAAGCAAATTTTCGTTGCATTTTTTCAAGCATTAGATATACTTCTAGTGATTAAAAACAACTAATGAGAGAGAATAAGATAATAGGGGAAAGAGTTCCATATGTTATTAATGTTATTGATAATTATTAATTACCAATTTTTACTATTACAATTATTATTACAAATTATTATTATTATTATTATTATTAATATTAATATTGTGGTTATGCTTATTATAGTAGTTACTATTACTCTTTACATATAATAATTATTTTTTCTTTTATCTGCGGTTATTTTTTTAATGTATTTATGTATAAGCATAATTTTCCTCCGTCATAATTATATATATACATATATTTATTGGTTTACTTTTTCAATTAAAAACACTTGATATGTAATACATATTCAATAAAATTCCAATATCGAAGTTTTTATATTTTACGCGATGATGAACGTCGATTTCCGTCCTTCGTTCAATCCTTTTTCCTCAATTACAAAACTAATGATATGGAAACTCATTCCCCTTAATCAATCAATATACATATATATATATATAAATAATTAAATTCTTATACACAAGAACTGAGCTAATCGCATAGAAAAATTTAATTTCACTAGAAAATATTTAACATAATTGTTATTTTTTCATTAAGAATAATAGTATAAATTATCATTAACATGATGAAATTTTAAAATATTTTTTGCCTTTTTTGTGAACAACTGTTACGCGAACATACACATATATTTATAAGTTATTTAATTACATATATTGTACACGTAAACAAAAAAGAGTAAAAACATTAAAAAGAGCAAAAAATAATATTCTTAAATATACGGTAATTGTAAATTACAAAAATTATAAGTAGTTATCTAATCTAATTATCAAGTATTTCTATTAAATATCTCGAAATCCACAAAATAATGAGAAAAAAGCGTAATTAAACACACGAGAAAAATGTTATAATTTTTTTTTTTTTTTTTATTTTATTTTAGTTAGTACTAAAATATAAATAAATATTATCATTAATTGAGTAAATTTAGAATATCCTCAAGAGATCGTATACTTGTAAGATTTGTCCTCATATTTCCCATCCTCGCGCCTTTTTACAATCATTTTTAATGCGAGGAATAGTAATAAGAAAGATGATGATATTACCTCGTTTTAATAATAATCATGCAAACAAATACTAGCCAAATAAAAATGTGGAAATAATAAAATATAGAATAACAACTGTAAACAATTAGAAATTATAAGATTTATTAAATGCAAAGTCATCAATTGGTTCGCTGAAGCATCTTATATTTAATGACATTTATACATATATCTGATAATTATTAATTATTTAATGCAAATATTAATTGGCAATTTTTGAATGAAATTAAAAAGAAAGAAATCCGTAAATGAAAATTGACATGAAGGTATTTTTATTTTTCTCTCTTTCCTTTACACATTTATTGTATTCCAATTCACTTTCTTTTGTTTTTTTTTGTTTCGATCTAGTTTATTCTATTCTATAGCTTCTTTGACTTATGATAAAAATGACGGAAGAAGTTGAATATAATCTTGATGATGTGATCATCATTGCTGATCAAGAAAGTCTAATTGAATCATTAATAAAAAACGTAAGTTACTTTTATACACTTTGATTTAAAACTTTTGTAAACGTTTTATCATTTAGTTAGGAATCTTACAAACTGAAGCTCGTCACTGTGTATTAATTGAATCCGAATTTGAGTCAAACTTTTATCACGTTAAAGAAATTACAAGCCATTTATCAAGTAAATTAGAAGCTTTATCTAGAATAGCTGAAAAACTTGATAATGATAGGAAAAATGCAACACTTCAATTTGTCGAAAAAATTCATCGATCTTGGTATCTCATGACCAAAAAGGTATTAAGTTTAAGAATCGCTACAATTTTTCATTTATTCATTCAAATATGTTTTTGTATTTGAATCTAAAATACAATTATCAGCTAATTATATCAGTTACTTAAATTCTTTTAGTTAAGTGAAGAACATGCAGGATTTTTTGTTGCCAGCCGAACAGTTTATGGAGTAGCATTGACAAGACTACTATCAAAAATAAAGAAAGAAGTTTCTGCTATGAATGTATCGTTAAAAATTGGCGAATTGGTTTATGATGAAAGTTATTTAATAAAAGGGTACATGTATTTTAATGAATTGACAAAACTATTAAAGACTCTTGAAGGCTGTGACGAAAAGGTCCAGCAGTATTTGATGGTTTCAAAATTGATTAAACACTTAGAAGAATTGGATTCAATCATAAATCAATTTGCAAATAATATCAATTTGTTATCTTCCAATGGAAATGAATGTAAAGCATTTTTATATGTCTCTCAACTGTTAACTGGTGAACTCCTTGGATGGGATACAATTGATCCGAAAATAGTTTTAAATGAGAATGCTCTTAGGAAGCCAGTATTTATTACAAGAAACAATCGTCGAACACAGTTAAAAAGTTTACGCCATTTACCGCTATTTCATTAATTAGTTTTGAATTGAGTTATTTATATAAATGTGCTTATTCGTTAGTAAATAAGACACTCAAACCTTAGATGATCAATTTTTTATATTTAAAATTCATTAGTTATTCGATTGTTAATTAATAATAAGCCTTTGATAAATTTATAATATGTTACACAATTTAATAGTCTTCAAAATTTACAAATAATTATTATACAAATACCTGCAGTATTATTTTTCTTCTCTTTTCTTTTTTGAATATCTAGAAATATCTTAATGAATGTCATTTTTTAACGAGGACTAGATTTTAAAAAATACCCTCGAGATTCGGGAGCACTGTTGGAGCACCTAGTTTTAGTGTAAGATCACGACGACGCATAAATTCTGGAGGAATGATTTGTGGTTTTTCTGGTGGTCTTGGTTGCGGTAACTCATAATTTGTTGCAACCGGGGCCCATCCTTTTTCATTCAGACATTTATAACAACGTTTAGTTTCTCCCAGGCATTGAGAATGAAATCCATGACCACAATCGAAGAAAACGGTGTAATCAGTGCATTGAATTAAAATTCGCCGACAAACTGGACAAATACTAGAATTACTGGCACATGCTCTTCCTGCATCCCTAAAAATGATTTAAATCAAGTTTTAATATCAATTTTATTGAAATAATTTTTTCTTGTAATATAATATCGTGGTTTTAATTAAAAAATTATTCAATATTTAATTAAATTATATTTAAAAAATTTTTTTTCCATTTTTGGAGCAGTTAAACTCAATCATTGTTATCAGCTTCATTCCTATCATGTATCATATATGATAAAATTATTTCTGCTTCTACTATCATATTAAATTTGATAAATATTATTTAGCTATACATTAAATAATATTTATTAAAATAAAATTATATTAATTTTGATTAATTACCTGAGATTTTTTTTAAGTGTCTGATGAAGCTCCAAACTTACTAATCTGGCAGTAGTTTCCACTAAAACTTGTTCATATCTAGAATGAGTCAAAACACCAGTCAAAAGTTGTCTTATATCGCCGATAGTACCGGAGGTAGCCAACGGATGTTTCAAAATTCTTTCCAAAACCACAGACAAAGCAGTGGTACCACTGAGGGCTTCAAGAACGACTTTGAGTAATTTTCCACGAAGTCTTTCAACTTTTTGGCTACTATCATTTGCATGCGGTTGAAGGGCGGTTACTACAAGAGGCATCCAATCTAAATTTCCTGCAGACCTTCGGCACAATCTTGAAATTTGTATGGTAGCATAAACTATTTCATCATCAGGAATATCTTGTTCATAATAAATTGCTAATTGTTTCTTTAAATTATTTAATAATAAATCAAAAGCTTCCTGATAATTGCCCATTTTTTCCAGCATCAACGCTTCAGCTTCTTCATGCTTCGCTTCTCTAACAATATTTAAAGCTTCATCGAGCCGACATCCATGAGAACCATTCATATGATTTACAACTCTCTCAGGTTCATACCGACACATCAGAACTAAAAATCTCTCCAAATGTTGTACAGTCAGCTCCAATTTTATATCTTCATCTTCCTTAAACTGGTTAATGTAGTAAAGTGCTGATAACAGTGCATATTCGAGGCTCGGATTATCATTCAGTCTTTGAAGGATAGCATTGAGTTTTCCCGGACATCTCCGTGCTATAAAAGTAGCTATTCTATCAGCATCAATTGCTATCAAGGTAGCCGCATGTGCACATATAACTGAACTAAATGCAACAGATGAAAGCTGATCTAACCAAGGCCAAACTTCATGCTGTCTATAGACATCAGAAACAATACATCTACAAACGGAAATCCAATCATCACGAGCAGTATAAATAACTTCAGCAATTTTTAGAAAATTTACTCGTTGAGTAAGATTTAAAAGTGTATTATCCGTGATTCCACTTAATTTTTTTGCATTGAGTAATTGAAGAATCGCATTTTCTCGTTCCAATCTTTGATCTCGTGTAATAGTCGCTATACTTTCAAAGCAGAGTATTTCCACAAGTTTATTTAAAGCACTTGTTTCAAGACTAACAGTTCCCCCGGCAACTTCATTGGCAGTAAATACTAATACTGCAGCTTTCTGATTAATTTCCAGGTAATCAGGACTTTCAGGACTTACTGGAGTTGAAGTCATAACAATAGTAAGTAAAATGTCAACAATTCTCTGTCGCTGACGAAAACCCATTTCAGTTTTAAATTCAGGTTCTTCAAATGCCATAGCTATCACATCTAGAAAGCCACGAGCATCAAAACGTAAAAGAGTTCTAAGGTATGGATACTGTCTCTCATTATCCGCTGCAAGACTGGAATGTTGAGAAAGAAGTGCACGAAGAACTTCAGCTTTAGCTCGTTGTGGCTGTCCTTCAGGTAATTCTCCTCTCGGAAAACCTCTGCCAGCTAAGCAACAACTGGTATAAACTAGAAGAGCATTTCCAAGTCTTATACAGTCTCTAGGAAGAGTATCTTTATTATTTATTAAAGCAATCTGTAAAACTGGTATTAGTTGATGAATAGGAGCAGTATAATCACTAAGAGCAGAAGTTTGAAGATGAATTAAAGCTTCCCATAGACATTTCGATCGACAGACTGTTGTTACTTGGTGCATGTCTAAACAGTCGACATCAAGGAGTACTACTATAGTCTGTAAAGCTTCCATTCTTTCTTCCTTATCATATAAAGTAACTAATTGTTGAGCTATCAGCGGTGGTAACCGAGGTGGAAGACTTCCATCAAGTAGAGGTCCTTCAAGTGCACGTAAATAACATGCTTTTAATACTGGAGTCTCTGAAACGAGGTCCCAAAGTGGCCCAAATAATAAATGAGTATTTTCTAATTGTACTGCATAATCAACACACGTTGAAATAATTTCACTTTCAGTAAAACTATCCGAAGTTCGTACTAACTCCTGCATGTACTGCATAAGAACTTCACTAGTTTTAATAAATGTCATTCTTTTACGCACTTTTTTTAACCCACTTAAGCCAACTACAGCTTTTCCTTTATCTTGATAAAATGAAAGTCCTAGTGCAAGAGCTTCTGGAAAGCGTTTTTGTAAAGTTAGATATCTTAAACGCTCAGACCAAGTTCTAATAAATACAACATGGAGCCTTCGTGTACCCAAAAGAAGAAGTTGATGACCATAAGTGATTACTGTATTATAACAAGCACGTTCTCCAGCTAAAGCCATTGCTTTGGAGACATTTCCTCCAGTAGAAAGCCCTTTAAAGTGACTGGATGCATATGAAATTCCTACTGGACTCATATCAATTGTCTCTAAGTCTTCTTGAGTTCTTACATCAATCAAATGCAGTCTTTCATGAGTATCTAACACTGCCAAAGATCTAGTATTAAACCATTTGAGATTGCTGATAGTGTAAGATAATGTCATTCTCCTTAATGGAGATAATCTAACTCGTGATCCTGCTTCTGAACATACTTGATAGAAATGCACTGTTGTATCTCTTGCTAGAGCTAAAACTGGATCAATGACTCTTGATGCATCAGGGGCCTGAATTACTACTAACTGCCAAGAAACTTGTGGAGGTGCTGTGGTTGGTCCTGTTAAAGGATGGGTGAGCACGACACGCATTCTAGGTCTAATACAGACAACTAAAACTTTAGATAATGTTGCAAGAGCTATCAAAACGTAATTTTTTAAAGGATGCCGAGGTAAATTATTTAAAAGTAATGGCTCCATTGTACAAACTTCACCCCTTGAACCACTAAAAAGACATTTGCTGTCACAGCCTCTTACTCCCATTACTCTAGTGAAATTAAGTTCAAATACTGAGCCTCCACTATCACTACATAATGCCAAAGTTGGTAAATCTGTAAATTTAACATGTAAAACAGCTGTTCCTGGTGGATGAACCTCAGTTAATGTTCTTAAAACTTTTCCATTTGAACTATCAATCATTAAAATATGTCCTCTTGCAAATCCTGCTAATAATCTTGTTCCATCATAATTAAATCCTAATGCTGACACTGATCCTTGATGTCTAGCTTCTTGATTACACCATCTCAAAGTTTGTTTCGAATCAAATGTCAATAATAATCCATGACTAGTTCCTATTACTAACATATCTCCTCCTGCCGCAATAGCACTAGCAAGACCGGCATTTACCTTCTCACTTGCTGATTTAATTTGCGATGTGATTCCTCGCATTATTGCATGTTTTAGTATTACTCCAGATAATGAAAGTTCAGGATTTCGAGTTAATGGCTTATTTAAAGAATTTAACGATAACAAACTACCAACACTAGTGGTTTCACTACCATCAACGGCGTCTGTTGATGCTTGATAAATATCTAACTCTGTTCCTGAAAGAGATCCACAATCTGGTTCTGTTAGAATGCTTTCTAAGGTGGGAAGTTTGTCCACTGCTGGTATTGCATACTCAGCATCATCCAGCTGCAATAAATAAAACTATTATCATGAAAGGAGCAAAAGTTTATTGTTGAATAATGTTCAAAAATAACCTTAAGTGGACGATTATTTATTTTGATTGGAATTATGAAATAGGCATGGAAAATGGATGGTTTTTTAGGTTGGAGCGAATATGATTTTGTACCTCTTCAATGTCAAGGCTGATTGCCTCAGTGGCGAGATTCTCTTGAGATCCGACATTAGACTCAAATCCATTCTCAGCCATTTTTAATTCTACCTGTCATTCTACAGCTGATACATGACAACTAAACAATATCTTATCAGTATATTATCATATTAACTTGCTTTAGTAAGTATTTATTTAAGCCATATTTTCTATACGTTTTATAAATTAAGAGAACGATATTTACAACATTTTATTTATGATTGTATTTTTTTTTAGTTGTACATATTTAATAGATTTGATAAAAAATCATAATTTCATGAAACAAGGTGTCAATTTAATTATTTTATTGTGTTTGAAATACGCCATTTTGTTTATGATAATTAAAGATGGAGCTAGGAGTGGTATTGAGCAATTCAAATTGTAAAAAAATGTACTCATATGCATGTTGATGTGTATCTAATTAAAACTTTTTATTTTCATTTTACTAATAATTCTCTTAATAATTATCATATATATATATATATATATATATATATATATATATATATCTTTAAAGTAATATTAAAAAAAAAAATTACAAAATTAATCATTTCAAAGAAAAAAAAATACTTATTTTACTATGAACATTTTTATTAACAATGGCAGCAATAATCGAAAAAAAATTTTCATCATAAATGTATGTTATTAAAATATATCTTCATTATTGTTAACACATAAATACGAGGCTGTTATAACTTAACACTACGATATTTAATCACTGTTGTAATGCAAATTAATTTCATACATATTTTGGATAAATTAACAAAATATTTACTAATTGATAATTCCATATAGTAATTAAGCAATAAAAGAACTAGAGCCAGAATAATTTTTTTTTCTATACCGTTAGATTTATAGTTGATAAAAATTTTTCAAAATTATTGGCCAAACTGTTTTGGTAATCATTAAGTTTAGCAAATTTTAATAATTCTATATTTTGGCTTTTAAAAGCACTTTCAAGTAAACTTTTAGAATTATCAAGATTTTCAATATCTTTTTTAGAGTATATATAATTTGATGGTTCAAAAAATTTCGACTTGTAGCATGAATAATTATTATATGAAAGTATGAGAGACCTTAAACAATATGCTAAAAACCTACGGTGATACCAGAGTGATTCATGTCCAGGAAATGAACTGATGAGATTTTGATTAAAAATACTATCTTCTATCCAATAAGATAATGCAACAATAACTCGTTCATAATGAACTTCATCTTTATTATTTGAAGTTTTTCCATGAAGCATATCTACAGTTTTATGATTCAAATTTTTGTATGAACAAGAAATATCATTATACTTTTGTAATTCTTCCTTAATGTATGTAGAAATTATCTCTGAACGTTGAATCAAATGATCAGATGTTAGAAAAATATTTGACTCACTTGATTCTGTATCAAAAAGGAATCTTTTAAGTAAAAATTGTCTGTAAGAAAGCCCTCCATAATCAGATATATGCTGCCTGCACCATTTTTCAGACGATGCCCATTCAGATATAAGAAACTGATGGAAATTTTCAGGTATTGCAGTTTTATAAGTTAATACTATATATTGCCGATGGTTCCAAGCGTGATAATTATTTGAATATCGATCGGCAGAAGTAGTTGCAACATTTATTTCTTCTTGCAATAATAATTCAATATTAGCATGTGAATGTTCTTGATTAAGTAATAAATTTATAAGTAATCGTCGGTAAGAAAATGCTTCAAAACATTTTGTATTACGATAGAGTACGAGTTTTGTAAAACGGAGCTCTTGTTCAATATCAAGACGTTCATTGCGGACTAGCTCTTTTCTCATATTCCAAAAAGTATTAGCATCAGGATTGAGAAGAAGTACACCAAGTAACCATCGTGCTACTATTTCTGGATCTTCACGCCGAAGTTTATTTCGTCGGAGTTCCATCAAATGAGTATAAACATAACAGTAGAGAGGGTGAACACACCATGAAGCAAGCCCAAGATTGTTATTTTCATGGTATACAGGAGATTTATTTCCATGATCGTTGGCAAAAACTATTTCAAAACTTTGTCTGAGATAAAAAATACGTTAATATAATTTTTAATTATAAAAGAATTTTCAGTTCAAACAATTGATAAAAACTTACAAACATTCATTTTTCTTTAGAATATTTTCAATATCAAAGAGTATTTTTTCAGCAGCTGGAAAAAAATCTTCTTGCATTGCAAAGCCAATTTTGTTTTATGTATTGAATTTATTTACTGTCTCGTTAAATCAACGACATACTAAGTACCACTTCCTTGTACTCTCAATTAATTATGAATTCACTTGGCTTTTCTGTAAAACAAGCATGTGCTGACTTTTTTATAGACTGAAACATAAGTTTATATAGATTATATTTTTTTTTTAAATAATTGTATATAATTTTCCAAATCTAACCTAAAACACGTATGCTTCAAATAATGAAAATAAATAAATAATTTATAATAATAATTGTTTAATTGATTAGTAGATATTGGTAAAAATCGTACAAAAATAAATAAATTAAAGAATATCATAATAATCAAAACTCATAAGTTAAAAAAAAAGTTGCTTTCTTTTGGAGTTATTGCCAAAATTTTGACATGTGTTAGAGTTATATATCGTGGATGAACATTCTAAAATGAACTTATTTTAATTCACTATATGTCATCATTATAACAATAATAATGATAATCAATGATTTGAAATATAAATTATATGGTGTAATAAACGATAAATGTTATAATAAATACCTATCTCTTGTCTGATAATTTCTGATGTCTGCTCTGGTTTGCCATATTTTTTGTTTAGAATAACATATAGTATAGTCAGACAAGAAGAAGAGAGTTTCGGATAGGTTAAGCATGGACTCTAACACATCACTACAATGTTTTTACTCTAAACTCTTTTTCATGTCATAAGTATGTAGCACATGAGAAGTAAAAATTCGCGTTAAGGTAACTTTAGGGAGAAAATATTTTTTATTACTAAAATTTCATATATTTTGTTGAACTAAATCATTGATTTACCTACATTAAAGATGGAATGGAAAAAAGAATATTTAAAGAGATTCTAATTTTGTTTCTTAATGAAATAAAAATTTTTTTTATTTTTAATAAATTTTTTCATCGTTAGTACAATGGACATACATTCTGCATATTCAAGAATTATTAAATAACTATATCAGTAAAAATCAGTAAACGATTATTGAAGCAGTATATGTAATTTTTACCAATTTAAAATTTAATTTTTATCTTTATCTTTATCCTTGTCTTTTTCCTGAGACTTATCCTTACTTTGCTGTAGAGAATTAACTGCCTGTCGCACTGCTTCTGATTGAGGATCAACACCAGGAAGGCTTTCCAGAACCGTTTGTAAAAATGTAGGATCTGACATGACAGCAACATAATCATCTTCTACTTCCATAGCTTCTTCTTTTTGTGGTTCAAAATCTTCTGCAAATATTAAATGCAATTATTTAATAAATACAAAAACAATACAAATTTACATAAATACAAATTTACTTACGTTGATCTTGCATAGACATTTGCATTGCAAAAGCAATTTGCTCTTCTTCTGTCATATGAGCAAAATCTGGAGCATTACTTGAATTTGAACCAGAATTGGCCGGTTTAGCAGCTTCCTCTGAACCTTCAAGAGACATAGCTAATGCACGTTTCAGCATAACTTCATCATTTGGTGCTTCCTTGACGGTTTCAGATTGCGTTGATGCAGAGTCTCGAATTTGAGCACGACGAGCTTCATCTTCTTGCCGTTGACGTTGTTCTTCCATAGAAACTCTTAAAGCCTACAATTCATTCCAAATTTATTTAATCTCTTAATAATAGTTTTTAAGATAATCAAACGACATTTTACAGAATAATAAAATTTTTTTATCATACCAGTGCTAACTCTGGATCTTCATTGGGATCAACGCCAAATTCAAAAGCAGTACCGCTCATTCCTGTTCCACCCATGCCATCTTCACCTTGGATAATTGGTGATGAAATCAAAGCATCAGACAAATGAGGACCAGGAGGCACAGTTACTAAATGACTTCCTGTTCCATCTTTGCCATTTAACGCATTCACAAATGCTGTTAAAATATCATTGTTAATGGCTTCTTCACCGAAACTAATAATATCAACATTGACTTTCTCCTTCTTCAATCGTTTGGCCAATTTTACAAGCTCTTTATCATCTAACAAAATAGGACTTCCAACAAATGCTACAATTCGCATTTTATGATTTTTTCCTTGTCGATGTTTAAGTGCTAACTGTAAAAAAATTCAAATTTATTTCACCAAAAATTTTAATTGGTAAAAAGCGTCAAGTATATGAATAAAATATACTTACGTGTGCAATTCTGATGCCAGTTATTAAATTAAGATTACCATTTGGTTGTACTTGATGCAACTTTGATAGAATACGTCCAACATCACTTGTTAACGTGGCTAATACTTCGACACTGTAAAATTAAACAAAATAATTATATCAATTTTTTCAGATAATTTATTTAATATACTTACTTTGCAAGTGTAATTAATCCAACATTATTTTCCGCGTTGGAACGAGTTTTGGAGTGACATACTAAGTTGACTGCATCTAGCTGAGCTTGAAGTCTTGTTGGAAGAAAATCGCCATTTCTCATATAATCACTATTGTCCACACTGAAATCAATTATTTAATTAAACAATAGTAAACTTGAAAAATTTAAAGAATACAGGTTAAGATGTGTTCTTATTCAGCTTCCCTTTTATGTTTGTACCCAAAAACGTACACTAAATTTTTCAAGAGAAAAAGCTGTTTTAAATGTAACTTTTATTATAATTCGTAATATTAATTAATGTCAAGAATTATGTTTGAAAAGAAAATTAAATAGAAAGATACATGATTTCTTTATAAAATAATAAAATGTAAATAGAAGGATATCTGTGTTATTGAATTATGGTTAATTTGATTTAGTTCTCAATGAAGACTATATCATTTAATAATAATAATGAAAATATAAATTTTATTAGTAAATTTTTGTGAATCTAAAAAAATTACAAATAAAAGAGGAAAGTTATAAATAAATAAAATGTATTTTACCAAATCATTGTACTTTCCAGCACCATCTTGGATTTTGTTAGATTCTGACGATTTAGTCCGATTCTACAGTCAAACTGCAATTCATATCCCCTTTAGACTACGGTGAATCGCGCATGATCTTCAAAATGAAGTCAGACGTAACAACGTCAAATGTGTTGCTGAAACATGGTTGGTAAAGTTAAATTAATATGAAATTGCAAAGTCTTATTGAAACATGGCTATTTTCGCCAAAGTAGTTTCAAGACATATTTTTTGCCAGTAAAACTATACATTGAATAGTGGTTGGATATTTTTTTTGTTGATTTTCCTTTTTATTTCAACTAAATATTAAATAAACGTCAACTTAAAACGTCATTGTAAAAAAAATTTGCAACAATGTCACCAGAACCAGTTCATCCTGAAGGAATTGAACAAAATACTGAAGCTTCTTTGATCTTAAGGTTCGATGATTTAATTGAAGACAATGCGATGAGTGAAAATGATAACATGGAATCTATGATGATGGGATATGTACCACTTTCGGAATCAATAGCAGACAATGATAATAGTGATGACAGTAATAACGATGACGATGATGATATGAACAGCAACAGTGACAAAGAGGTTTGTTCACTACATCCAATTAAATTTATATTTTTATAAACCATCACTTCTTCAATGTATAGTATGAAATTATGATATAATATAATAATATTTTTCATTTTATTGCATTTAATTGAAACTGTTAATTTGTATCTGAACGAATAAATACATATATAATTTTTAGATAGATGAAATGAGCGGTCATATAAATTCAACCAGATTGTTTTCTCATCTTCATCCAAATTTAGAAACATCTCAAATTCGAACACCAATGTCTAATAGATCATCAATTGATTTAGACACAAATAAAATAAATCAAGTCATGTTAATTATGTCAAAATTTTCTCTACCAACAACAGCAATTCCGACATGGGCTACTGTGGTTTCAGAAGATGAATGGAAAAATCGACTTATTAATAGGATTAAAGAAATCAAAACTAAACAAGAGGATTAAATTTTAATTATGTAATATTAGGAAATAATAAATCATTGATATTTTTGAAAAGTTATTTTAATTTTTTGATCTTGGATTGAGTTTGTTTTTGTTAGTATGCAAGATAATATTATTAAATTTACAATTTGTAATTATACTTATTAAGAATTAAACTAATGTCTTTTAAGCTCATTTTATCGACAATAAAATTATTTAAAAATAATTTATTTTGTAAGAGTGAATTTGTATTTAATTTTTTGGTGAAATTATTACTTTCTTAAAAGATTCATTCATTCTTTCCCGCCTTTTGAAGTTGATGCTTCAACGCTACCTATTGGTAAGATTTTAAATGTGATGAAAACATAACCTTTTTCATCAATCCGTAGTACATTGACATAGTGAAAATTGAATAAAATTTATTACATTGGCTCATACATAATCATTGAAATTTTTTTCCAACTAAATTAAATCTTTTTTTTAGTTAATCATGACTAATTCTGAACATGATATTTCTTGGGCTTTAAAACTTCTTGAACGTGAGCCGGATCTTGAAGAAAATATTGTAACGAAATATTTTCATGTAGGATTATGTACATTAACTGGAGCAAGTGCACCTGCATTGGCTAATTATCTTTACAAAAGACCATTATCAGCTGGTATTTTTTATACTTTAATGTTATTATATCACTTTAGATCTTTGTTGCACTGATCAAAAAAATTTATATGATTCTCATTGATAATAGGCATATCTCTATCATCATTACATTAATGTATTTTGTCATACACAAATTTAGGAATACAGAACATCATAATTTTCGGAATAGTAGGAGGACTAGTGGGTGCATATCTCAAAGCACGTGAAGTTGATATTTTGGCTACTAGGGATGCTAAAATGCGACATTATATTACATTACATCCAGAAGATTTTCCTCCACCCGGTTAGTTGATATAAAACTTTTTTATGAAATTTTATTTTTTTAAATAATTACAACAAAACGTAATTATTTTAGTTGTTATTCACGTGAATCAATCATAATTTATATTTTATTTTTTATAATAAGTGTTAGAGTTTATTTTTTATTATAAGTATGTTTTCATTATTTAATATGATCTATTGTTTTACAGAACGTAAAAAGTATGCAGATCTTTTCTTGCCTTGGGATCCAGTACGCTAAATGCAGTTAAATTTAAATGATAAGTAGAACATTGGAATTTTTTTATTAACGCATTATTGTATAACAAAATCTTAAAAAAGGTTTACAATCGTAAATATTATTAGTGAGTGTACATATATTCTCAGATTGCGCTAGTTCATTTATATTGTTATAATATGGTACATTAAATATTGATGTTTATATACATCGACTTAATTAAAGAAGTTGCTTTACTTGACTTCTGGATTATAATTATCATTGTTCAGACCTGACCCTTTTGCGTCTCCTATCCAAGGGTACTTGTTAGGACATTCTATGCATGTTTCCAGGTAACTGAAAATATTATTATCATTAATATCAATATTATACCTAAGTACATTCAAGTACAATTTTTTACAATCGATTTCTTTCGATTAATAAAACATAATCTAAAATAAATTAATCAAATAAATCATTACCGCGTTGTCGTAAAATTCAACTCAGGAGGTTTAAAACTAAGAGCACATTTATTAGGATTAAGGCAAGGTGGACCTGGATCATTTTCAACTCTATTACAGTCCCAGCCTCTAAAAGTATTCAAAGCTTTCAGTGGTGTAGGATCAGTTATCCATCTTAATGCTTGTGTAGCTGTTACAAAGTATACATCATGTCTGAAATAAGAAAATATTTTCTATCATTAATTCATAAAACTTATCAACTCCAAAAGACAAGAATAAAGCGTACAATGTTACAGCCCAATCTAAGAATTTTGCTAGACCTCTTTCTAATTCTTTAATTTGGAACCAATTAGTATGAAAAGGCATCATATATGGAGCACGATTCGTTAAATAATATCGATTAAAATCTTCTTTCAGCCATTCGAAAACTTCTTTTGGGTTATGATTATGAAGAACACATTGATCTAAATAAGGACAATGTCCTCCTTCGTAACTTTCTACATAATGAGCATTTAGAGGTAGTTCCCAAATTCCTGGAAATGACTTTGTTGGACAAGTACCAACTTTACAGTCATGAGGAATTTTATAGTCGAGAGTATATGGCCATATGGGTACTTTTGAAGGAGCCACACCAATGCTGCTGTCATAAATATAACCAAAGTCCTCCATAACTTGATATTGTGCATTACGACCAGGTTTAAGATAAGGAGCTCGCATTCCATTAACTTCATTCATACTGATATTAGCAAAATGTTTCAAGATTTCTCTCATTCCTATCATTTCGCCTACCCATTCTTCATAACCTTTGTCTTCAAGACCTTTTTGTAATCTGAAGCAAAAGTGACAATTTTTTTTAGATATTTAAATATTTATTAATAAATAAATAATTTTCACTTACGATATAGTTTCAGTTGCTATTTCATGACCATCATGAGCAAGGCTTTGTACCATATTATAGTTACAATATTCGTGAGAAATAAAAAATGTTCCTTTGAGAGGACATTTATTAGGATTTAAGCGATTATTATCATTGAAAATTTTTTGATAATGATCGAAATTATTGTGATTAATTGCACCATCGAAAGTCATTATAATCATTTGAGGAACCTAATAAGTAAACAATTAAAAATTATTTTGATAAACATTTCGTATAAATATTAATCTTGACATATTTCATTTACTAACGTCCTTTGGATCAAGTCGTCCAGGAATAATCGTTCCATCACGAGAACAAAAGCATTCAGGTAAATGACATTCAGTTTGATTACATTTAGTAGCTGTATCTGTTGATGGCTCTGTCACTGGAGAAGGAGCTGTAAATCAAACAATGTCTACATAGTAAAACGAAAATATTTTTAATTACTTCTAAATATTTATAATATTTTTCCTATAAATTTATAGTTCAAATTGACTTACTTGTAGGTATAGGTCCACACCTTGCTTCACTTCTAAATGTACAAAATTTACTTATGTCATCAAAATGCAATCCTGATGGACATCTGTTTAAATAAGGATATCCATCTACACACTTTGAAAACGTATAATTAATTAAAATTTCTATTGTTGTATAATGATGATTTATAAGTATAATAATAATTGTTAAATAACTTACTTGATAAAATCTTCTACATGTGGCTGGATCAGCAAAGTTTCCATTGCCTTGTTCTTCAGGACATTTGAATTCTTCATCTTTCTTTTCATCTTCTTTTTTATTCTTTTGTCCACTAACTATAAATGAATTGATATTTTAAGAAAAGGTATATACATATTCTATATTATGATACAGTAAAAATATTCTCGCATATGGAAAAAAAAATGGTAGAAAATATTATTTAATTTTATAAAATATATTAAAACTCTTTTTATCCGGAAAAAAACTTATTGCATTAACAAAAATTGCATCATTAAATTAAGAATAATCGTTATTTAGAAAGTCATTATTTAACATAATTATAACTGAATATAAAAGAAATATAAAAATGTTATTTCTTACCAGAAAAAACCGTTATAAAGAATAAAAATATTATTCGATGTATTTTCATTACTACGTGTAAAGTATGAACTGATTTAATTCAAAGAATGTAATATAAATTGATTAATTTACATATATTCAACTAATTTAAAGGAATTTTCGAAAGTTATTTAATCCTAATATACTAAAAATTGTATTTCACAATATTAAAAATGCAATTTTTACTTTTTTTATAAATTGAGTACTAGAACATAACTTCTACTCCGACTAAGATTTTATTACTACTACTTTGTTGGAAGAGTCAACATCGAAAGGCATCGCTTGTTCGTTGTCTACTTTCTATCTGTCAGACATACTAACTGCGAGCCGCTACGTATAAGAAAGAAAAAGGTTCGTTTGTGAATGCTTGATAAATTTTTTATTTTATCATTTAACCATTCTTCAATTTTGTATACTTATTATAGATGTATTTTAATCATTTCCCACAGTTACAATTTAATATTTCAAATTTATTCTTATAATATAATATTTTAAATAAGTTATAAAATATAATATTTTATTTTGTTATAAAATAATATTACAATGTTTGCATTGATTGTAACATTTAAAGCTTTTCGATGTGAACTAAACTTTAAGAAAAAAATATTAGGAGAAGTATAAATATCTTGGACTTATCAAGAAATTTTAAGTGAAAGTTTAGAAAACATTATTTATTATGTATTCACGTCGAATCATCTTTATTACAACTCGTTACTGAGTATTTGCTTTAATTTTTTGTTAAATATTTTGGTTACAGCCATCATTAGCACATATTATGATGCTGACGTTAATATTTAAGAGAGGTTTTATCTTTTACTAATATTTCAATTTGATATTTAACATCTAGTTTTAGTATTATATAGTTTTAATTTTGATAAAAATGTTTAACTCAGGCATATGATAAATATTTATCTATATCTTGATGATTATTAATATTATTAACATTTTTCCTAAAATTTTTATGTGTGTATTACTGAGTACAGATGGTAATTAATCACGTAATTGGCACATGCATCATTTACAGAATTTGAATGATCGAAGACATTGGTTCTTGAGATATTTTATTATTATACAGCCTTGATAAAAAAAATTGATGTTTGTATTTTGGTTTGAATATATGAAAATTAGTTCGGTCCAAGTGTATCCAAATATACATATATGACCTCATCTGTACATATGAAAGGAAAAGATGACTGACATATCAAAGCGCAGCTCAAACCACTTTGGGCTCAGAAACTTGAAATCTTTCACGCAGATTCCTCATATCCACAGGTAGAAGACTGAAAAGGCTCATCCTGTTTGAAAGAAAATCTTGTTTAAAGTGTCGCCATCTGGACCTAAATCTTATTTTCACAACTAACACTTGGATCGAAAGGTGCCCCAAGTGTGTTCTCCATCCTCAAGTAGTCATGTTTATTAATAATTTTAATGCTAAACCTAAAATCTAAAATTTTCATGGTTTTTATTAGTTGTCATAAGATTTGTAAAAAATTTCCAATGTTTCTTATTGTAACAGATCTAATTCAATAACCATTTTATTCGATTTTATTGATTATACATACTTTTTAATGAAATAATGTTTACAAACTGGAACTATACAGATTATTGCACAGTAAAGTTTCCACATGGTTTATATATAGTTAACGATACTTACAGTTTTGTAAGCAAAAATTTATAATTTTTTCAGGAAATTAATTGTATCTTGATCACTCATGGCAAATATTATTCCTCTAGATATTTCTAATAAGAAATCTTTTTTTTTATTTATATATATTGATAACCATGATTTTTTCTGTAATTTTCAATGACCATTTGCTTTTTTTTCTCGCATTTATTATGAACGGATTAACTTTTTTACTCCTACGATATGCTTTAGATTGAACTAATTACAAATATTAATTAAATAAAAGAGCCTTAGATATAAATAATATAATATAGACTATTTTAATATTATAAGAAACTATTGCATATTTTTAAATCCATAATTTTGCCATATTTTTAAATGCCATACAAAATATATAACATATTGGTTAAGAGATTTCTTTAATTTTATTATAGCTTTGATTTTGTATGTAATAATTTTTTTCCACAATTTTTTTGTTCAAGCTCACTTTTTTACTGACTTTTAAATATACACAACAATCATGTCTGTTTACAAAGATTCAATTTTCATATAATCTTATTGAATATCCAAATAGTTTCAGAAATAATTAGAGTAGTTTATGAGTTTTTTTTTCATAACTTATGATCAACTTACAAGTATCTTACAAGTATATTTATGATAGCTAAGACACAAAGAATAAATAACATAACTGAAATGTTATTTATCTCTCTATAAGAAAACTCTTCAATAAGATGATATTCAACATCAAATTAAGAATGCTAATGTTCTAGAAAATAAAAAATATATAAATAAAGTATTGACTGTGATGTTTTGATATTTCTGATTTTCTTTATATCGATCAATATAACATTTAATATATAGAAGACACTCATTTAATTTTTTTTTAAATTATTGTCTTAGTTAATTAATATTTTCTAAATTTATCCTAAATGTGAGTACATTGTTAAATATAACAGACTAGCAAACATGATCGTGTGTTCCAATGATCGACATTAAATCGAATGGTATATTCAATTACTCACATATAATTTTTATATTAATAATATTGTCATTTTTATTACTGTCAGTTATTAATTTTTTGTTCAAACTATTTGTATACTTTTGGCAATACGTTCTTAAAACTTTTTATATCATTCAAATTCTTTAGTAATTATAATTTTCACATTTTAACTTTTGTAAAAAGCACTTAATAAAATTGATGGCTAGCTAGAACACATGATCACAGTTTGCAAAAAAAAAACAAAACTATGAACATCGAAATTACTCAAGTGTTCTATCATAATTTGCAACAAAGTTAAATATCACAAATTGGAACTTATTCTTGATATAAATAATAAAGGTCTAAATATTAAATTAACAATTAATTAATTATAAAAACATTAATAACAACTTGTGTTTACATAATAAAAAAAAAACAATTTTACAAACTCCAGATATAATAATTCCAAATTAACTTGAGCTTAAAAAGTATTTTGTTTATGTTAATATTAATAAATAATACTCTACTAAGTCATGATGATGATATGGAGAATGAATACAAAGCTTTAGAAACGTTGTATTTAGAATAACTTACATATACTTCTGTATATACAATATAACAACTAAGAATGATAATTATGATTTTATTGTCATTAAGATGAAGTCCTTTTTTTCTATAATATAGCATGTAAGGATAAGTATTATTATTTTTGTTTATCGTTAAATTACTTTCAAGCTACGACTAAAAATATAATTCTGACGTAAAAATTTTTTAAACAATATATACTTTTGTTAACAGTTCATTAAAAGTAAACCTTGTTTTTATGAGTTTATATGTAAATATGAATAAAAACATATTTATTTATACCTTTTAATTGAACAATTTTGTTTTTATAACTCCAGAAAAAAAGGCATTGCTGTATCGATGTCAGAATGATATGTTCTTTTGATTATGCAATTTCACAGTTATTTGAATTTTAGAACATTGCAATTAATTATTGACACTTGAATTTGGTTATTAAAATCTTGTTAATCTGACATCAGCATAGACATTTGATATTCCATGATATGTTCCATATGAGAAACATATTGTAAATTTAAAATTGTCTATGTCTGTTAGAGTATTATGCGTAAATTGATATGCAGGAATATGACTTGAACTCATTTAAAATAAATCATTAGTAAAGATGGAGTCAATTAAACAATTATTTTTTTTTCTGTGATTATTCATAAAGAACTTGATTTTCTCGACAAATTCAAAGTCTATATTATTAGATTCGAATCGATTCAAATAGTAAAAACTCCAAATGGACGGTTTCTACTCTAATTTTACTGTTTATCTCTTATCCTTCATATTGTCGTTAGTAATTTCATACTAGATATAACATTATTGTCTGAGTTCATGAACCATACGTAAGAACGATTCATAAATTATTGTCGTCACACAGTAAATTTGATAATTTCATAAGTGATGACTAGAGTTGAATAAAAATTCTATTAAAATGACATACTCAATCATCTAATATTTTATAGCAGTATATGTGATATGGTTCGTTCGAACAAATAACGCGAAAAATATACATTATCCTTCGATAACAATAACTGTTGTACTCTATTGTATTGTAAATTTATTAACGTAAATTACCGTTATTTATAATATCACCATCGTCATCAGTCATCTGTCCTGTAGGACAACACAAACCTTCTGATCCATCAGGTCTAATGCAAAATAACAATGTTTCTGTTCTGGTTACTTCATGTGGCATAATTCCATGGAATTCTCGGAGATCTTCTGCTGGAAACCACGCCTTTTCATTGTCATCAATAATAAGGATTCCGAAATAACGGAAAATTGCGACTGCCGGAATCCATAAAACTGATGCAGATATTAAAAAGAAAATAAGACCCAATGCCCATGTTGGCCATTCATGTCTTTCTGTTTCACCTTTACTTGCAATCCAGGCTGAATACCCACTACCTTCTACTAAAATTTGAACAAATGAAGCAACTAAAATACTTAACATTGCCAGTGGACTCAGGTATTTCCAACATATTAACCAATACAGCCCTGGGCGATTTCCTGTCATTAATTCAATATCATCAGCGAATCTTTTTAATCCATAGACATATGATACACCCACGCATTCAAAAAATGCAATTATTAAAAGAGGAAAATTTCCACTAAAGTTGTCAAATAAAACGAAAACATAACTTCCAGCACCATGAGCAAATGCCATTGAAATTATACAACAGGTCAAACATATTCCACCTAAAATACAAAATTAAATTCATCAATTCAGCTGAAGAATTTTTTTAATTAAGATAATACAAATAATTTTACCTGTAAGAATTTCCTTACGCAAATTTGGAAATAATTTCAAGTCTACGATGCTCGTAACGACACCTTCTAACGTACCAAATTGTGAATCAATACCAAGAGTAAACAGCATGAGAAAAAATAATACCGACCAAAATTGTGCTCCCGGAAACTGATTTATTGCTTCAGTAAAAATAATAAATGCTAAACCTGTTCCAGATGCAGACTGTAACATTCAAAAGAATAATTATTTTATACGATAATAATATGTAATAATTATATATTACACTTACATTATCCAATTCCTTCTCTAAATCACATTCTATAAGATCCGGCATAATAATGTCAGATTTATTCATTGAATGCAAAGGTGCTCCTGGAAGAAAATCATATGGAATTTCTTTTGCGCTACCAAAGTAATTAATTAGTGTCATATTCCTTTCAGCTAGACATTTTTCGTAAACCATTGTAGCTTTGAATCCTATACAAATAAAAGATTTTAAATGCTTAATTTGATTTGTTTCAATAAAAAATCTATAAAATGTTTTAAATACCAATTACAGAGAATACAACGATTCCAGCAAACATCGATGTAAAACAATTTGTTAAGCTGACCATTATTGCATCTCTATAACAGTTGTTATTAACAGGATTATATGAAGAAAATGCAATTAATCCACCAAACGCTAAACCGAGAGAAAAAAATATTTGTGTCCCTGCTTCAAGCCACACCACAGGATCTGCTATTGTATACCATTTTGGAGTAAAAAGATGACGAAGACCATCTGACATCCCTGGTAATGTGACACCACGAAAAAAAAATATAATTAAAACAAGATATGGAAATGTAGCAGTAACATAAACGACCTGCAAATAGTAATTCAAATTTAAAATTTCTATTATAAAACAAATAATAGGATAGATGAACAACAAATATTTTACTTTTCCAGAAGATGCTATTCCTTTAATCATACACATGTAAACTAAAATCCATGCAATAACAAGAGCCAATGCAATTTTCCAGTTGAACACAGCTGGAGTGTTGATGTCTTCAGAAATCATTAATGTTGTGCGATACCAAAAGTATTGAGTTGGGCTACTTTTCTATAAAATATATTAAAAATGATAATAATAAATATGATTTTACAAATTTTATTAACATACCTCGCATTCAGGCTCCGCAATATAAGATCCATTGTGAAAATATTTATTTGGACAGTCTGCCCACGGTAATTCAGATTGAAAGCTCTAAAATAAATTGATAAAAATATTCAATTATTTGATGAATATAACATGATAAAATTAATTAAATACTGTATATTTACTTGAGAAAAATAAAAGAGGCACCAGGCTATTATAGTATTGTAATAAAGGGCTACGTTAAAAGACACAACTGCACTGCTTACTCCAATTCCACCAAGATATGGTGATACCTGTTGAATAAATAATTGTAAGAAATGATATTTGAGTATTAAATTTTTTTCAAATAATTTATTTCTTTACGTGTATCAAGTGTGTTAATTATTCACACTTATAGATTGATATTAACCTGACTCCAAACTCCAATAGCACCTTTTCGGAGTCTTTGACCAATAGCAAGCTCTAGATAAAAGATTGGAATTCCCTCGATCGCGAGCATAACAAAATATGGTATCAAAAATGCACCACCTCCATTTTTTTGTGCTAAATATGGAAATCTCCAAACATTCCCTAATCCAACAGCGTAACCAATAGTTGCTAATAGAAATGTTAATTTGCTATCCCAATTTTCTCGATCATCTTCTCCTGCTTCTGGGCGAAATATAGCCTTCTCATCAGTGCTACCCATTTTTAATACTTCATTTTCAGTGATAGCACTACTAGTTGTATTTACTTTCGTACTCTGTAAAGACTTTACTTATAATTAACATCATATAAGCCAAATGAATATTCAGATAAATACCTTTTTATTAGAGCTAGAGTCATCGAAGGCGGGATTAGTAGTTCCATAGTTGGTAGGATTATTTTGATGGTTATCTGAAACTAATCTTCCACGCATTTCTTTCATCTCAAGCCGATCAACACTCTTTTGAGGTTTCAGATCCCGCGAACTTTGTCTTCGCATCAGATGAGCTGTATTTGCCATTATTTTAACAAAGGTATTCGTACTTTTTTGTCATAAATTTGTCGATTCAGTCGGTTTTTCTAAGTTTGTATAAGATATGTAGGAACAATTTCATTCATTTCGTTCAATCATTCATCCACATTTTTAAGATTCTATTGATTGACCTGAAAAATTTCATATCATTATCGAATAAATTTTAATTTACACCTTCCGTCACTCCAAAAGTTTTCTGAGATCACTTCTAATACTTTGAATGATTTACAAAAATCACCTTTCCTAATTGTAAATTTTTTTTAGATAATAATCAATATGTGACCAAGTGATTCTTTAATAATTTATACATAAATGAATTTTGTGAAAATTGTAATAATTTCACATCAAATACTGGTCATGTTATAATTAAAAGAGGTGGATGTTCAAGGGTGAAGAAAAATTAGAATACCAATGATAGAATAAATTTGAAAAAAACACAACTCATAGATATAACAAGTGATGTTAATAATTTATTTAAAAATTTTTAATTTCTTCAGAAAAAAAAAAAAGAAATTTACACAAGATATCCTTCTTCTTCCAAATGTAATCAATAAATTTTTAGCAATTTATTAATTCGCGACAGGATTATTAAGTACAACGTGTCAATACTATTTTTTAATCATTCTTAAAACATTGAAATTAATCAATGACATCAATTAATATCTCATACAATTGATAACTATGTCAATAAAACAAACAATAAATTAATATACTTAATAGAATCCACTGACCTGTTCGAAAAACGATCAAGAGAAATTAATTTTTGAAGGTATTTTGGATACTTGGAGGGTACGAATACCACTATATCAGTGTCGCTCTCTTGTGTTTGGAACATATAACTTCTAAATTTTGGATTCTTCATTCTATAGATATGATTAGAAAATCAATAAAACGCGCCGGCGCTCTAGAATTCGATAATCAACATTTCACATCCTATATGATGGATCACAATTATTCTGTATTCCAATTTAAACTGTAACAGTTCTGCTACTTTTGGCACATTGTGTACCATACTTTCCTTTATTATTATTTGCATAATCTATTATGTTTTATTGATATAAAATTTCAACAAAAGTTCATTTTATTTATAGGATAATACTTAACAAAATTACTAATTGAAGAATATTTAGCAATTTTAAAGCTGCTTGATTTTTAATGGGTTAATATAGAAAAACAAAAGATAAAAAGTATTGATTCGATAGAATAGTAAATATAAAGGTCAAAGAAAATATAAATACTTATGAACAATATACTTAATAATGGAGGTATTATTCCTCAATCATTGCAACAACCAAGAAATGAAATATTATCTAGTAGTCATAAAAAAGGTAAAAAACAAAATTAATACAAATGAGTATTATTTTAATTAATAATTTTCATTGCTTCAAGTACCTGATTTATTGGCGATAGAAAGCCATAACTGGTTACTTCATAGACATTATACCAGACATGAGTATTTGTTGACAAAAAAACTTATTGATTATGAGTTAGCAAGGTTTGATAACAAAAATGAATATGCTAGTTATTTAAAAGTGAGTAAAAATAATGTTTTATAAAAAATGATACTGGCTAAATCACTATGATCATCACGCTAATATCACGAGTATTCAAATATTTTCACATTTTATTAAAAAACACTGAAAATTATGATGGGGCTTTGATTGTATCACTTTGTGTCTTATTGTTAGCACTTTAACAACAATAAAGGATTACATTCGTCAATTTATTTTATTGGTATTGTATATACACGCAACTTAAATCTTAAAACAATGCTGACTGTGAAATACAAAAAAAATGCTGCAATTATTTCAACAGCAATTTTAGAATAGGCAAGTTTTCATGGCAAAGCTTTAGATAATTATAATTTTTGAAATAGTGGTAATGAAATTTAATATTCATTTATTCTAAATATCATTAATGAATGTTATTTATTATCAGGGAGTAATTTTGAGACAAGAAGGTGATATTTATACATCTTTAGATTATTTTAGAAATTGTTATGATGTGAATTCAATAAATATCAACAATCTAAAACAAATTGCTAATTCATTGTAAGTGGGACATATTTCAGCTTAATGGTTTTAATAAAAATGTAAAAACTTTTTTAGATACCTTCTAGGACATCATAAGCACGCAATTGAATCTTATTTAGAAGCATTAAAAATTTCTAACACACCAGACTGGCAAATACATCAAGGACTCGGTACAATGAATTTTTGAATATTATTTAATTTTAAAATATATAATTTATAAGCAAATTTATTTATTCAAATCTAGGAGAATGTTACATTGCTTTGAAAAATGTTGATCAGGCAGAAGAAGAGTTAAAAAAAGCTTTAGAGTTGACAAAAAATGTCAATCCATCTTTGAAGCTTGGAAATTTATTAATAACTCAGAACAGAGTTCATGATGCTATAGAAGTTTATAAAACTTCTAACGAGTAAATAAAATTTTGATTCAAGAACCTTTGATGATAAAATCATTCCTACTTTGATATTTAATTTTATTTTCACAGATATTCGGATAAAAATATCGAAATTGAACTCGGAAATACTTATCTCAAGCTGAATGATATTAAAAATGCTTTCCAACATTATGGAACAGTATTAGCTAATTTTCCTAAGTGTATTGATGCAACAATACCAATAACATATATTATTCAAGTATTCAAAATAATTACAATACATAAAATTAAAAATACAAAAAGTCTAAGTATAATGTTTTTTTAGACTTATGGTGAATTCGATGTTGCATTATCAAAATATAAATCAGTATTGCAAGTATGCCCAGAATCATTTCAAGTGTGGAATAATACAGGCATGTGTCTGTATAAAAAAGGAAAACATGTAACAGTATGTAGTTAAATCAATAATTTGTTTAGATTTCTGTAAAATCTTAAATTAAACAAAATTTTTTGTTGATGTCTAGGCAGTTTGTTGTTTAAAGAAAGCTCATTTTTTAAACCCATTGGCTCTATTGCCGTCATTGAACTTGGGAAAAATATTTTTACTTTCTGATCAACCAGCTTCAGCAGTCGTTTATTTTTGTGCCGCAATATCTAATGCTCCTGAAAATTTCATACCTTATTTATTACTCGGACGTAAGATGAATATTCTATCAAATTTATTCTTTTATCAGAAATAACAATTGCTTTTAAAATTTAACTATAATAATTAAAACTTATCACAGAAGCATTACATAGATTAGAAGATTTTGATGGTGCTGAAAAAGCGATATGTAAAGCTCATTCTTTAGCTCCTCAGAATCCACTAGTACTAGTGAATTATGCAGCGATTCTTGAAGTAAATAAAAATTATGAATATGCTCGCGAAATCTTATCTAATTTAAAAGATATATCGGTCGTGATGGATATTGAATCACAGGTATAATATGAGAATGAGAAACTTACTCCAAAAATTTTATGATAAAATCTGAATAATTTATATTTTAATGTTTTAGATTGGTGCAGCTACTAAAAAAATATTACAAGCTATAAATAAAGCAAATTAAGGATTCTATCTTTTTATAACTAATAATGAAAAACTAAATAATAAATCTATTGGGGTGCTGGTAAAAATTGGTTGATTTTGGTATCAATTAAAAAATTATAAAATTGGGTTTATACACTAAAATTGAACTAATATAAAGATTTTCTTGTTTAAGTTTTTGCTTTATTTAGACCAGGTTTGTCTATGGTCCAATCAATACACACTTAATGCAAGTGAAGAGAAATGTATATTAATTTCATCGACACTTTAACTTTTAGAGTATTGTTATTTTTCTTTTTCAGAGTCAAAAAACTTTACACCAGAATATTAGTTCATCTTGTTTCTTTCACAGAAGATTGTTCAGTATACTAATTTATATTGGACAATATCTAGTCAGGAAACTTGTTCCATAATTTTTCATTAAACGCTTGAAGTTCTTAAGTTTTTGTTGTTTTCAAATACTGAACCCGTATAAATCCTTGTACCTAATCCTTGTACTTGGACTGATATCTTTTTTTTCCAAAATATGTCATTACAAAGGACTGTCTTTCAAAATTTTTTTGATATCAGATAACTTTACATTGGTTCCATAGTCCTACACCTATAAGAATGGTTTAGGTGTACATAGTATATATCAAGTTAATACACTTTGACTTAAATTTTAAATATGAGTTACTTTAATTAAAAACAATTAATAAGAATACTAATTTGTTTATTATATAAAAAAAGTTATTATTGTAAATCCGAATAATAATACTTTGGGATTATTAGCAAATTCAGCCCAAGATAATTAAAAAAGCATACTTTTCTAATCACTATTTATATAAATGCAGTAATGATATTCATAACTAATAAAAAAATTAATAATATACATTTTTATGACATTTATTTACTAAAAATGATATATCTACGAATAGTTATTGATACCACTACTGCACAATGAAAGAATAAACATCTTAAAAGTAATCATTCTTAAGTAAAAGAGTATTAGATTTATAAACTAGTTCCATATAAAATAGTATCAAAATGTAATTTAGTGGTGACAATAAAATATCACTTATTGAACTTCAAATGGTTTGCTTCAATAATGAGAAGAAAACCAAATCCTTCTGTATGGTTCTACTATTATGTTACATTTATTTTTTCGATTTTTTTTTTAAATATTTTCAAATAAGATAAATAATTATAATATTGATAAATACAACTAGTTTATGGACGCAGTTATGTTTTTAGAAGAAAAATACCTGATATACGGAAATAATTATAAGGAGAATGTGGTATTATATTTTTGGTCTCTCTTTATCAGATTTTGTGGTGACGCAATGCATATGATGGTCCTCTTCTGTCACTGTCAGAGCCAGAATATGCTCCTGCATATAATTCCGGATGGTTGGAACGGTTGTGATTTGTAGATCCGGAAGTCGGTGGGGCACTAGCTGTAGGAACGGAGTGATATCCTGTTTAGAAATGTGTTGATAGTAATAGTTATTTTTATTTACAAGTGATATGAAAATGAAATGTTTCCTATTTATGCAACTTTCATTTATCAATTTACCACTTACGATTACGTAATTATTAATGCTACGACTCATATATGCTCAATTGTATTTAACAAGAAAATATAGCTCTTCTCAATCGTTGTTCTGTAGCAAATATACCATATATGAGGCAACAAAAATCAACTTGACGCCTACCTATTACAAATGAAAATATTTAGATGATTTTTGTCAATTTTTTTTTTACCTTTCGGATAGTATTGGGCTCCTCGGCCTTCTCCGTATCCATGATATAATGCACGAGAAGCATGATTACGATTTGCATTGGGTGCAGTCACATTTCGTGATTCTGGCGGATGATGTGGATGACGCTAAAATGTCAAATCAATTTAAAATTGTTTTTTGTATAGTGAATGATGAAAAATAACATATTAAAGTAATCAAGCATGCATGCAATTGTGATTATTACCATTCTTCTAAGGGTATTCATCGGCCGCCGTAATGTATCACTTATTCTTCGTGCTGGTGGTTTTTTAGGATTACTAGAAGGTGTATGTACAGCGCAGCATTTTATAAACAAACCCATAAAGATAATAAATGCAATTCCCATTAATAAAACTGCCCACCAAAATTCCTTAAAAAAAAAAATTAAAAACATTAATTTAATGTATTATTGAATTTTAAATTATTATAATTATTCCATACGATTAGAAGAATTTTGAAGGATATTGATATGATTATAAAAAAAAATGTAGTATATTCTTACTGTAATCCATTGTGCGACAGTTAACAATGTCTCTTTATTAAACAATAGATTTTTTAATCGAGCTAATGGACCCTCTGCATCAACTGCTCGACATTTTAAAAATACATCACAGTACCCTTGAAAATTATCACATGGTGAACCTGGTCGTAAACTGATACCACCTTCTGGTAATCCAACACTTAATGCAAATTCACTAGTGCTGCGACATGTCGAAGCATCAGTTCCATTTTGACAAGCAAGCTCACATAATTTTCTTTTATCAATATTCGGAATGATATTGCTAGTTAGAAAACACTCAGTAAGATTCCATTCAAGACAAATCGAACCAGTACATTCACCATTTATACAAAGCTGTAATGATAATTAATTATTACATATATAATTAATTTAATTTTAATATACTGTATACTATATTAACTTAATTAATACAGGTATCTTTTAATTTTTATTTCCACTTACTTGAGTTCCTTCATTACAACGTGTTTTATTTTGACGCGGTAACGATGGAGGACATTCTGCAGAACTACCATTGCACGTTGAATTATAACTACAATCAGACTCAGCTTTACACTCAACTTTGTCGGAAAGTGGTACAAAGTGACAGGTTTCACTGGAGCAACACGGGCCTTCGCTCGGACTTTATTGGAGAAAAGTTCAATACAACTTTCATTATATATTTAATATATATTAAATATGCCAAAAATGTATGTACCTGCATTGTGTTCCTGCTCTGCGACTGCACCCCTTCGCAGACTCATTCTGACTTCTATCGTATTCCGATACTTGTCGAGGATAACAGCATTTTTCAGTACATTCTACATAATCATAACCACAATCACATTCTTCACCAGCTTCAACAATTTTATTACCACAAAAAGCACCAGCCGAAGCTACAAAAATTTCAATTGATAAATTATATGTCATTTATATTTTAATTAAAAAATAAAGAACAATAAGCAATATGAAACTCACCGGTAAAACAATTCCGTTTTTGATTACCTTCCATAGCATCAAGAACATTACTTATATTTCCGATGCTGCACTTAGAAAATTTACTATTATTTGGTCGATCACCACTGGTAGCTGAAGCGAACATAATATAATTACCGTGTAATCCGCCAGGTCTACATTCCGGTGGATAATCATGCTAAATGAGAAAAAGATGAATAGTTGATAATTAAAAAAAACTTCATTCATTACTAATCTCCAATTATACATGAATTAATCTAATTAACATTCACATACTGGTGATCCAAAATTATGACCAATTTCATGGGCTAATGTTAATTGAGAAACCTTTGGTGGAACTCGACTGTTATAATTAACAAATGTTATTATACCAGTATTAAGAGATCTTTTGGTAGATTGATACATTCCTTCAACTGTTTCAGTATAAGTTTTATATTTTTCACAAATTCCACCTGAAGCACCAGAAGCTGATGCTACCCAGGCAAGTCCAAGTGTACCACCGGTAAAATCTCTAAAATTTTATATATTAGATGTGTAAATATTTTAATGATTTAATGATTAATATTAATTTCATTAAAAATTTTCTCAAACTATTCACCGATATGTAAAGACGTAAGCAAGACAAAAATCTTCATGATTGCCGAGTGAGTGTTGATTTAAAAAATTACTGACATCAATATTCTCCATACAAAATACATTAGGTTTGGAATCGGATGGATTAGAACAAGCAGTATCATTGTCGATCTAGAATTAGATTATGCATATTGTTAATCATGCACACCGTTATATTATTTAATAGTTAACTAAATATAAATTACTAATAAAAAATATTCCTTTAATAAAGTTTTAAACTAATTAAAAATAAAACATTTTGACAACCTTAATTCTCTGAACTTCAAACTTGATGTTACGATGTTCAGTTTTTCCATCAAATCGAGTATCTCTATAAATATAATTTACGGCAGTAACATGATGAGCGATTAAAGATAAAATTTCTTCACGAGTTTTTTCAGGATCTCTTTGTAACTGTAAAAGGATTATACAATATTATAATACCAAAACATGTATTTAATTATAGCAGTATAACATTAAAACTTACATGTTCTGAAATATGTCGCCAAATAAATGGATCAGTCTGAATAAATAAAGAACAAGTATTTCTATTATCTTCTTTCGGCCGAGTCGCTCGAGGAGTTCGATGATGATCCCGAATATTGGCTTCTTTTGTATATTTGTGACCCGGACTTTCCCATTCTTTCCAAGTCTGAGCACTCGAAGTATTTTTTTGTAATTGGCTTTTATTAACATTCGAGTGTGATTGCGGACGAGGTGAACTAGTGTCGGCAGAGTTTTGTATTCTGTTCATCCATTCTGCTACTTGTTCTGTAATACCACACCCACTTGACTCACCTGAAAAATCAAGTATAATTTACATTAGCTATGTCATAGTTGATTATTTTTATAAAAATAAATCCATAGAAATATATAATCATTAGATAAATAATCACTGCATAACATTACCTTCTCTCAAGTGGGCATATGGATCAACAACATCATTTTCATGATATATTACAGAATGTAATGAATCATTGATAGCATGAAGGGGAAAATAATAATGTGCTCTTTCAATATACCAAGCGTCTGAATCTGAGATGATTTTACCATGGAATACTCCATCACTAAGACTACCAAAAACATAACTGTTGGGTTCACCTACAACAAAATTTTTCAGTTAAACAATAAATAATCAATTAGGAATTAAAGAATAATTTATTTATTGTAATTTATTATTCACTCTTACCATAATAAAAATATCGATTATCACAATTGAATAACACTTACCAACTAGATGACCTTCATAAAGATGTGATGTATCAACTTCTTCAATGTCTCCAGATGGGCCCTCAACGACTAGCTTATCACTCAAAGTGGTTACATCTCTTTTAATTCGTAAATGAAAATGTCTGTCTAGTGCTTGGAATTTCAGATTTATTGGCTGATTTTGTGTGATTGATCGTTTGGTTCTTAAATGATGTCGATGAATTTCATCAGTCGAATACGAGAGTGGTTCATAGTGGCGAATGTACTGATTTAACGGTCGAGCTGAAAAACATAATTGCTTGAGAGATTTTTCGATGACTAACAGTAGTTTACGGGACACTAATTTGAATGTCTTGCATGAGCAAGTTCAAGCGACAACGTTCATGAAACGTAAAAAAATTGTTAACTTATCGGCATAAAGATTTTATTATTATCAATGATTATTTAAGTTTCCAGCAGCATAAACAATTTGTATTGTCAACTATGTTTCGAGTAATTATTGTTTAAAAACAATTACATTATTAAATAAATTATAAGTGAAATCTCTTTTATCAGACTGATTCGTTAAAATGTAACAGGTGTGTTGTTGATTACTTTGTACTGTTTGATACTAGAATGACAAAGAAAATCTTAATATTCTTGTTAGTATAAATAATTATGGAACAATATTGTAAAGAAACTACAAGTAACATATTTTGGAATATAGTGTAAAAAACGGTACTATCTGATTATTATTAATATAATGATCTCATTATATTTCCAGAGAAATTAACTACTGATTTCTAAATTGCAATCTAATGTATATAAAAGTTCAAAGTTTTTATCGTTGCATGTTTATATATTTAATGCTCTTGTCAAGTATGTAATTAGCCTATTAAAGATATCTAATGTCTATTTTCACGAATAATTTTATTCCATAGTATATTTCTACATTTATAAATTTATTTAAACAATCAATAATAAATAGTTAATAACTAATATTAATAATAAATAAAAATAGAGCTTAATTTAGATATAAATATGTATATGTATAATATAGAAAGAAAGAGAATAAGAATAATTGATAATGACTCAGGATGAATTAATTGATTAAGCTGATATATATAAATGTATAAATTAAAACTTCTTACCACTGTTAACGTTGGGAATAAAAATTAAAAAAATCATGTATCTGCACCACTCATCAAACATTGTTTTTATATTCATTGGTATAATTTGATAATTTGTTTTGACTATGTACAACAATAATATGTAGAACTTATGAGTTTAGATTTATTATGAAGATAAACATATTTGTTGTTGATGTCAAAACAAAAATGGTTCAATTGTTATATAGAATACACAGTAGGAAATCAATTACATTAAATAAAAACGAAGATTATTATCAACAAAAATAAAATTCAATTTTCTTCCCACTGATATAGTATTGGAAAACACGTATATATAATCAGTACTATTGCTATCATTATTATTAACACATAAACGATTGATATATCTAAAAAACACTTATTTTTATCATCTTCTATGAATCTTTTTTAAAATGAACACATACGATATATAAAAACACACTTTCAACAATTACATAGTTCTTATCGAATTAAAATTAAATTTATTTATCAAGTGGTTGATGATCATTGAATCGATAGTAAATAACAGACATGCATAAATAAGTAACTGATGTGAAAAACTGAGAAATGTAAATATGGCGGTGAATAACATCTCACTTTCGCGCAAGTACACTAGTAAATTGCTCCGAAAGTTTGTATGAACCAATTACAATTAGTGTACAAAAGAATACTCATTTTTCTATTTATCGAAGTAGATTATAATCGTTCATTCAAAACATAACATACTAAAAAACTTTCGATAAATTATATTCTACTGAATTATTTGGAAAATGAATATAAATACAACAAGACAATAAAAGGCATTGCCCTTTATTTCCCGACACACACACACACATTTAACCCTTCTATTTCCCCTCCTTCGCTATAAACTTCCTATAGTCGATTTTAGAAAAAAATTATTCATGTACTTGTGCGCTTGCGCAATAACGAAAAGTGTGGTAGAAGGGATAAAAATACAGTTCGGGTTAGTCTTCAGTGTTACCAACACAACGTTAAAAAATTTCCCAAGTGCTTGCTTCTAACTTTGCTTCAAAATATATTTGTTGACATTCAGCTCTGTTGACTTTTATTCGAGGTTAATTCTTTTCATTGTTGAATTTAACAAATTCATGTGGTTTCGGAGTTCAATAGTACAATTTTTTTAGGTTCATTTATATTAGTGTCATATTTTTTCAATACAAATTAATAATTTTGTAGTGATTTGTCGGTAAAAATTAAAAATAACAATTATACTAATTAATTACAAAAATGGGTGTTCACATTGAGGAAAATGAAAATTACAATGATCAGAATGTTATTCGAGCACATACTAATTTATTAAAAAATATAGCTAAACTTGATAAGGATCTAATCAGGTAATATTAACATTATTTATAATCATATTTTTATAACATAATTTTGAAAAATAAGGTTATGTAGAATTAGTAATTTCTAGCTCATAAAAAAATACAAATATGCAATCATGATTTTTTTTATTTGCTGAATTTAGATAATCCGATATATTTATTTTAATAAGTTAATTAATAATTTAATTGTGTATTTTCAGAGTTAATAAACCATTAAAAAGCGAACCAACTTTAGAAATTTCTGAATTTCATCTCAACAAAAATTCTAGCTCAGGTAGAGATACTATCAAAGTCACAGAGCTAGTAAAAAAGTTAAGTGGAAGTCAACCCCAAAAAATAATTAATTCTGCCAAGTATTCACGGGCTATACCGAAACCAGCAGAAAAAGTAACTGCCGATAAGGTAATGTAGTATGAATTATTTTAATTTATCATACTAACATTATTAGAATAGATGAGCCGTATTAATATAAGCAATGGAATTTTGATAAATACATTTATTTCAAAAGCGACATTATACGTCATAAAAAAAATAATCATTGGTGTTATTTATTATTTTTATGCTTATACGTATTTAATGGTGATTAATGATTTCTGCTTTAACATTATTAATAATTATATCTAATGTAGCTAAAACGTCAAATTGGTTTCCAAAATACCCAAAATGAGTTTGAAAAATGGACAGGAATAATAAATAACAATAGAATATCAGAAAACCTAGTATTTCCTATGCAACAACCTGTCATAAAACAAGATGCAACTGTTGAGTTTATCGAAAGATGCAAGGTTAAATCAGAACTTGAAAATGAAATTGAAAAGCTAGAACCGAAAAAATTTATTGAGCCCAAAGATACGACCAATGAGTTTCCACTGACGTTAGAAGAGATGTTGGAAAAAACTAGGGAAGCAGCTAAATTACGTGCACAACAAGTTAGATTGCAACTTTTTTTTTTTTTATAGTAATAAATTGGTAAAATTGAATACATAAATAAATAATGTCTAATTGTTTATTATAGAGTTATGTAGCAGCAAAAAATTATAAACAGAAAAAAGTTAAGAGTAAAACATTTCATAAATATATGAAACGAAAACAACTGAAACAACAATTAAAAGATTTTGAAGAATTACAAAAAACTGATCCTAAAGCTGCTCTAGAAAAATTGGAGCAATTAGATCGAGTTAGGGCATTAGAAAGAATGTCATTGAAGCATAAAAACACTGGTACATGGGCTAAAAATAAACAAATACGAGCGAAACATGATAAGCAAGTAAGTGATATCAAATTATCTGATTATAAGTAACCTTGATGCTTAGTTAACAGTAATCATAAACTAAAAATTTTAATTATTATTGCTTAGTTGCTTTCTTAATTTAGATGACTCTAATTTTTTTTCAAGCTAGTATCAATAGAAATATTTATGTTAAAAGTATCTGAATCTTAAATTTTTCACCAAAATTTTACAAGCAAACTATTCAAGTAAAAATTTACATCGTCATTTTTTCCACATGTTATTCGTTTTTCTTATTCAAAATTAATAATTAATTTCATAGAGTCGTCAAGAATTAGCTCAACAACTTTCAATTGGTCGTAGTTTAACCGAAAAGCGTTATAGTGATGATATCAGTGATTCTGAAAATCAAGAGGTAACAAGACCAGTACAGTCTACATCATCTGAAGCAAATCCTTGGATGAATGATAAAACTGAAGAGAGTATAGATGAATTTATCAGTAAATGTCGCAAATACTATGATGAAAAAAATAAATCTGCTAAAATTTCAAAATCAGATGATGCTACAATTACTGACTGCTTGAATAGTTTTTCATCTAATTCGAATAAAATTGTTGAAAATGATGAAACATATAAGAATGAAGAAAATTATAAATTATTTAAAAATAAAATAAAGTCAACACCAAAATTAAATTCAAATAAAAAATCAAAAATAACTAATAAGCACGTGGGTACAACTAAATGGTCAGTAGAGCCGGTTACAATTCATAATACTCAAGAATCATTACCAGGTGCTGTTTTATCTGTTACATCAATCGATCAACTATTCGACAAAGTCAGAGATAAGGTCAATGCTAAAAAAAATGAAAAAAAACAGAAACACATTATTACCAAAAAGAAAGAAAAAAATGATGCACCAATAGACATTCAAGAAGTTGAAAATGAACAGCCAGTAATGAATGACAAAATAATTAATTTTGAAGTGAATAAATCTTTCAATGGAGTAACAGTTGATAATGATATTGATACAGAAGATGAGCGCCCGATATTGAAATCTAATGAAGTAAAATCGACTTTGAACAAAAAAAGTCGTATTGAAATTGATCCAAAAAATTATATTAATACTAAATCCAAATGTATAAGCGTTGACTTCACTGAATATAAAAATGATGATGATGATGACAATGAAATCTTCAATAATAGCAACAGTGAAGGTGAAGAAATTGATCAAGCAGGAATTATCAGTGAAGCTTTTGCAGATGATGATGTTGTAGATGAATTCGCAGAAGAAAAGCAATCAAAGGTAATATAAATTAAAATGAAAATATATTTTATCTTTTGATAAACAAAATTTGTAATTAATTTTTATTCTTTATTCTCAGACTGAACAATCGCAAACGAAGAATTTAATTGAATCTTTCCCTGGTTGGGGAAGCTGGACAGGCGTGAATATAAAAACTATTAAAACTAAAAAACGGCGCTTCATCGTTAAATCTCCGGTGACCCTGAAGCAGAAGAATAATAACAAGGATATTATCATCAGTGAAAATGACGAAAATAAACTAAAAACACATCAAGTTGGCGATATTCCACATCCATTTAACAGTATAACAGAGTTTGAAGCAAGCATTAGAGCACCTTGCGGTCGAAATTTTGTTCCTGAAAATGCGCATAGACGACTTACTCAACCTTCAGTCGTTACTAAATTAGGAAAAATAATTGATCCTATAGATCATGAAGTTCTTTTGAAGAGAAAAAAAATAAAATTATTATAGAAGTATAAAATATTATTGTATGCTAACAATATTAATAAAAATGTTCATTAAAACATACATTTTCATCTGTTTAAAATTAATTGAAATTCTAGGAATTCAAGAAAATTTTTTGAACCAATTTTATTAGTTTCATTTTAACATCATAATAGTATCTTAAATAAGATAACAATATTTTTTATAGACAAAGTAATAATAATAAAATATCACAAAAAATATTACAAAAATTTAGTAATACTCTCGCGCATGTGTCTTCTATTTCTATATATAATACGAATGTTTTATCGAACTCATTGATTAGACAACTTTCTTACAGTTAATGTCAATTGAATGTCTAAAGATAATAATTAATTCTACTAGTTTCTACAATTGTATTTTTGTCGTTGTTTAAAAACTTATAACACGCTACTAATCTTGGTTTGTTAATTAATCAAGATAAAGATATTCTTATACCATTATTTATATTTATTTTAAAATATAATTATTTATTAATTTTTTTTTTAAATATTTAGATAACATCACCGATTATACTGAATTATATAATTAGTTTATTTTTAAATTTGTATAAATATATGTATATATATATAGATATACATATATTATTTTTTTAGATTTAATTTTAATACGATATTTTATATATTTAAAAATATTTCAATAATTTGATCAGCAGTTATTTAAGTTTATTTAAAATCTTTATTTTAGTTATATAAATTAGAATAAGATCCATTGCAAGTTATTTTCATGTCTTATGGCAAAAATATAAAATTAAATTAAAATCTATAATTTTGAATGTAAAAAAAAAGAGGGAGATACGGAAAGAAATTATCCACCACTACACTTCCACCACCGTTCTTGCTACCACTACTAGCGACACATTTGACTATGTTTTTCTCATCTTTACCCTGCTTTATCTTCAGTGAAGTAAAGTTTTGTGAACAAGTGCTGTTGTGCAGAATTGTGTAAAAGCGAGCGAGTGTTTAAATTATTATATGCAATAAATTGAAAGTTCAAATTTCTGAATAAACATTAAGTTAGTTGACATGGCGTCAAATAAAGAAGATAACATGGAGAGTGTACAATTTTTCGAGGGTGTTGAGAAACTACTGGAAATTTGGTTTATCAGTTCTGATGGTGACAATAAGAAGCATGATCTTAGAAATATTCCTCGGTAATTCAATCTTTTAAATATATTACATTTCTATTACAACTCCATAATACATTTATATTACTTTAATAATATGTATACCATCTATTTACTGCTCATTTTCTCACCGGTATTTTGGAGTTTATTTCACTTCAATCTAACCCCTTTAATTCATAGTGACGTAATTCATTCTGCGCAAATACTTTTGTTTTATAAATATTAAAATTTTTAAACATTTGGACAATTATTTTAACTAAAGTTTATTGATGAAACGATGATATTCTTATTTTTTTTGTCATGATAAAGTTATTTACTATAACCTCAGTATTGAATCGTTAGTATCCATTAGTATATTGTATATTGATGATGCCTGATGATATCAATTCATATTTACGCTTATTAATCTGTACAGACTATTGCTCATACATTCCAATGATATTTTTGTCAATTTATTTATACATACAACTTATTGACAGTGTATATTTAATTTATTATTCTTTTTTTTATTACAATAAAAAATATCTAGCCTTGTATTTGTGGTATATTAACATTGATTTTTCTGTATCTATTATTCACGATTATAAAGTATCACTTTCCTATATAATTATTACTTTCGTGAATTAAGATAAAAGATGAGATATTTTATTTTCTAAAATATCATTTGTTGAACAAACATCTTACATTTATTAATTAAATCTAATATAAAAATTATTCTCTACATAACAATTAATATTATGAGAAATGTTAAATAAATTTTTCACAAGTAATTTAATGAAGATGATAAGATGTATACTGAAAATTTATGAATGCATCTTCATAGAAATTAATTGATCTTTTTTTTTTCTTAGACATCGATGGGAATCTCTGTTAAAGATGGTGCGTTGTGAGATTATCAGTTTCTGCAGAAACGATGATATTGATGCTTACGTTCTCAGGTAATAAAAAAAGTAAAGCATGATTGTTGATACTTTATATAAATTTAGAGATAAACATTGGACTTTCAAAATCATGGAAGTAATAAATATTTAATGTAATAGCATGAAATATGTTTTGCTAATCGTTGTCTCACGAATCAACTATATCACGTAGTTATTATAATGTTCAATCACGATGTATTTATAAAACATAAGCAGCCGTAATTATAATATTACAAGTTATTTTCTCGGTTACACGTGTACCAATAATTATTTGTGGCATATCATACAAAAAAAAACTTAAATAACTGATAATATTTTTTTTATTCAAAAGTCAAGTTGGACAGTTATTAATATTAATATTTTCTTCATACATTCACGATCATTCAACAAAAATAATAGTTTAAATATCGATAAGCTATTTTTACCCCGTATAAATTATATTATATTGCGACTCAAATTGCCTGAAATATTGATAATAAAATTGAAAGCTCGTCATTTTCTAGTGATAATTTTTATATAATAATACTTGATATAAATCCAATTATGACAAGAAAACATAATTATTTCAAAAAAAGTATCATTCCAAGATGCTTTTTAAAATATTTATTCTCCACAAGGCAAAATTCTTTTATCACCGATAACCCGTGTTATCGAATTTTTTTTTCAGAAGAGCCTATTACAAAAATTACGATAAATATTTTACATAAAAAGCTGTTAAGATTAATATTATAATAGCTACATAATAAGTTAAGATACCTGATGACTGAATAAATTCAATAATCAAATACTACTCATAAGTAAAAATTTTTCTAGTACGTATAATATAAATATTGGATTGTTAAGGTATTTTTATTAAATTAGACCTCATAATTAGGATATTTATTAACGAATAGACGATTCTCATGATTCTTGAATGATATGATAATACACGGTGAAAGAGAATTAGATGTAATGATTTTTTAATGAATTTTTACAGCGAAAGTAGCATGTTTGTCGCCAAACGTCGGCTAATTCTCAAGACCTGTGGTACAACTACTCCATTACAATGTCTCGAAACATTATTAGATCTGGTGGAAGAATATACTGGATTCGACCAAGTGGAGGTATCAATAATTTTGTTATAAATTCTTTAAAAGTCAATTACAGTAAGAATATTTATAGTTTACTGATTATGCTTAGATTAAAAAATACGTAGAATACTATTATCATATTCTCTGTAGACCTAAAGTATTGAAGATAACAGTAGTATAGTTGCATGTTTTATTTTTACTTTGTGATTAAAAGTTATAAGAATAAGAGTTTTTAAACACAAAAATGATACGACCATCTTTTGTGCACCAATCAATAGATGACGTTTTTATATTAGCATAATAAAAATCAAGAGTTCTAGTTTATGATAACTTTTTCATTGTTTCCAATGAGAGATATACCATTTGCTCTCAAGGCTATTAATATGTTCATAAAATAGATTTTTTTAATGCTTTTAAATACAGTCAAATTTATTGAACTCAATTAAATCAAATTCTATGTGATTATATTATATAAATGACGTATTAATATTTTAATTCTTATGACAGGATCTGTTTTATTCTCGCAAAAATTACAAACGACCCGAACTGCAGATAGCTCCACATCGCGGTTTTGAGGATGAAATAGCCTTGCTAAATAGCATCTTTCCTGGTAATTATAAAAAATATATACATTGATATGTATGATGCATGTTTGAGTGTGATGCAATGTAATTTTTGTATAGATGGTGAGGCATACTGCTTAGGTGATGTTGATAAAGATTGTTGGTATCTATATACACTCAATCGTACCAAGTCACCACAAGCTCCAAGAGAACCTGATCAAACTCTGGAAATACTTATGACAAATCTCGACGCTCGGGTAATGTCAATTTTCACTCGAGATATATGCACTTCTGCTGCTGAAGCAACTCAAAAATCTGGTATTGATAAACTCATTCCTGGTATGATGATTGATGATTTCCTTTTTGAACCTTGCGGATATTCCATGAATGGCGTTGCTAAGGATGTAAGTATCATATAGAAAAAAAAAACTCTGAAAAATCCATCCTAATCAAAAATTTATTTTACAGGGGAGTTATATGACTATTCATATTACACCAGAACCTGAGTTTTCTTATGTATCATTTGAGAGTAATATTCCAGAAAGTTCATACACAGAAGTGATAGGACGCGTTCTAAAAACATTCAAACCAGGCAACTTTGTTATAACTATTTTTGCTAATAAAGAGTCTATTGCAGCAGGTACTCCACGCGAGCTTAAACATGCTAGCTATCTTAACTTTAATGGTGAATGGTTACGTAACGATGTCCAATATTGTCGCTTTAAAAATTATGATTTAATTTGTGCATTTTATTCTAAATTCCCAAGCTGATGGTTTACCGATGGCCCATCTCCACATGTAGTAACACAGGATGCAGATAGGGCACAAAATGTATATCCTAGTTATTCATCTGTTTTAAATGATATTAATAATAAAAATACTTTTTACCATAATGCACGTTATAAAACTAAGCAATCTACAGTAGCTTTATTTAAGCAGGGATCAACTTTCAAGGCTGAAACGAAACTTACTGGTGATGATCAAAATCAAATATTGTTTAAGTCTAAAAACAAGCTAATTAAATCTTGGCCAATCCTTGACAGTCATTCCTACAAACCTTTGTCTAATTTAATATCAACACAAAGTATTGAAAAAAATAATAACTTACAAAACAAGACACAATCAAATGAAGCAAACTCTAAACGCTCTATATCTTCACCTCAATTATTTATTAAGCCAACGACAAGAACTAAAGTATATCGAAAAGCATCGTTAAAATCATCAACAATGACTGAATTTTCAGACGAATTTTCTTTTATCCACTTGAATTCTAATCAAATTACTAATCTATCTAATCGACATCCAAGAGTACGAAGTAATTCTCTACCAAAAGAATCCAAATCACACTCAGATATAGATAATATACACATAAGATGTAATCCTCTCTCTACACCATACCCATATTCAACACTTTACCGGAAACTATCTGTTGAGGACTTATCTGAATGCTCTCATCAGCAGAATAAAAAACCATCTTACATTACGTGTGGTAAAATATTTCCTATTTTTGCTTTATTTCCGCAAAACGTTGTCAGTCTCCAATATCTCAGCCCGAAAATTAAATTTTCGTGGTGGCGAAATAAAATTTCGTGAAGACACGCTTAAATATATTATCATCATTCTTTTTAATTATTAACTATTATTTTTAGTCTTATTATAATTTTGAATTAAAATGATTATTCCTATTATTATGTGTGTATAATTTGTTATCTCATACCTAGCCTGGTATTAATAAGATATCACGAACATCTGTCAAGTGATGATGTTCTAATTTTGGGTTGTATCAAAATTAATTTTTAAAATTTACTATACTGCAATTATTAAATATTGCGGCTTTTTGTAGTATAAATTATGTGTATTTGAACAAAAAAAAAATGACTTTCTTTTGTATTATCAGAATAAATAATTGGTGCTAAGCGTAAAGTTATGAAATACGTTAGTCACTTTTCTTATTATATGAAAACTTGGCTATCGTTTCTTCTATTTAAATGTTGCTGTCTAATTAAATCAAAGTATTTCAAGAACAATTTTTATCAACGAAATATCAATATAACTAGTTTAATTTATATTTTATTTATATAATATTCATTCAAAAGTAATCATTCAAATTTGTAATTACAATGTTGAAAATAAAAGGAAATATTTCTCAGCGTTCATCATGTCAATGTTTATGCATTGTTATTAGTAGATTATCATTTTTTAAATATTTACATTTCTAGTCTTTTCATGCTGTTAAAGAATTTATAATTATTAAGCTTCTGTATTACATGTAATCCGTTAGATATTCCATTTGAAGAGGACAAACTACTGTAATAAAAGATAAAATGATGTCTCATATTGAGTCAGAGTCACTACACTAGTTAAGCTATATGCAACTATCAGAATACTTAAAAGCTACTATTGCTTTGTAAAAAAAGGATTCTTTAAATTATTAAACTACAAGATATATTTTATCAGTTAATATATAATCATTATTACATGTACAATTAATAAATAAACATATGTATATTTACAATTTTAAGATTGATCATTTCTTTATTGCATCATTAATATAGTATATACCTAGTAGAAATTTATAAATATAATTCATCAAAACTTATTTACTGCTTCGGGTAAAAGTTGGCTGGCAATTAAATCTGCTTTTGTAATTGACATACTTTACTTGACTATTGTTGTGCTGTGACACTTTTTTTTGTTACTTCAAGGTCCTCTCCAACTCTTTCTAATGCTTGTAAAAATAAATTAGTTTGAACAAATGATATTTATTTTTTTGTTTTTTAATAAAACCATTATTTTACCTTTTTTCAAATCCATGTGATGAATTTCTATGTTATCGATTTTTGTCAATTTTTTTTTGAAATTTATCGTTATTTTATTACGAACGTAATCAGCTTCAATATTTTGTTTGGTCCTCGGAATTCGAAATTTTACACAACAACATAGTGTTATAATAATTGCTAATATAAATGATATAATTATACCGGCCAATTGCCATATACGAAAACCAGCCAAAATTTTATTTTCTAACCATTCATCTAATCCATTTTCTATCTCTGTTGAACTAATTGTTACTTGATTGGAAGAACAAAGTTCTACAAGAGTTGATAGTTGAAAAAGCATTTTTATAAATAGTAGTTTTATATAATTATTAATTATTAAAGATTATACTTGATCATATTACAAAACGTGTACTGATTATGAATAAAGCTGATGAGATACTGCTTTGGAGTTTTGGCGATAGCAAAATATAGGTGCGGTAGTTACTCGTTAATTAATTATCTAAGGATACACACCCAACTCTTTAGTTTTATGAACCAGTAAAAATCTAAAATCGATATAACTTTTATTTAAAATTCTATTTATTACCTTCTTTTATAATAATAACAACCAAAATTACATCTGAGGTAAACAATAGATATTATAAAAATGTATTAATTATTACGGTAAATTATGAAATATTTATGTAAAATTTTTTAAAATTTCTTACTAAAGTAAAAAACTTTAGAATCTGATAAATTATATAAGATAGCATTATTGAAATTAGATTGTATACAAAAATGAGCATCTAAATATAAGATTTGAATATTTTTATTCTTTGCGGATGAAAGTTCGGCCTCTATAACAAAAAAAAAAAAAGCAAGTTAATAATGAATTAATATTATATCAATTTTTCTATACTTACGTTATGGTTTTTTTCTCAGTATTCTTTGCTTGTGATCGTGCTCTATTGAGTACTTTCAAGAAATCTGTAGTTTTTGTACGCATTCTTGAATGGATGTAAACTTTACTACATTTAATATGGTAATGTAAATAATTCCGGAACATGTGAATTAGATCAATAGTATTAGCTCGAGAATCTCTGCTGGTATGTCGAGGAAATAATACTAGAAAAAAATGTGTAAAAAAATTAATAATTACCGTCAAAATATTTGTTGAATAACTTTTTTTAATAAAATTTTAGAAAAGTCTCACACTAGTAATAGAAAATTTTTTTAATTCGTCAAAAATTATTATATACTTTATATATTTTTATCTTAATTATCATAATTGATTCAGCATTATATTGAAACCAAAACATCAAAGAGATTCATGTAGAGTAATCATGCCAAATAAAATTAATCGATACCGTTAATTGTGAGATCTTTTTGTTTATAAATTTAATTATTTTTATTACCAAATGTAATGTATCCAATACTGTCACCTATTGCTGCGTTGCATTCTTGTAACTCTAATGGCGGTTCTCTGTGACTAAATAAAACTTGAGGGGCAGTATGACTAGCTCTTCTGCCTTCTTTCAGTTCTTGTAAGAACATTTTACCTATTACCATGTCATCTTCATCTTTAAAAATTGTACTAAATACAACAGTTACACGATCATTTTTAGCCTCAACGTATCTAAGAAAACAATGATTCATTAGTGATAAGTGATAGACATGCTTGATTTAAAAATTTTATTATAATAATTTTAACGGTTGAATATCATAGTATGTATAATCTCTTACATTGTTTCTTGATCTCGATAAGGTATGACTGCTCTTTTAGGTACATCTTGATCTTGTAAATCAGGATACTGCTCTTGAAAATTAAAATACTTTTCAAAAATACTAGCAAAACAATGCCTTTTCAAAAGTCCTATTTTTTTAACAAGTGCTTCCCAATCATCTGGCAAATTTTTCAAATCTATTTGCACTGATATATCGTAGCCTAAATAATATTTTCATTAATTCATCTTTTGTTTATGAATGTAAATAAAATGTAAAGAAATTTTGATAATTTATTTACCAGATTCCGGTTCTGCAAGATAAGGACCATATTCCTTTTTAAGTAAATCATCGACACCATGTTCTCTCAACTGTTTATAAAATTTGAGAGAAATGCTGACCTATAAAATTATAGATTATTTAGATATGTATAAACCTGGGCATTTATAAAAAAAACTTACTTTGAGCTTCGTTTTATCTCCATTGGGATTAGTAATGTGGAAGAGAACTCCATCAAAATCAGCGATAATAATATCAGTCGACTCTTGTTTATGACTGCAAAATAATTTCAAATGTCAAAATATTTTTGCATTAATAATACTTAAGAAAATAAATAAGTTACAATAAAAATTAACATACCTTGATGTCAATGAGTTTTTTATTTTAGTATGCAATGTCTCTTCAACTATTTTATTATTAATTTCAAGTAAAATCATTATTACAATTTAGTAAACTTGAATGATTACAAATTATTATAATTACTGTATGTACAGGGTGAGTCAGTATTTTCTCCAGTCAGAGTTCACAGTATAGAAAAAGAGACCGAACGAAATAGTGGTAAGAATATATATATATATATATATATATATAATGGGAAATCTAGTTTTTTGTAAAAATTGCAATTAAATAATAATAAAAATGGCTCAATTTGCATTAAATTTATCGCCATTAGTGATCATCACGACATCTACAAAAGTACAATTTATAGTAAATTGAAATGAGCTACGTAAGCAGCCATTTTACTAGATTCGATACGAGTATTTACATCCTTCCGGTGTTTGAATAATTCAAGTTCAAACTAAAAATGTCTGATAAAAAATATACGGTAGAGTTTTGAAAACTGTATAAATGTAAAAAAAGTTATTTGATAAAAAGATACAGAAAATATTAAAAATAGCCGAGAGTTAATTATATTCTATGATTAAATACATTCAAATAAATGAAAAATCGAAATATCAAAATTATTTTTTTATACATACATAAAATTCCCAATTGTTTTGTAGGAACTTTAATTTTTAAAGGTGTGGCGAAATTAGATCTATAGATACGACTGTATATTCATCCTTGTTTTACTCATAGATTTTATACAGCAGAGTCCAATCGGTAAAAAGATAGCGATTTATTCTCATATGTACGTACTCTACTTTTTTTTTTTTTTTTATTATTTTTACGGTAATTATTTTAACTGTTATTTTAAACTGAATGTTATTTCGTTGCAGTGAATTAAGAAACGTTGCATATAAAGGGGAAATTCCTAGAACATTTCAGTGAATCACATGTCTGCCATTTTAATTCTGTCATCTTAACAAATTGTGTCGAGAAAATACGACAATTTGAGTCAGTTTTATTTTATAATTGTATTTTCATAGAACTTAATTTTAAACATGGCGTCTAGTAGAGTTTTATATGCCGCTTTATACAGTTTATCGATTTTGATATACCAATAACAAGAAAGCTTACGTATTCTACATAATAACTAGACATTATATTGAGGAATCTTAGATCTATACGTATAGCCACATATAGCAACGACGCATAATCCAAACGACAACACAATTTTTTTATTCAAGGTACAGATTAAATTCGTAAAATATGGCTGAAGCTATCGTTGATGGTACGACACCAATGTCGCGATTTTTTTGTCACAAGTGTAGTGTTGAAATAGAACGATTATTACCAGTAAGTGAACAGAAATTGTAACTTTTAATTATTACTTTATTCAAGTGCTATGTTGAAGTCTCTAAAATTAAAAAATTTTATTTTAGGATTACACATGTCCAAATTGTGCCAATGGTTTTGTCGAAAAATTGGAAAACGTTGAAGATGATCGAGACATAAATATGGAGATAAGCACTGAAGATTTTAATGATATTGATTTTAATGTAAGTAAATTTCTGGATTGATTAAATGATTGTCAAACTTAAAATTGATTATAGTAGTTCGAGTACAAATTCAAATTATAACCAACCAAATATACAAGTAAATTTATTAATATAATTGTGTGAATGTCAATAAGGTTACTTATATGTATCATCATATATGTTCATCTTGGATGTTGACAACTTTAAACATACAAAGTCAATTCATAAAAAGTACATATTAAATTGATGATGTCACTTTATTTCAAGTCATTTGTCTATATATTTAATAAAAGTTTTTTATGTGATTATTTAGAGTTTTTTAAAACTATTATCAATGACAAATGGAATAAACTTGTTAACATTCTTTTTCATATTTATGTTGTGAGTTTATACATTATTTAATAACATTCATGGATGAAATTATTTTGCTTAACGTAAAGCAATGACCATAACATCAATTTTTCTATTCACATTTTTATATAGTTTATATCTATGGATTTACCGGATATGATTCCCTCTCCACAGCCTTCTAGTTCTGCAACTCAAAATACAAGTAATACACCAAGAAGATCTCGTTGGGATGAGCCAAATTCGGATGAAAGGTAAATAATTATATTCATACTGAAGTAAATCATTACAGATTAGTAGTATTTTTATTTAAGTTCAAGTAATTAGTCAAATTATAATAAAATTCTTTAATTGAAATTTTATTCTAGATTCACTGATTCTCGAGATAGGCGAGCTCAAGCACAAGATCATTTATTACACGAATTTTTATTAAACTTAGCTGGAGTTGGTATACATCGATCATCACAACAAATAACTACTGCTACTGGAAGACAAGCACCTCTGTATGTTTTTAAAAATTAATTGAACATAATATATTTACAACAAAGTTAAGGTTGTAAACTATGATAATAGATAATCGATCTTTATAGTAGTACACAATTTGATTATCAAGTACAAGTAATATATTATCATTTTGTAAAATCATATAATTATGAAACCATATAATTACTTAGAAGCTTAAAATGTTAAAGACACTTTTTGCAGTTATATACTTATTTAAGTAGGAATGCGATTAATAGATTACGTTATAGACATAAATCGATTTAAAATATATATATATATATATATAACAATTATGAGTTAAGAGAATAAGCTGTCTGAACAAAATAAAAATAAAAAACATTGCTTTTACTTTACATTATATTCTGTAATATAGGATACAATGTTTATTGATATTAATAGCTTTACATAAACAATAATAGTTAGAATTAACACTTCAAAATTTGAAATTATTACAGATTTTTCTTGGGCAATCCCAGAGACTATGTTTGGGGTAGAGATGGATTAGACACTATTGTAAGTGAATTATTAAATCAATTAGATACGAATGGACCACCACCGTTATCACGTAATCAGATTGATGAGCTACCAACCACAGCAATAATTCAATCACATATTGGTAATTAAAATATCGACAGTATTATATACAAATACATTTTAATTTATGATAATACGTATACATTATTACAGATATTAAACTACAATGTTCTATATGCTGGGAAGATTTTATCCTTGCGGAATTAGTTCGACAATTACCTTGCAAACATTTATATCATACTCCTTGTATTGTACCGTGGCTTGAATTGGTAAGAATTGAAATAATTCAACCTTTAATTTATCATTAAAAAAATAATTTATATCAATTATATTTTTTTTAAGCATGGCACGTGTCCTATATGTCGACAAAATTTGGGTAATGAAAATGCAGCTGAAACTACTCAGGATGTAGTTCCTCCTAATCTTGAAGCATTTCTAAGGTACAATAGGTTTTGAAATATATCTCTGTATAAGTTTATAAATATTCAATAATAAGAGAAGCTCGATTCGTTTGTTATAAAGAAATTTACATAAGTCTTTTTTATTTTGAGTTATTTGGTTTTAATGACTGTTTAAAAAATTTATAAGTTCAGTTGATTTATTATCAAATGTAACTTGAATTTATAACATGGTAGATTCAAAGACTTAAGCTAAAATGGAAGTAAATAACTTGTTATAATCAATAAAGAATAAATTTTAATTCTATTTTTAATATAGTCTTAAAAAATTATTAATTTTTTTTTTGGATTACTAATAATTAAGTTTTCACTAATTTAGTACGTATTCTTCACATAAAAATTTTCTCTTTGCAGAGTGGCAAATCATCTCAGTAGTAGAAGCTCTACTACTACTACTATTTCTTCTTCATCACCAAGTAGTAGCAGCAGTAACAGTAGTATTAGTACCACCAACAGTAACAATACTAGTAACGATAATAATAGCTGTTTTCATAATATGAACAGAAGCAGGAGTAGTAATAGTAGCAGTAGTAGTAATAGTAGTAGTAGTAGTAGTGGTAGTAGTAGTTGTACCAGTAGTAGTAGTAGTAGTAGCAGTAATAACTGATAATATTATGGATAAGATTTAAGGTTAATTTGGTAGTAAATACAAAAATATTTATATTATTACTTGAAAATTTTTTCTTATATTGAGGTATTTAACTCCATATTAACATCTTTACATAATTGAAACTAAAATTTTATGCTCAGTAAAATAGGTACTTGATGCACAATACTGTAACATGTTCAACAACATACTTTACCCTACGCGTCCTGATTGATCGTTAAATTATGATATCTTGTAATTCAGTTAAAATGTGATAAAGTAAATGTAAAAAGTACAATGAGTGTAAAACTTTAAACTATAAATGTTTTAATAAATAACTATAATAGGAATAAATTAAATCATCTTCGTCTCGATATAAATGAATTTTAATTTGCCATTTCAACAGGTCAGAATCAACTTAGTTTAAATTAAAAAATTTTATGGAGAAAAAACAAAAAAAACACTCTAAGAAATTTATGAAGGAACTCGATTTCATCCTCATCTTTTAGTCTTTCTGGCTAATGACAGGATTTGCGAAGAAATTGGTATTTATTTTATCATCTTTCTAAGTAGAGACATCTGTGATTATCATGTATTTGAGACTTTACATCAGTAAGTATTCACTGATAAAAAGGAAAAAATTTGGGGATACTTTGAATGATCTAAGCTAAATTATCGATAATCTAATTAATACCGATAGAGGTACTAATTTAAAATCAATTTAATTTTAAATTATTTAGCAAACTCCGGTGCGATAATGTTTTCTTTCCTAATTGGACATAATGGAACGATGATCATCATCAATTAAATTATCCTACAACCAGTCTCCTTTGGATTAAGGTTTCAGGAATGATCAATTCGATTTCTTATCATTTCCACTGGATTTACAGGTTTAGGATAAAACTCAAAATTTCCTCGTGGCCATAACAATGGTATGAAATAATCATTAATAATTTTCAATGATCGTTGATCGACAGGAAATCAAATAACTACAATATTAGGTGATACTATAATTTATAATAATTACAATTTAATCCTCATTATTTGTAAAAACAAAATTGAAGATATCTTTGATAAGTTTTGGATACTATTGTATTTCGTTTTTATCTAAGTTTTTTACTTTTACATAAATTCATTGTATTTGAATACAATATCATAAAATAGGTCATCACGATTCATATCATTGTTAAGTTTTTACGATTGTAGCGCTTTACTGTTTTCTTGACATCAAGTTATAATAGTAGATACTATAGTTTACCTGTTGTCCAAATAACTTGAATAACATTTATTTAAATGTCCATAATTCGTATCTGTAAAATACTCCGATCAGTAATTCAAGTTCAGTAAGAGTTTCGAAACAAGCCAATATACATTGGTCATTTCTAATCAATTTTCATCATGCAGTCAACTATTTTCATAACATGTATTGCTACGTTTTGGTGTTATTTTAATTTCAAATGTGTACAGGGGAAGAAAAATATTGTATTAATATTAGCAGACGATTTAGATTTGGAACTTGATGGAATGGTGAATATTAAACTCATTAACTTTTATTTATGATTTATACCAAGTATATGCTAGAGTTTATGCGTGAACTACGATGTAATAAATACAGAAAGGAAATACATAAAATAGAGATGAGTCACATCTATAAAATTCAATATTTTTTCGATGCATATTGATCAAATATTTAATTATCATAGTTCCTATTTATCTTAGACACTATTTATCTCATAAATTAGAAAATTCAGTCAAAAAATTACTGAAAGCTCAAAAATCCATATTAAACTATTTTACGAAATGTATCAGGTTTGATTAAGAATTCAAAGTAAATATTTAAAGTTCATGAATAACATTGGAGAGAATATACGATTTAAAGTTAAAATAGCTTCGTTCAATAGTCATTAGCTATCAACATGCAAGAGCGTGTACGTAATCGACTATTTTAATCTGTTGTTATCACAAAAGTATTGTTTTCAGATTCCTCTAAAAAATACTATCAAACTTATTGGCAGTCAAGGTACCACATTTACTAATTGTGTAAGTAAAAATAATATTTAAAATTCTCTATTAAATATAGTATTTATATTTATTATAAAAATATTAGTTTGTAGCTTCTCCAATATGTTGTCCAAATCGAGCATCAATATTAACTGGAAGATATCAGCATAATCATCGGATTGTGAACAATTCGATAATTGGAGGATGTAACAATCGTCAATGGCGTCGAAAATGGGAAGATAAAACTTTTGCTGCTGTTTTAAAAAATCAACTTGGATACACTACGTTTTATGCTGGAAAATATTCAAATCAAGTTCGTATTAATAATACGCAATAATATTAGATGTTCATTGTTTAATAAATAATATATTAACTATTTTATGATGTTAATTAATTAATTTTTTAGTATGGAAAACGAGCAGCCGGTGGTATCGCACATATACCACCAGGATGGGATTGGTGGGCAGGATTAGTCGGCAATTCTCGATATTATAATTATTCTCTATCTATCAATGGAACTGAGAAAAAATATGGAGAAAGTATTGATGAATACCTTACAGATGTTATAGTAAGTTAGAAAATTGAAATGATTATGGATACTTATATAAAATCCTAATAATGAATATAATTTGTATTTTAATTTCAGAGTGAAATGGCACTAGAATTTTTAAAGGGGTCAAGAAATTATAATTCTCCATTTCTGATGGTTTTAGCTCCACCTGCTCCTCATGAACCATTTACACCCGCAAAGAGACATATTGATTTTTATAAAAATGTTACTGCAAAGCAAACCCCTAATTTCAATACACCTATTCAAACAGTTATGATAAACTATACTTTGATTTGTTAAATAAATAAAAAAATTTTATAATTAATTTTTATTTTTAATCTTATAATAATTAAATTTAATTTATTTACAGGATAAACATTGGCTATTAAGACAAGAATCATCACCACTTTCACAAAATACACTATCTCAGCTTGATTTTATATACAGACGTCGATGGGAATCATTATTAGCTGTTGATGAATTAATTTTTCAAGTTTATGAAACTTTGCAATTGATGGGTATTCTAGATAATACTTTCATCATATTTACTTCCGATAATGGATATCATGTTGGTAAATAAATTTGTATAATTTTATTGAGAACAACGCAATTCCAATTATTTTTAAAGATGAATATCTTTAAAGTTTGGAATGACTTTTGTAATAAATATACATATATATATATATTTAAGGTCAATTCAATTTGCCGAAAGATAAAAGACAATTGTACGAAACCGATATACGTGTACCTTTGTTAATTCGAGGACCTGGAATTGCATCATCGAGTGTTGTTGAAGCGCCTGTTAGCAGCGTTGATTTATTTGATACAATCTTACAGATGGCTGAAATAGGTACAGAATTTCAGTCTGACGGAGTGTCCGTTTTACGAAAAAATATTTCCTTTGACAGAACACTTTTAATTGAATATAAAGGAGAGCATACAAGACCAAAAGTAAATTTCGGTTGTCCAACTGATTTTGATAAAAACATATCTGTAAGTTTATATAAATAATTTAAATGTTATTTTTTAAATTATTCAATCAATTTTTATTTTGTAGCATTGCGACAAAGATTTGGATTGTAAGTGTGAAGATTCAAAAAATAACACTTATTCATGTATAAGAACATTATCAATTGATTTTAATAATATATTTTGTGTTTTTGAAGACTCAGAGGTATGTTTAGCATAAAAAATAATTCTCTTATTGGAAAAAAAAAAACATTCAAGCTTACGAAATAATTTACTTTTTCTCTTTGCAAAGAATTTCATTGAAGCTTATGATCTTCATGCCGATCGATATCAATTGTCTAATATTGGACCCAAAATGAATTCTACTGAAAGAACGAAATTCATAAAATTCCTAAAAAAAATGACGAAATGTAATGGAGTTAAGTGCATTACGAAAATAGATCATTAATATGTTCTAAGAAGAAAATACTGTGATATGCAATAATGCCATAACAAAGGGTAATTTTATAATTAAGGAAAACATTTAAATAAAATCAATAATTAATCCTCATATATCAATTTTAATTTCATTTTTATGTAAATGTTTGAATAAGATTATTAGTTAAAATCATAGTGATAAAAAATGATTAGCTATTCAAAGAAAATATTCATTTTTGTAAGAAAAACTCCATGATGTTTTTCGGTTATTACTTCTATCATTCCAGAGGGTGTGATTGAACAACAGTACAAATCAATGAGTATTTCAGTATTTTTGCAATAATAAATGCGATTAAGTAAAGATTAATACTTAATTTTTTTAACTAAATGCGCAAAATCATAAACCCTTATGAGCTTGCGCAATAAGTCAAGGTAATGTTCCACCACAGATATTTTCTAGAAACTTATTGTACCTTTAAGAGCTCGATAAGTTGTTTCACTTACAAGGATAAGATTCTATTACAATATTCACTACAGAAATTCTTTTATTATCAATTAACAAATTTATCAACTGTTTAGAAGCATTTTCTAGTTCAAGTTATACCATATCAATTGAAGAAGCTTCATTCAAAAATAAACAGAATATTTTTTTAAATAATCTGTACCACTTGTGATTATCAACTTGGTATAGGACGCGTGATACTTTCATAAAATTTCTTACGGTAAGTTTTTTAGTCTTTTATGATTTAATACACTATGATCACGTTAAAAATAATCACTCGTTATCAATATACAATACAAACAAAATGATTACTGAGTTTATTATATTTTTTATCAAATAGTTTTAAAGGTTCTGTGATTTTTTAACATTTTATAAGCATATCCAATCATTATAAAAATAATTTTCGTTAATGATTATTTATTTAATCATAGTTACATCATCTAAATATATAAATGAAAATTATTTAGTTATTTCGAAATTTCAAAACTTATGAAATGTTCAATATTATTTAAACTACTGAACAGTTGTATTGATATAATAATAAATATTGGTTTTTGGATACACAGAAAAAAAAATTTCTTGGCACTGTGCAAAAGTAGCAGAAGTTATAAAAATCGATTTGTCGGTACCCATAGCAACATACGTCATAAATTTAATTCCTAAGATTTCTAGTTAAATTTTTGATCTTTTATTCCATTAAGAATAACTTGGTAGATTTCATTTGTTTATTTTTTCATCTCTAACTAATAGAACTATTTTTAATTTGATAGAGTAAAACCTAACAGTAAAATCCAATAATTTTATATTACCTTTAGATAATTTAAATAAATTTTTTAATTTTAATAATCAAAGAATTTCCTAAATATTTCACAATAATTTTTAAATTTTGAAAACATTTTATTGGTTATAAATTTTGATATTATTATAATGAGTCTTCTGACTGCGTACGTCCTTGATTATAATATATGACAAGTATTTCATAGGTTTTATCATTATTATTATATAACATTTTTTCGATTTTTATTCTTCAGTTTTCAAAGAAGGATGACTTACTTCTGCTCTCAGTATTTCACAAGAAGGTGTCAAATTCTCTACAAAATTCTTGTATAATTACAGAAAGTTAGATTTGAAATAAAAACAGAACTGGTAGTTTTAAATTTTAATATAAAAATTCATAAGTGTTAATTTTAGTATTAATCATTACACACTACACTATACAAAGAAGGGTCTTAGTTTAAGATTAGGACATAACGAACAATACCTTTTTTCTAGGAAACGGATATCGAATAGGAGGGTGCATGCTGGAATACCAGTGGACAAAAGTTAGACGAACAACGTGTATTCGGCGATTCCTTATGCCCAGCAAACCATTCTATCGATTTTTCTTCAGCTCGAACAATATTCAGTACCTGAAAGGTTGGCCAAGGCGTTGGAATTATTTGAATATTAACAGCTACATTTAGAAAATAGGAATCAACGATGTCAAGTGATAAATTAAACAGTATTGATGATGTAAATGGAGAAAAAGTATCTTACTTCTCAGGGAGAGAAATACATGACCATGTAAACAATGAAAAAAATGATAATCACCTGAAGGATACATCATATAAAATACAAAATGAATTTTTGGAGAATATTTCAGATAAATCACTACTTAACTCACAACATAAACATACAATACTATTTGATTGTTCAAAATACAACGTTAATAATCCAGCGACTTTGTCAAGCTCAGGTATTGAGGACAATTTGAATTTGTCTCTGAATATTGATACAGCAAATATCAATTCATTGCCATCAAATAAAAATAAAAGTGAATATGAAAATGACAATTGGTTACTATCAAGTAAATATGAGCATTATTTGAGCGAAGATAAGAAAATAGATGAAGATAATCATTTTATTTCTCAATCTCTAAATGTACTTGATATGATTGATGACATGGAAATAAATTTTACTTCTAATTCAGATGAATGTATGAAATCAGAGAAAAAAACAGGCAAAGCTCCGAAAATACCAGATGGTGGTTGGGGTTGGATGGTTGTTTTAGCGTCACTGATCATTTCAATGATAGCCGACGGGGTGTCATTTAGCTTTGGTTTACTTTACATAGAATTTCTCGAAGAGTTTAGAGCATCAAAATCTAAAACTGCTTGGATTGGATCTTTATTTATGGCTGTACCATTACTCTCAGGACCAATAATGTCAGCTTTAGTTGACAAATACGGCTGCAGAAATATGACTATTTTAGGAGGCTTAATATCAGGAACTGGATTTATTTTGAGCTCATTCGGCAATTCCATTGAAGTAATGTACTTGACATTTGGAATACTTGCTGGAGTAGGTCTAGGCCTGTGTTACGTGACTGCAGTTGTAAGTGTTGCCTACTGGTTTGATAAAAAAAGATCACTTGCCGTTAGTTTAGGCGCTTGTGGTACTGGTATTGGGACATTTGTTTATGCTCCAATGACAACATTTTTTATTTCTGAATATGGCTGGAGAGGAACTTGTCTTCTTTTGGCAGGAACCTTTTTCAATATGATAGTCTGTGGTACTATCATGCGTGATCCAGAGTGGTGGATTATTGAACAAAACAAACAGCAGTCTGTAAGCTCACCAAGAAAGTCAATTGTACGATCTGAATGTGGAAAATCATGTTCAAGAATCAGCATTGAAGATTTCTCGAAAATTGATGAACTAAAAATGCTTCTAAAAAGTAAGCCAACACCTGAATATCATCTTCATAGCCTTAAAACAAGTGTAGTGGCTCCCTGCGATAATTCATCAATGTCCAACGAACATACCTACTTTAGAAGTGTTGTCAATCTACCAACATTTATTCGACAGAGTGAAAAAGTTTGGTCATTTCTAAATTTTTATTTATGAATTGAAGCAAAAAAAAAGTTTCATGCTCATTCATCAATGACTCATTCTATTACGCAATCATACGAATGTTAAAATACTTTTATCAAATGTCTAAGCGGTTTTTTTATTGCTTCAGTGAAATATTAACTAAAAATTATTCATATACAAGATTACTTATAATTATTTTAAATTTACAGGTACCTTTGGAAGTATTAGAATCATTGTCAGCTAATTCTCGAGTTTACAATGTTATCTTAGAAAACTACCCGAGTCTCGTTCTCTGTAGGAGTATGTCTGATAAGAAGCTGGAAGAATTATCCATCCGAGAAACCACCAACAAAGCTGGTATTACGATGTCAATGAGGTAATTATAATTAACTTTATCGATTACATCCTCTATATTATTTATTTATTCACATTATTTAATAATTATAGAATAAAACAAGCTAAGATTAGCAATGAAACTCCACCGATTGTGACAGAAGATTTCAAAGTAACTGATATGATTGATTCAATTTATATATCAAAAAAAAATATCAATCTTGATAAAGATGAAGTAATTATTGATGAAAAGTTGCCAAAACGCTGTACAAAATACCTTTCTCGAATTAACAGTGATTTTGTCAGAGCTGATTCGCTACCTTGGATCAGACGACAACTACACTCCAACACCAATTATTTTAAAAATATTCGAGTTCATAGAAACTCTGTGATGTATCGTGGTGCTGTATTAAATTTATACAAATATCGGTTAAGAGCAAGTAGTTGTCCAAACATTTATAGGAATAGTATGACGACTCTTGCAAAAGAATGTGAACAGGTTTGTATCAGTGTAATTTTATTGAAAGCTTATGAGATAAGTGTTTTAATTTTTAATATGTAACATTTTAGAAGTGGTATACTGAGTTTGTCAATCTATTGAGAGGTATGATGGATTTCTCAATGTTTTTAGAACTTCACTTTTTACTACTCTCCCTGTCAACAATATTGCTATTCACATGGTTCATTGTACCCTATTTTTATCTCGCTGAACATTTAACCAGAAATGGATATTCCGAATCGGATGGCGCTAATCTTTTGAGCATTATTGGTATTACCAATACTATTGGAATGGTAAAATATAAAATAAAAAATAAACTAAAGCTTTTTTAAAGGATTATTTTAATAATATTGAAAGATATTTTGCAAGCATATTAATGAATGAATATTATTATTTGTATTAGATTGGTCTTGGATGGGCTGGAGATCAACCATGGATGAATATAATGAAAACGTATACCGTTTGTTTGATTGCATGTGGAATTGCGACAATATTGATGACCGTATTTACTCATCAACATGTTCTCCTTGCTATCAGTTCAGCCTTATTTGGTTTATTTTTTGCTAGTAATTTCAGTTTCACACCAATTATTTTAGTAGAATTAATACCATTGGAGCGATTTACAACGGCGTATGGGCTAAGTTTACTTTGCCAAGGAATTGGTAATTTACTTGGACCGCCATTAGCAGGATTAATTTTTGATTTAACTGGTCACTGGGATCTCTCGTTTTTTTTAGCTGGGGGTTGGATCATTGTATCCGGTCTTTTAATAGCTATTATTCCATGTACAAAAAATCGTAAAATTTTAGGAAGTGGACCAATTGAAATGGATCGTATTGGGGAAAGAGATTTAGATTGATAAATCTGTCCGTCGAATTTGTTTGAATAATTATTTTTGTTATACAATATATTTTGTATAACTAATGTAATTTTTCTGTGAATATTTGAGAAAATAGTACATCCAATGTTATTGCTTATAATTGAAATAAAATTTTTAGAATTATACATAATGTTTGATATATGATATACTAATTAAAAAAAAAATGTTTTGAAATTTATTTTAAACTAACAACTATTATTATTCAAAAATAATGAATATTTTCAGTGACTCAATAACTGAAATATTAATAACAATGGAAAATATTTCAACGAATTATAAACATCAATTAATTAATCCTGCATTTTAATGCCCACTATGTTGTTATTTAAATTTTATTATTATAAATTCAAAAATGTAAAGCTATGTTAAAAAAATGTCAAAATTGTTATCTTATGCAAGTTAAATAATTAAAATAAAAGTGTATAAAATTGTATCATAATGTATAAAAATTATTTCAAAAAATATTTTTACTACTTTTTGACAGTAGTTAGACTTTATCATAGTTTTTTTTTCAATTAACAAATTTAATTCAATATTTTTGATAAGTTTTTATCATAAAAAGTATACATATACTCTACAGTTGAATAATAAGGTATAAAGGAGATTAAAGTATTGTTTGTGATAAATTCTTTTATTCAAACTTAAATGAATTATAACTCTCATGTTCCATTAAAAAAATCAGACATTATCAATTAAAACACATTTCAGAAATCGATCTTAAGAAATAATTATAATTCATCAGTCACAGTAATCATTCCTAATATAAATTTATTTAAACATGTTTATGCGAATAATATAGCACTCTTTTATATGAATTGTGTTTGTTAAGAAATATATAAAAATCAAAATATAAATTATTTATTATTATTATTATTATTATTATTATTCACTTATATTATTTCATTCTCAAATGTATGTTATAATCATTCATTATATATATGATTTATCAATTTTTCATGTCAGAATTTGCATTTGATATATTTTACACTTGTAAATTTTTCATGAAAAATAACAGTTTGTACAAAATTGACTATAATTGATTGCTTTACGTTATTATAACATGTTTATAACAGAAGCATGAGAATATCTATCATCTGTCTATTAATAGAATGTAAAAGTCGTATAGTCCACGTATTGATTATTTTTAAATTTTTTTTTTCATTTTTTTTAAAAATCAATTAAGCATAATTCAGAGAAAATGGGCTCTTGATTTATTTAATTAAAAATTTTTTTATGCAACTTATATTTCAATAATCATCTAATTATCTAACAAATTGCACTTAGGATCATAAGTAACCAAAAATAGTATAATTTTATTTTTTTGAAAAATATTATTTATGGCTCGAAAATTTCTATTAAATCGATAAGTCTTTTAGGACGAATTAATACCCGATTACTTTTAGCTTCTATCCACTTTAAAGTTAATATTTTACGACTTTTAAATCTAACAAGACTAGATTAGATTTCACGATACTAATTTGATCTGCTTTAGATCCTTTTAAATAAAATTTTTTAACCAATTCACGTTCATTCTAATCTTATTCTATTAATTTAGAAGTTAAGTACTTTATCCAATAATAAATTTTATATAGTTAATCTATAATGTTCAAAAAAAACATAGCTGCACTCTGAACCAATATTTAAAGCCTTAAATGCATCAAATAGTATTTTAGGTTTTCGAAAATTTTACTATACCAGTCTTAATCTCCGACAAAAAGAAACAGCTATAATAAATTTTTTGAGTATTCATTGTGACTCAATTATCAATGATATGCACACATAAAATTCTAGCATGATAGAATAAGTGAGGAAGTAATATAGTACCATAAATACTACGATTTTGGTAGCTTAACATCTAAGTTTTTTTACGCTGAAAAAGATAAAAATACATTATCAAATCGGTTATTGTAAATAAATAAAATTATAAATATAATTAAGCAATTTTAAATATTGAATTACTTATAAAAAATTAAACAATGCTTGATTCGATTAATAAAGATGAGTATAAATTTCTAATTTTTTAAAAGAAAACAAACTTTTATATAGTTTTATTATTAGAAGAACATTCACTGAACATAATAATATTTCAGCTTTAGTATTAAAGTATGCAGAGATAGAATAACAAATGTTATGCAAAAAATAATTTGTAATAAATATCTTTGTTAAATATAGATCTCTATGACCTGCATGTTTGCAGTCAATATAAATTGATATGACTTTAATAATTTCTGTATCAATAAAAATTTATAATATATTATAATAATTTGCATAAAAAAGTTTTCATAATTTAAAATCCATCAAAAGCTTTTATTTTTATATTAATAATTTGCTAATATATTTTAATTTAAAATCAATACTATTGAATAGCTGATATTGTGTATGATGCTATCATTCTCGATTTTGAGTTATATCTTTTAATATTCACAATGATCAAATAATTATTAATTTGAATTGCTAATTATTTAATATCGTCTAACAATAAAAACTTTTCATTTATATTTTTTTTATAAATGCTTGCACAAAAAGAATATTTGTTAATAGCTTTGCATAGATAAATATTGAAATGCAAATAATTGTTTGTAGTTTGTGAATTAAATTTAGTAATATTTTGATTTATCTTCAAGTTACAAATCATTATTAATCTATGTATAGTTTATGAGGCTCTTTTGAATAATAAAAACGAATATAATTAATGGTAAAATATACTGCTGTTGTTTTTCTGAAAAAAGTATCTAGCTGGTCCCAAAGCTCTTTATTTTGAACTGAGAAAAAAATTAATTCAAAGCCAAAACTAGAAATGAATTAATACTATAGAATGATTTCATTACAGATTTTTCACATCAATATTATTTAATTTTTCATATTTATTTATTCGTTTTTTATAGAAAAAACTAGTAAAAAGTGCAATAATTTATACTTAATATTACGTCAAAATGATTGCTATTTTTGCAAAGAAATTCTTTTGCATACATTTTTTTCCTACCAGAAATATTATTGCATAGCCGATATGAATCCATTCATGCATTTAATTTACAAATTAAAGTCATTAATAAAGCTTGCCAAGCTAGATTTTTTCAATCATATTTTTACTAACTCGAGTGTTCAAAATTTTGTTACTAGTCCCTGCATAAGCACTACGTACGTAGTGTTTTCTTAATATTTAATAATGTGCCATCTTTCAAGTTTTATCTATATCGAGTAAAACTCAACTGATGACAAGGAATAGTTATCACCTTACACCCTTATCAGTAAATTTCTTCATAGTAATTGAAAATTGGGTTCAATCGAGCCCGGCCAAAGAATACAGTCCATTTTTTCTGTAACAGAGGTAACTCTAATTTTTTATTTATCGTACGAAAAATTTGGGTTATAACTAATGATTTGTTATCAATAAAATGATCAAATCTGAAAAAATTCCTAAGACACAGTTAAAATTTAATAGATTTAGACGTATCTGAAATTTTGTAAAACTCTATCAGATTTCAAGTTGTTTGTTATATGTTGATGATAGAATTTACTTTCTTAAGACTTACATTTAAAAATTTTGTTGTTATAATTAAGGGATACATAGTTGAGTATTTGTAGCTTGCTCTGGCGATGACAAAACTACCGAAAAATCAGAATCTAGTATAAGATCACTGATGCACCCAACAATTCCCTTCGTGTACCTTCCATTTGTGGTATTGACTATATTTGGAGCTCCACCTTTAATCAAATTATTTATCATTCCTCAAAAGATAAATTTTAATTAAGTTTTTAAAATATTATCTGTACAGAGAAATCTATCATTTAAATGTGATGATGATATTTATTGTCTAAATGTAAACAAGAAAAATATAATTAAATTTTTGACAATTGGGAATATATAATTGTTTTCAATAAAATAAAGTCGATCTGTCAATAGTAAGAGTTAATACATAAAATTCAGTACATGATTTGACTTTGGTTGTAATCTTGAGTAGTATAACATACCTATGTAGAGACCAGTGTCTGTATTCAACTCTCTAAGTTGGCCGGGTGATGATACAGATACACCTAATCCATTGTCAACTATCAGTGATGACCATTGTTCATTTCTAATCAATAAATAAAGCTCTTAAGAATAAGAGCTTATCTACTATACTATGAATTATTGTACCTGACTGCTTTTATTCGATGCCAAAGATCATCATTGACTTGTGTGAGATTATATCTAAGAACCGCTTCACCACTACCAAGATTATAGGATAATACTAAATAACCTTGGTGAATACCTAGTGCGAGATAATCATTATTTTTTTCTTCTCTTTCCTGCGGCTCTGATTGCCTTCCACTCCATAATAAAAGTCCATCAGTACTACTTGTTCTAAATCTCATATTTATATCTACTCGGTAACTTATAATCCTGTTAATAATGTTTCTTATTTCATAAATAAAATTAAATCAAATGTGTTTCATTATTTTACCTTTTCATTGTATCAGCATCGCTGTAATGCAAATAACTATCAGTCCCAGTGAAACTAGGCACATGTCGTTCTAATTTCGTGCTTATAGGTGGAATAGAATTGATGGGCAATAATGCATGTGGTACTATCAATTTATCGAGTGCTGGGCAAGGATGTGGTGTTCCTAAATGACATCTGCACGTAAATCTATCTCTGATTGGTCGACATTCAGCATCACCACAAGGCCGAGATTCACATGCATGACCACAATTGCCTACATTTACGCCACCAAGAGCTTCTGCTAAAATTCCAATCTGTGAAAAATTAATATTAATATGCACAATTCATATGCCAATGTTTTGTTCTATACTGATTTAGAAGACATTCATAAATCATTCAGTTCACTAGTACTATACATAATTTATTACCTCACGATAATTAAGTACAATTGTCTGAATACACCCAATAAAATTAGCAGTCACGTTGACTTTAAACGTAAATGTCTTGAATGATGGTGCTCCACCAAGAAATAAATTCATTGGTAATGAGAGTTGTGTAAAAGCTCCTGGAGCCATGATTTCTTGCATAGACTCATTTTCAATTTCTAATGAAGCTAATCGTCCTGTTCTCGAAACTCTAACTTCTAGCCATTTATCAAGTAATATAGGTAACTTACTCCTAGAATTGAATCATACATTAACATAGGAATTAGCTTGCTCTTAAGAAATCGACATAAATCAAGGATTACTTTTATCACCTACCTAAGAGTTGCCGGTCCTGAGCCTAAGTCAAAAGTAAAATAAACATGATAGTTGTTCAAATAAAGGGCAATAAAATCACCAGTTCCATCTTTGTGATATCCATTGTAAAGAATCATGCCATCAGGTGCAAGAGGTTTAAATGTTATCGATAATTCGAGCCAAGATAAAGAGCTATCTCCTAATCCAGGATAACGTAAATAGGAAGATCCGTTAAATGATGGAATCTAGAACCAAATTAATTTAAATTATATAAACCTGTATAAATTTTTTTTTTTAATTAACACAATCACTTTTAGCAGTTTCCATTACTTGCAAATCGACTCGGGTTTCGCAAAGGTCACCAGTATAACCAAGAGGACATAAACATACAGTAGTATCTCCACCAGTTGTTAGACATTTTCCACCATGAGAACACGGAACATTACTACATTTATCAGCTTTGCATTCCTCTACAGAAGTAAGACATTGATATTATACACAAATGAATGAACAATATTATAATAAAAATCATATTATAATTTTTTTGTTTATATGTACGAACCTACGTCAAAACCATTAACAGCATCACCTCGAGGCATTAATGGAAAACGATAACGGTGTTCATTCGCTTCAAGATGCCTTATACATCCAACAAATCCAGTTTTAACAGGGAGTCGATCTAATCCAGTAGTATTACCAGGACCGCCAATAAATAATAATTCTTGAAAAGTAATTCTTGAAAATAATCCCTTGAAGATTATAAAATCGATTATAATATATTCCTACTAACAGATGGTTGATGAATAAGTACATTTATAGCTTACCTTAGATCTACCTTGAACACGTTTTTCTGAATTGAGTTGTATCCAGGCATCCCAACGATGACGGTATATATTGAGAGTATTCCACTTGTTCAATTTTACAGTCTTAGTACTTCTTACCACGCCTACGCCACTCCCACAATCGAATCTGTAAGTATATTATTTAACATGCTCAGGCAGAGTTTACAACTTTAAGCAAATAATTTTCAATTAAAGAAAAATTTTTATATTAAGTATTTCTAACAAAATCTATGTAATTCTTACTTACCGAAATTCAATAAATCCATGATATAAAATAAGAGCCATAAAATCACCTTGTAAATCATCACGCTCACCAGTGAGTAAAATGATACCATCCCAATTTTCAGGTCGAAATTCAAGATCGAGTTGAATGTGTTTATAAGCTGTTTTTAACGCTGGAAATGCTAACCAACTTTGTCCAGTAAATCTAGGAGACTTTATATCGATCTCTAAAAAGTAATAGTTAATTATTCCACTTAGATTCATATGATATTTTATTGTTGAGTTATCAATTAAAATATAATGATAATTGATCATAGTTTTGATTTTATTAATTGCACACCATTTTGACAGAATTCGCCAGTTCTCCCAAGAGGACATTGACATCGTTGTCTAAATAATTTTGTACTCCGGTAATTTTTATTTAAATCATTTCTATCATTATATAGTTCTTCGGTGTAACAAAGTCCCAATGGACCACAATCGACAGAACAAGCAGGTTCCATTTCTAAAATATTTTCCGTCGCAGACAGAATTGTGTTATTCAAAGTTGAGTCCTGTAACAAATTGTTAATATAATATTAAATATTTCTTCTTTGTTACTATTATTTACTCATATTGATTACCTTTAGTTTGGAAGGTCCAAAGGATTGTGCTAATTTGGTGTTATTTTTATTTGCCTTAACTATTATATCATTTGGAGACTGATTTACGGAAGTCCGAAGAAGCTTTTCTAGTGAAAATGAAGTTTTAGCGTCTTCTTCACTATTAGATTTACTAGATACATTATTACTATTTATCATATCGTCGATTTGATCCATTTTACTATTGAACAGCGTTGTTGAATTCAGCTCTATAAAAATTAAAATCACATAATAATAATAAGATTATTCCAAAATCAATTGACAGTAATCGCGCATTGAGAACTTTCTTTCTTTATCTCTCTCGTAGTATTTTTCTTTTTAAATGGTTCATTCAGGATCCAGAAATCACCCCACAGAGACTAGAATTTAAAAACATAATTGTCCAATAAAAGCGTAAAAAAATACGATGCGTTCACTGAACTCAAAGTGTCTCTTGAACTGGAACATAGCTAGAAGGTGTTACTGTCAAATTCCATAACAAGTGATTGCACTTCGCACATCGCGCAACAACCGTTTAATATTCGATGTGTGAAATTTTATGCCAATATTAACGAAGTTGATTTCGTGATTTATTGACAAGTGTTTGTATTCTACATTTGTTGAATGGTTGTAAATAAATAGTTATTTTTAATCAAATTTGATGTTTAATTAAAAATAAAAAGACTATTAAATCCTACATAAACCATTATAAAGAGTAAGCCTCTTTTTGCCAACACATGTTTTATTAGAGACTCTTTTTCTTTACTCTAAAGCCAAGTCAAATTATAATTGAATAATGGCTTTATTTTATTGGAAATTTTTTGAGAATATAATCAATTATAAGGATAATACTTAAATAATGACTCAGAGTATATTAAATTATAATGCTAAAATAAATCAATTTTTTTCTTTAAAATTATTATTTTTATCATTTTTCTACGATTATTTAAATGAAATTTATGAATTGAATCCATAAACTACAATCAAACAAGTTTACAAACTGAATTGTGACAAGTGATCATAAAATCACTGTATGGTTTAATATCTTTTGTGACTTGAGTACCATACTTAATTACTACATCAATGAGATTGAATGACGTAAAAATTCAATAAAAAATATTCGAGATTTATACTATATTATTTTTTCACATGAGAAAACAGAATTGTTAATAATAGCTCACAAAAGTTGAGAATAAGATTTGCTGCAGTTAGCCAGTCTTTTTCGATCCACTGAATTGTTGAGATCTTAAAGCTTTTCTTTGTGAACTTTTTACATCCAAGTCTCAAGACTTTTCAGGAAACATAAGTTCACTTCAAGTCGTAAATCGGTTCTTGAGTAAGAATCCTTCATTAGTCAAGTTGTGAATGTCGTAGAAAACTTTATTCTTTATACAAAGAATAAATATTGTTTGAAAAATGAACATTTTGATTAATAACAACAATATTGTTAATATTATAAGTAAAATTTTTCAACAAAGAATAAGCATATTATTCATTAATAGAACTCTTGAGGATATCAATTATTTTAATAAATACAAAAGTTTTTTATTGTGAGCATTCGAAGCTTTCAATTAATTAATTGAAATATTTCCTATTAGATCACTGGAAATCCTTTCTTAGAGGTACCATTGTTAAAGGTATCAAAGTTAATTATTTCAAATGGTCTCTATAGGAGAAATAAGATAAGTACTTTCCCTCACCAGAACAACTATATCCATTTTTATGGATAATGTAACCATCCCGACAGCCACACTCATACATGCCATCATGAAGTTCATAGCAAAGTTGTTCGCATGGTGAATTTTGACCGCATTTTCCTGTAATAAATAAAGAGAAAAAATTTTTTTACAAATAAAAAAATTATTTCAATCATGTTTAAAGCGTAAGAATTATATAATTGATATTATACGAGGATCATTTGATTTCAATTTTAGTTTTCCTGCTTATTGTGCATGAATATCTTTAATTCAACAAAAGAATTCTATAAAGCCAATAACTATTGTACCAGAACAGTATAAAAAATGACAAAATAACATTTCGATGCTCAGCAATAGGAACTTGATATAAAGTTTTTTAACAATTTTAACTTATTATTGATTATTATTTTTTCTTTTTTCATGTACATGCTTTTAGTATAATTACAACACATAAATTTCTATACATGCACGTCTGATCGATCTTTATTAATATTATTTTTATTAAATATAGTTAAATAAGATTATTACCTTGAAAAGCAGCTTCAAAAGCTGTACGTTCTTCAATTAAATTTTGAGAAATAGTCACAGTGATGATTCCAAGCATTGCAGTTAGGTAATAAAAATACTTTACAGCCATTGTTTAATAATATAGAACTTCACTGAATTGAAATACTCAATTTAATTTCGTAATCGTTCAACTAGTACTACTTCGTTCTTCACTTAGTAAATGCTCAATTTATCAATCTAATTATTACAATTCATTCGTCTAAAAGTTATTAATGCATTGAAAGTAAAAGTAATACATTATATTCATTTAATTCCGAATTGGTGTAGTAAATATTCGTCAGTAAGAGTGTGTGTTGATAATTGAGAAACTCTCTATATCAAAGAAAAACTAGCTAATTTTCACGATTTAAAAAGTGCTTTATATTTTAATAATAGTGAAAAAAATTCTCATCAAGTCGAGCATTTATAATAAATCGTTTTAATAAACTAACTACAGATTTTTACAACTATTCAATCAATTTTATATATTTTCAGTATTGGATGAAACAGAGTGTGAGGTAGAACGAATGTTTAGACGGCGCATGACAAGTAGCACAAATTTCTATTGTCGATGTAAGAAAATATACATTTTAGAAAAATTATTATCAATTTAACTAATAAGTTGAACATTCACACTCCATCGTTGTTCTATTAAAATATTCACCAGACTACGTACAGATATGTGTATGTGTATTGCGCTTTATTATAAAATTATGACTGGTATAGAAATAATCTCTAAAATAACTTTTGTATATTTTAGAAAAATTTTTCAATTAGTTCAATCTATAGCTTATATAATCGAGTAAACTTTGAGAAAACAAAGTAATATTGAGTTTAGAACATAATACAGGTATTTTAATTCGATAGTAAACATCGGAATAAACCTCAACTCAATGTGAAAAATAGTAGAGATAGTTTTATTAATAATTTTCATAAAAATGTATAGAAATATGAAATTTAATTAATTATTTCGAATTTATAATAAGTAGTTTTTATGTATCAATAGTTTAACCGCGTTATTAAAAATTGATGAATAGACACGAATGCCGGCCGATGCCTTTCATCGAACTGCAAGGGTTGAACGCGTTGACAGCGCCACTTCTAGTGAGGTGTAAAATACGCCAAAGTAGCCATATTTTTTATAAATAAAAATAATAACCTTTACTAAATATAAATTCAATTATTAGAATAGAATTTAATTTTCTTTTGATTTGTTAATATTTTTAATTAATAATATCGAAAATAATTGTAATTCAAAATATTCCCATTTAAAAAATAAAAAACTCTTTAGTTAGGTTAAATCCTCTGGACTTCCCCTATGTATTCATAAGGTTTATGTATTTAAAGTTTCAAGAGATTGTATTAATATTTAATAAAACCTTGAGTCGGTATGTAAATATAACAATTTTTTTTCTTTATTTTCTGTGAACTATAAAATAAAAATATACATATAAGAGTAATTTAGTTAAAATAAATCTCAAGTTCTCTTTGTCTGAGCATACTTTCATTTACATCAAGATTGTACATAATAGTTTTCAAAGTGCAAAATTATATTGCAATCTGTTGATCATTGTATATAATACTTGTACATATAAAAACTTACCTTACATTCATTAAGAAAAAATCACATACTTTTGTTAGAGTGTACTTTTTTGTTATAGAATAATATAATTTTTAATACTTTAGCTCAATTAAAAAAATTTACTACAATTATTAAAAATTTTTGGGCAATATTGATTGGCAATTATAGCATAAGGTACATCACTTCCAATACGTATTGTTTCGAATTGACTAAGTTTGTTCCATACATGAATTATTAATGCTTTTTCAATCATTCTTAACGTTTCATTTCGTTTTTTGGCGTCGAAATATAATTTCCACTTTTTGTAGTGTATCGGATAGAACGTTGATGGTGGATAAACGTTAAAACCATGGCATCGTGCCTTTGTCATATCTTGAGCCTAAAAAAAATTTATTATTTACTTGCTAGCTTATCAATTGTAAACTTATTTCATATATTCTCACGTATTTAGCAGCACATATTCTTTGAAGTATTCGTGTTATTACACCTGGCCCATTATTACCCCAAATATCACCTCGAAAATTTTTTTTTAGATCTCGTAAACAAGCGTCAGCAATCCTTCGACCTACTTGATTCGCACCAAATCCTAATACACCAGCAGCAACATCTTCCCAATCTTCGGCACCAGCAAAATTTGAAAGATGTTCTAGAGATCTTCAAGAAAAATGTAGATAGTATAATTTTTATCAAATGTAACTGTATAAAAATTGAATTAGACTTACGATATCACAACTACATCCAAATCCAAATAAATTCCTGGATATTTCCACAGTGTTAGGTATCTTAGTATATCAGACATATGACTTCGAGGCCATCGGCTAGATTTAAATACTCCACTTGCCCACCATTCTTCTAGAGGAGTGTCTTTAACATATCGATCCATACTTATTCGATGAATATGAACATTTTTATAGCTCATAAGAATATCAATAATCATTTTAGTATAATTTGAAAATTTTCTATGACTGAGGAAGGATAAATAGACCTTCATCCCAGGATTCATTTTGGCTGCTGACTCAACAGCACATGCTTGTCTTGCATTCAGAAGAATTTCTCTATCACCGAAACATGAAGTTTCGTGGAAAAAAATATTATGGTCATCTTGCATTGATTGTTCTTCACCTTCTAATCCATCAACTTATGAGTTAATAATATCAAACATTATAAATATAATGCCAAATTGATAGTCATATACCTTTATTAAAATATTCAGTGGAACCCAGTGTTTGTGGTTCATCATAGCACGATATGTCTTCATCTGTAGCGCTTATCAAAGATATAGCTAAATTTTTTATAGACCTATGATTAGCATAAAAAATTACACATAATAAAAAACAACTACCACAACCAATAAATATCTTTTTTTTCAGTATTTTATTATAATTGAACACTTTATTTCGAAATTGCACTAATGTTAACATTTTATATAACATTAAAAAAACCCTCATAAAATGTTACTTTTTAAATTCACCCGCTAGGAAATTTTTAAATGTATTTCTAAATTTTGATTGTAATTTTTTATTCAAAATTCTTTTTCCATCATTTTTATTATTTAATAAATACTGTATTTATCTTTTATTTTGTTTACTTATTGACGTCTCATTTATATTTATGCCTCAAATTTGTATTTCTTCTAACCTTTAGGAAGTACGTAGGCGTTTTTAAATCAAATATCATGTTTAATTATCATTCACATACAAAGGATGAGACTAAATTTACTTAATCTTTTTTTTAAGACTCATTTATTTTTATTATATCAGTCTGTAAATTAATACTACCAGTGTTTCATAATATTTGATAAAATTTACAATAAAAATATAACTACACTTTCTATACTGATGCCTATGTGGTGGGTGATTCCCTAAAATCAATAACTACTTATATTCCGTACAGTACCCTTCTCTACTATGAGTAGAGATTGTAACTATTAAACGCAGTTTTCTATGATGTAACTTATATTCAAGTATTTTTACTTAGATTAAATAAAATGTTATTACTCATTATTTTTTTATTTCAACTCTATATCAAAAGTTATCAAAAACTTCTAAAGACCAAGTCAGTATAATATCAAAACCTTTAGAATTAACTGAATATGATAATAATTCATATCCTTTAAAATAAAATCTAAATAGAATTTATAGTACTGCACTGTTATGTTATTTTGCACATTGCAACCTTGCATTATTAATTACTATGTACGTCTGAGTGTTTGCAATAGGCGCCATTGGTTTCCTTGAAAATTGAATATGACGCGCGAATGTATCTTAAATTTAAATTTATTCAATAAAACAAATAGAATTTTCTACTTAATTAAATTTTATTTACCAATCATGGAATGGAAACGTTGACAAAATATAAACATATTTTAAAGATTTAATTGACATTTAATTCTTTATATTTTATTGAATGCTGCAATATCAACGCTTTGAACCAATTCTGTAATTCCTTCTATTTGTTCTGTTAACCAATCAACTGATACTTTATCATCTTCAATTACACATGATATTTGAAGTTTAACAATAGTATATGCCAATGGAACTTTTTTTGCTGTAATAAATTTGAAAAAAAAATTCAATATTTCATGGTTTTTTGAAATCCATTGATTAATAGATAATTAAAATAATTCTTACCTGCTCCCCAGAGTAATCCATCACACTTGATTTTTCTTACTTCAGCTTCCATTGCTTCCATATCAGTTTCATCATCCCATGGTTTTATATCCAAAATAATATTAGATTTTGCAATTAACGCTGGTTCTATAATTGACAAATAACATTATTTTCCATTATTTATCTATATTTATCCAAATATATGTTACAAATAATTACTTTTTGATTTTTTTGCTGCATATGCTTCTAAACGTTCTTTACGAATTCGGGCTGCTTCGGCATCTTCATCCTATAATGAATGATTTTTAATATATATATCATAATATCAATATTATTGTGTAAAAATATATATATTTATTGGTTCATTGTTCAATAAATAGAGTAATTGTATAATTTACCTCTGAATCAGAACCAAATAAATCTACATCATCATCATCATCATCATCATCATTATCATTATCTTTAGGTGCTTCAGCTGCACTAGGTTTTGCAGGGCAAACAGCGATGTGCGGAGTAACAGGCGGACATGATTGATTAGCCTGAAGCTTTTGTACAGTTATCAACAATTCAGCGAGATCTGAGTAAAATGAATTTATAAGTATTTATTAACAATTCATATTGAAAAAGAAATGATCAAAATACTCACTCTGGTTTACTTTTTGTAGTGAAGCTTCGAGACGTTCATTTTTTAGCTCTATAGCTTCAATACGTTTTAATAATTCTTCATTAGAAGTACTGCATGTGGTATTAATTGTAGATAGCTAAAAATGTCATGGAAATTAATTCAATATTTTGGATAAAAATTTAATAAGTATGCATTGTTATCTAGATTTAACAATTGTATTAAAATATTTAATAACTGGTCATAGTCAATCAAAAATGTACGTATCGAGAGAAAAAAATCATTTCGAACAAATTAATTTTTAAAAAAATGTATTATAATTAATTTAAAACAAATATGTACAATTCAACGGAAAAGAGAAAAAAATGAGTCGATCGTGAGCAGTGTTGAGTGCCTTCTAAAAGTACATGTCAGTATGGTATTAAAATAGTAAAATAATCTATCAGTCAAGTTCCATCATTCAATATACGAGGTAGACATTCAGGAAATATTAAACACATCAAAATAAACAGAAAAGTTTCAACACACAAATACTATTGTATTTGATGTGTTGTAGCCAAGAATACGTCAGTGATTTCACAAGAATGTGAATTAATATTCAAACCTAGGCTGCAAAGAATTCTGACTATCAATGTCTGAGCATTGTCTGTTTGAATCTCTCAACGGAATAATTAGTCATAAAGTACTATATGTTTTTGTCAAATAAACATTCAAAAAATAAAATGAAACACAATTAGATGCAAGCAGAAATATTAGGTATTACAAAATCGCTCAACTAATGAGCAGAAAATTATTGTACTCACACACTGCAAACCCTTTTTAATGTGTTGCCGCGCCTTCGCAACTTCTTTGGCCAAACTTCCACCGGTAAAATTGTCTGAAGAACTAGACACTCGGCTCTTCTGCACCCTCCGATAAAAACCATAAATACGGACACAACAAAAAAATTATTCATTATTAAATTATTCATGTTAATTCAAATATATAGGAATAGCTAAAGATTTCAATTTGTTTAGAACTCTGAAAATTTTAAGAATATGAAAATGCATAAAGTCTGATACAAAAGCGTATTAGAATCATTGTAAAAAAATGTATTGAGAATCTTTTTCGTCAATACTTGCTACAAAAGTTCAATTTTCGAATGTTTTGAAGTGTACAAAAAGTGATGAATTGTTGAATCCTCAATTATACGATTCATTTTATTCAATCAATGCATCAAGTAACACTCTTTTTTATAACATAATTTCTATTCTACAAACAATAAAGAGATGTATTTTTCGCCACTTTTCACACAATTTCGCTTACACTTAATGATACAATAGTATTTTGGATTTCAATCGTCTATTGATTTTAGATATAGATAGGAATTAATTCGGTAATGCAGCTCAATGTAGCCGTATGATGGATAAATGTTTTTAAATAGAAGAAAGAACAATCTTCCGTTCTTGTAACTATGATGATATAAAAGCAAGTTCAGATGATGATACATGACCAGATAGAATTATTCTTCAATTGAAGTAATTAAAAATGAACTCTTGCTTGTATTTTTCTTTTTACCTTTGCTATGTTTTCAAAATGAACACGTTCAGCTTTCTCATGAGAAGCCTTGTCGAACCATACTTTTTCGTGAACAGGTGTAGTAATAGCCATGGTTTATGAGTATTCAATCGTAAGGTATACTTGTAAAATATGAAAATTATACCTAGAAAATAAAAATAAAATTGGTATTATTGTATGCTCAGATATAATTTCAATAAAATAAATATTTTATAAAATTCTGTTTAGATTAAAAAATGATGCATTGGCAAAAAGTAAACCCTTGATTTAATATATGGTTATATACGGTTCCAATTGTAACTAAAAATTGCGAATTTATCAACACGAATATTTGAAAAATTGATTTTTATCTTATTGTTATTCACAAATAATAAAAAAATAAATAAATATTGAATCAAAAATATCAAATAACATCTGTTATATACACAAAATTAAAAATGGATATTATACATGTCTATTGTTTAAATAAATATGACGTATTGTTTAATTAAAAATTGGCCATACTCTAAAATCTTAAAAAGCTTTTTTCACTTCAAGTAAACTGTAGAAAATATTTAATTTTCCAAATATATATTTCTTATTTAAACGATGTGCTTTACAATATTCACTTATCACACCATTGTAAAAATAAAAAAAATATTATCGTCAAAAATTTGGAATATCTATCTCAAATATTAAATACCCGTATTTTCTTTTAACAAATAAAAATTTATTTAAAATATTTTTTTAGTTATAAAATAATACAAAAAGTTTATTATTAATAAAAGAGGTTCGTACAATTTTAGCTGATATTACTGGTTGACTTTGTGAGAGAATACCAAGGTAAGAAGGAATTCAGGATACTGGACTATACATTCGGCAAATTTAGGAGTTTCCGTTTACTGATCTATACTTTGTGCTGTTTACAATTAAGTGTGGTGGTATGCTGAAGGTAGGCATAAATAAAACCATCAATATAGATTTTCCCGGGTATTTTTAATTTTCGAGTACTTGACTTTAAAAAGTCACGTTAACTATTTAAATTAAATATATTATTAAAATAAACGCATGAAATATATATTTCAATTATGTTTATTATTATAAATAATGTTGTTATAAAATTTGTCTATAAATTATTATTGTAATTAATGTTTTTGTTTTTCTTTAAATTGTATCAGAGTTTTTGATTATTTTCAATCTTTTTTCTCTAATCGTACTTTCTCAAGTTGATAATCGGTATAATATGTATAATAATAAATAATCCAACAATATAAAATACCAATACTACAATAACACGAAGTAAGAGCTAATGGAAAAAATGGTAATTTCTTACCAAAGCATATTGTATGAAACACTGTTTCATATAAACTTATCAATGGTAATATTAAAACATAAATCCACTCATGAATATACAGAAGAGATGAATGAAATAAATTTTTTAAACATAAAAAAACTGTCATTATATACATTACTAAAATTCCAATTTTAAATATGATTAAATTTTCTGGAAAAAGTAGTGGTAAAATAGCAGCATGGCCTGTAGAACTTAATAGAAGAAATAATTTGGCATCAGCTTTATTAGTTGTGGCTAGAATTCTGAAAATAATGAAAAGTAAAATAAATACACCAAACGATTATAATTTATTATCATTCAGATCTAATGAATTTGTGATAAATTAATAACTACCCAAGTGGAATTATTGCCGTTAGAATAGCTTTTTCATGAACATGCCATCCAAACATGAAAGAACTTAAAGCACATATTACTAAACAGCGAACCATGTTTTCTTTTTTTAAATTCTCTCGTTTTTTACTGAATAATATTATCAGAGCCGGCTAAAATCAATAAAACAACAAAATAGATATTTTTGTTTTAGCTATTTTATGTTATATTATTTTTAAAAAATCGCTAACTTACGAGCATCGAACAAATCGTAGCAATAAATGTAACAAGAGGCGTTGGAGAAGCTAAAACTGTAAGAGAACTTTCTTGAACCAAACCACCAGTCATTGTAGCAGTTTGTACATGCATTGATGACAACCAGCCTAATTGTTTCCATACAACAGTTAGTATTTTATCCAAACCAACGTATAACGACCAAACATTAGCAGCCCAATATGCATGAACTAAACCTCGTTTAAATGGAAAAAGTCTTGAAAGTACCTAAAACAACGTACTAATTAATTATCAATGATTATTATTATTATTATTATTATTATTATTATTATTATTATTAAAAAGTCAATAGAATTAATTTCATACTTGAGGTAGTTGATGAATAAATGGCCCAAATGAAATTGCTGTAACAGCAAGTACAATGATTCCAAGTTGAATCAGTCTTGTAAAAAATTGATTACTTCTCAGACAATACCATTTGAGTAACCAGACTATAAATGAAGGAGCAATATATAAATAAATATGTTTTAAATTCAACAAAATTGCGAACCATGTAGCACCAGCTAAAACGTGTATCTGTCATAAATATTAGTACGATATTATTTTACATATTATTTATATTTAATTACACATAATTTTAATCGACAAAAATAATCATTTATAATACGTACATTTGATTTCATTACATTAGCAATTGATAATAACAGAATTCCTGTTAAAATGCCATTATATTGAAAATGAATATGATCAACCAGGAGTAATCCTATATTACACAGTGATAAAAATCCAAAAACCAACGATTCATGATATGTTTTATGAAAAATATTGCTAACCCTTAAACAAATTTTTGTCATTCAATTTTTTCGTTCTATCCTTCACTATTATAATATTAATTCATTGAATTCATTATTATTATTATTATTAATGAAACTTACTCTTGAACTCCATACAGAAGCAATAAATCAGTAACAATAACAGAAACCCTTTGAAACAAAATAGTTAAGGGTGATTCATAATTAAAATTATCAATGTTCAACATATTAGGATCGATAAATGATGCTATTTGGCTCAGAAAAAATTCGAACCAGCCAAAAAAAGGAGGATAATCTAATGTCCATTGTGATTTTGCTGAAGTATACCATTCATTAATAGGTAAACTATGTGTTATTGCAAGCCAATTACGATGTACTTCAAAATCTGTAGAACGGCTAATATTTTATTTATTTACTAAATGTAAATTATGTTTATAAATAAAATTCAAAAAGATCCTTGATATTATTCATTAAATAGAATAATATAAAAAATTACAATAGCTAAAATAAATTTAAATTTTACTTTGTCCTTTGCTATTTTAAATTCTAATTTGTTATTATTGGATAAACATTTCAGTGATAAACAATAGAAGGATTTCTTTGAATGAATATTATGAATTGAATCATAAAATAAAGTTTCAAAATATTGACTTACTATGTGGGAATTAGCAGTACTTTGATAGAAGATATGATAATAAATATTGCATAAAATTCTTTACGATTTATGAAGAGGTTCTTTTCATCCTTTTGAGTAGTCATTCGTGTATTGGAATTCAAATGGTAAGTAAACATTTTATATTATAAATAATATTTACAAATAATTTTATCTCCAAAATATGTTTAGGGACTCTATTTTACTCACTATACAATAATAATCGCAGGTACTCAGGAAGTTGCTATCTTCACACATGTGTTTAATCGAAATCATCATTGCCAACCTAATAAACGTATCGAATTTTTATTTGATGGAAATGGGTTCGCGATGTCCGAGAGTAATCTGAGAACGAATGTAGAATTCCAGAACATGTTTCCTGGTTTATGTATAGATTTGGAATTAGTTTAAAAAATGTTTTCCTAAAGTAATTTACAAAGTAATAATCGGCTTATGTTATAATTTTATACATTTGTTTTTATATATTGTCAAGAACATTACATTATCAAAATATTTTTGGTGACTATTTTTGAAAAATGGGAAGGAAAAAACAGCGTCAGCAAGACATAACCTGGGTTGATAATAGCAAAAATCACAATGCTGAAATTAATAGTAATGGTAACATAGACATAAATAAAAATGATCCACTAGCGGACTCACTTACAACAGTTGAAGATGAAAATAAAAGTCCTCTAGGTTTGTCAATATTGTTTCTATAATATAGCAATTAGTAAATACCTTTCAACTGTTATTCACACCTACTAATTCATATTTTGTTATTAACAGAGAAATTTGAGTGTAAACACATATTGAAGGCTATAATAAATTTGCCTAAACTACGTAAAATTTTACAAAAAATAGACAAAAATGGTCAGTGTTCTTCATGCAGAACATCAGATCTTAATTCAGCCGTAGATCTAGATTCGACTTTAGAAATTGGATCAACTACAGAGGAGGAAAAAAAAGGATTGTGGTTTTGTTTAAAGTGTACTAATCAAACATGTGGTAAAACTCATTGTGAAAATCATTTTAAGATCCCTCATAGTGATTTACATTGTTTAGCACTTGATACTGATCAATGGACCATTTGGTGTTTTGAATGTAGTAGAAGTATAGATCCTAAATCTAAAGTACCCTTGACACAAATTTTAGAACTCCTAAAAAAATGGAAAGCAACAGCTAACGTTCTGCCAATATCAAGAAAAATGGAGGATTTATCTATTACAAAAAACGAACCTCCTATAGTTAATAAAAGCAATAAAAACGAATCTCGACCTGTATTAAATAATAACAATAACAATAATAATAACAGTAATAACAGTAATAATAATAATAATAATAATAATCATAATCATAATAATACTTTTACTAGGGTTCGAGGATTAGTAAACTTGGGTAATACATGTTTTTTGAATGCAGTATTACAATGCTTAGCTCAAACACCATATTTAGTTAAAGTTCTACAAGATTTACAAGTATCAGATACAAGATGTTATCTTCCAGGCGGTAAACTCAAAGTTCCAAAAGAAAAGAGTAGTAAAAATAACAACAGCAATGGTGATATTAATAATGAAGATAATAATGATGACAATGTAAATGAAAATGATGAAATAAGTTTACCACCAATAGAAGATAATTTAGGAGATTGTGGAAATTTTATTTCTGTGTTGTGTAAAACTTTAATAGAGTTACAAAATTCCGATAATAATAAAATGTCTACTTATAAACCATCTGAACTATTCAATTTATTAAAAAAAAATTCTCCACAATTTTCGGATGGTGATCAACATGATTCACATGAGGTTTTGAGACTAATGCTTGAATTAATTAGGAATGAAGATTTACAGCGGTATCAAAGTTTGATTTTGAAACAAATTAATCTCAATAAAAATATGGAAACAAATGAATTAGGTGCTAATCTTAAATCACAAGCAAAATTTTATGGTTGCCAAGCAAATGCCAAACTTTTAGGTGCTGAGCCTGTATTTCATGGTACATTAGTGTCAACAATTCAATGTACGGAATGTCACCATACTTTACAACGTGGTGAATCATTTTTAGACCTTAGTTTGTCTTTAATGGAACTTGAAAAACAAACTTTTATATCTAAAAAAAATAATAGCTCCAACGACTTATCCAATGGTACATCAACTACTGGCGACGATTATTATGTAAATAATGAAAAAATATCTAAACATCAATTGAAGAAAAAAAGAAAAGCAGCTAAATCATTGCGAAAAATGGAAAGACATAAAGCTAATCAAGAAAATATTAACAATATCTTCAATGGGCATGATGCAATTGAAATTTCAAATGGCGAATCAAAAGAAGAAGATACTAATGATACTCTTAACGAATCTGATAATGCAACTGCAAGTGAAAATTCATCAGAGAATCTTGAAATTCCCTTAAATCTTTCAAATAATATTAGTCAAACTGAAGAAATATTACCCCTTCTTGACACTAATGAAACCACTGATAATAAAACGACTGGAATTAATTATCAAAATCGAGATCACTATACTTATTCTATTGAATCTTGCTTAAATCAATTTACTGCTACTGAATTTATGAGTGGTAATAATAAAGTTCAATGCGAAGCGTGTACGTCGGCCAATGTTACAGATTCAAAAAATGTTGCAAATGACCAAAAAAGCGCTAAACCAGTTGTCGTTTACACTTCAAGTACAAAACAATATCTTATATCTCAAGTGCCTGCCGTTCTTATATTGCATTTAAAAAGATTTCAATCTCGACGATATAATAATGGGTTTTGTAAAATCAATAGACATGTTAAGTTCCCAATAATCTTGAATTTATCATCATTTTGTAAAAATGCCAAAAAACCCACTTTGTATTCACTTTATGGTTTAATTGAACATCAAGGAACAATTAATGGTGGTCATTATGTAGCATACGTGAAGGTAATATAATTAAAATACTGAAATAAGAAAATTTTTTTTTATGTTATATAATTTTTTTCGTAGGCAAGAAATAAATTGAAGCCTGATGATCCTCAATGGAATTTTTTACTGAAGAAACGAGACTTAATGCAGAACGTTAATGGTCTTCATGAATTAGATAATACTTCGAATGAACGGGTCAATGAAGACGAAAGTACTACAAGTGTCGATCCTTCTTTAGGGCAATGGTACTATGCATCAGACTCGAGGTTTGTAGAATCAAATTATTTTAAACAGTCCTATATAGTGTTATTAATTTTTTTTAACATTTATTTCCAGAATTATGGAAGTTGACGAAGAAGCCGTTCTGCAAAGAGAGGCATATCTTCTGTTTTATGAACGAATTTCATGACTCACGGACAATGAATACTTTTATTAAATCATTTTTAATTATGTCTTTCTATTATTATGTAAACAATAAAATTTATAAAATTGAATTCATGAACGCCAATAAAATTATAATATGATCATGAATTTTTTTTTTTATTATTATTATAAGTAAAATGTTATTCAATGAACTTTTTATTGTCGCTTCATGAATTTTAAATACCGGATGTAGCATGACCACTCTCGTCATGTGGTTAACTTCATGTTATACAATTAATATTAAATAGTTGTTTGATTATTAGGTACGATATTTTTCGTAAAAATGATTAATTATTAATCTACTTCTAATTAATAATATTTCATTAAATAATTTTTAAATAAAAGTTAATTCCGCATGACGTTGAATTTATTAAATTTCTTTTCACCTTCCTCTCCCACTCTTTAGTTTCAATATGTCTGCCCACGAAAACAAGATGTCTGCCTCCGTAATGTACTTGTCTGCTTTAAAGTAAAAAAAAAATAAGACTGTGATCTATTATAAATATTTTGGAGTAATAGATTTGTGAAAACTATTAGCTTCTGTCAAACATGACAAATATAATCTAATAATAACCAGAAAATCAGTATTTTTCTTAAAACCTCATAGATAATTTTATTCGACATATTAATTCATTGAATTTTTAAATTTGCATTTATTTATTAAATTGTTTAGTGATTGTAATGTCTTCAGTTCAACGAGCATTTGCTTATAAATTAAGCAAACAACATGCTGCTGATGTTAGAAGACACATAGCTAATCCTTCACATTCCAAAGACATGTCCAAAAGTGCGAGTAACATTTCTGGATTTTCATCTACTGTATATTAATATTTATTCTTCATCGCTATTTATAACAAAAAACAATTGTCAATAATATTTTTATTTCTATCAATTATAGGTTTCACTTTGTGAAATATGTGAACCTTTGGATTATGAAGATTACCTTGATCAACATCAATTTTTATTAGATCGCGACCCACTGCGTTATATTCTCGATTTTCCACCGGATGATATAGAGCTTCGAGTTATAAAAAGAAAGATTCGTACAGAAAGTCCAATTATACCATACGAATCATTGTAAGAATATTGATAATTATCCAATAGTAAAGTATTCTTCAATTATAGTCGTTAATAATAATTCTTTCTATTTCAGAGATACAGTTTCACCCTACACTAAGAGATGTATTAGAGCTTTTACGTCAGACTGGATTGTTATTCATCGCAAATATCGAGGAAAACTTTCTGTAATAGCAAAAGAACAACTAATTCAAGATACACCTCGACAAGATTTTGAAGTTTGTATTTTATATAAAATAAAATAAATTGAATATTTTATTTTTACTTTAATTATTTATAGGTTGATCAAGATATAGGTTCCGGTTCTCCGAATGAAGATGAAGATATTGTCAATTCTTTAGAAACTCCACGAGGATCGTGGGCGAGTTTAGATTTACGACATTCACAACACGATCCTTTGTTACCTAATTTATTGGATCGTGTTTGTTTAGAAACTATTGATCAGTTGAATGAACAAAAACGATTAGAGGATAGACAAGAGGCACTATTTCCTCTTTATACTCCAACATTTCAAGATGATGAATGGCAAGAGCGTATTTTACCTCAAGAGCCATGTGAGATATTTTCTCACAAAATACTTGTAAAATGTTTACAACTAAAATTAGAATTAGAAGTGGAACCAATATTTGCAACTTTTTCACTTTATGATGCCAAAGAAAAAAAAAAAATTTCCGAAAATTTTTATGTAGATATGAACTCAGAGAGTTTAAAACGAATGCTAGGAAGTCATATTGCTTACAGTGATGCAAGTACCTTAGCACGAAGCTGTATTTTCAGTATTAGTAAACCAAGTCCAGATTTATTTTTGGTGGTAAGACTAGAAAAAGTTTTACAAGGAGATATTTCAGAATGTGCTGAACCATATTTTCGAGATGATAAAAACAAAGATAAAGTTAAAGCAGCTGCAGTAACGGCATGTGATCGTCTTGGTAAATATCGTATGCCATTTGCTTGGACTGCTATTCATCTATCAGGAGTAATTGGAGGTGGTGATAGTGATAGTATAGGGAGTGCTGGATCTTTAGATCGAAAATCAGGAAGTCTTGAATGGCGAAAACGAGTTGAACAACCCACACGACGAGGTTCTCTAGAACGAAAAAGCTCCGATAAACGTCGTAGCTGGTCTCCAGATGATTTTGCAAATTGTCTTGATAATTTTAGACCCATTACGTTGACAGTGTCAAGTTTTTTTAAACAAGAAAGTGAAAGGCTTAGAGACGAAGATCTCTATAAATTATTAATAGAATTAAAAAGACCTGGATCCAATTTACGACGGTTAAAGTGTTTACCAGGAATTCTTAAACTGGACTTAAGTCCAAAACCTGAAGAATTATTGCGATGTTTAGATCCAGATTTACGAAAATTGTCACCTTATCCTGATGAAAAAAATAGACCGATAAAAGAAATTCTTGAATTTCCTAATGACTTAATTGCACCTGATTTACATTATCGTAATTTTCTTTATGTATATCCGAAAGAAGTTAATTTTAGTTCTCGAACAGGATCTGCAAGAAATATTACGGTTAAAATTCAATTTATGGGTGGTGAACAAGAAAGTGATGCAATAACAGCTATTTTTGGAAAATCATCTTGTCCCGAGATGACTCACGAATGTTTCACTTCTGTTTCATATCATAATAAAAACCCTAATTTTTACGATGAAGTTAAAATTCGTCTTCCTGCAGATTTAAGTGCTCGACATCATCTTTTATTTATTTTTTATCATATCAGTTGTCAGAAAAAAACAGAACAGCCAAATGTTGAAACTCCAATCGCTTATACATGGTTACCATTATTAAGAGATGGACATCTTCAATTTGGTGAATATTTTCTTCCAGCTATGCTCGATCCTCCACCTCCTAATTATTCATATATCGCTCCAGATGTTTTACTTCCAGGCACAAGATGGGTTGATGCTCATCGTGGGGTATTTAACGTTACTATTGAGCCAGTATCTAGTGTTCATCCTCAAGACAAATTTATTGATAAATTTATATCACTTTGCAGTTATCTTGAAACTGGACAAGTACCCCCAAGAATTGGCGAAGCTGGAATGGAATCAGAATTGAAATCAGCTTTACTAGAATTACATCGTGCTTCAAATTCTGCTCTTATTCGATCATTACCACAGTTACTTGATCAACTAATTTCATGTTTAGTTCAACCACCAACTCTACCAACTCAGCCTTTGAATATAGCAGCAACAATATTTGAAGCACTTGGTCTTATTGTTAAAAATGTAACCAATTCACCAGATGGTCAAGTTGACACCCATGGAAGACATTCCTTTTTAGCGACATACATAGCATATCAATGTTCTATACCAAAAATGACCATATCTCCAAGAATTGTTCGTGCTCAAAGTAATCCAGACTTATCAATAGAAGATTTTGAAATGGAAATTCATGCTCGACATGGTCTCGATCGTACCTCTTCAATGCGTCAAGAAGCACCATCAATAAGCAATAATTTAACAAGAAGACTTCTTCATGAAGAACTTGCATTGCATTGGGTCGTTTCAACTGGTCAAGCTAGAGAATTAGCCATTACTTATTCATGGTTTTTCTTGGAACTAATAGTAAGATCAATGGTTATTTATTTAACTGAGACCGGTAATCTTGAAGCTCCACGAAAATTACGATTTTCTCCTCAATTTTGTGATGATATCACTACTCTTATTGTTACTTTGACATCTGAAGTAATAAACCGATGCGGAAAAGACTTAAAAATTGCTTCAAATTTAATTTCAAGTATTGGAAATTTTTTATCTGACTTATTGTCCATCATGGACCGAGGATTTGTTTTTTCTCTTGTTCGCGCATCATGTTATGCCCTTTCTGATGCTTCAATGCATATGACAGATTCTGTTACTTTATTTTCTTTTAAACTAGATCTAATTAGAATAATATGTTCTCACGAACATTATGTCGCTTTGAATTTACCTTTCGGTACTGGCTATACATCCGAGTCAACACCAGCATCACCAAGTCCTTCTACTGGTAGTTCTGGAAGTTTAATCTCTACGTTAGTACCTGGCGATCGTACCAGGTTTGCAGAATTGAGTCAAGAATTTCGCCAACAACATTTCCTTGTTGGTTTAGTTCTTTTAGATCTAGCTAATACTTTAGAAATACCAAATTCAATGCTCCAAAATAAAGCGATAAGTACTGTGAGATATCTTATGAGTTCACATGATAAAGATTCAAGATACATTGATCCTACAGCGAAAGCTCGAGTAGTAGCACTTTATCTACCACTTTTATATATTATTATGGATGCATTACCTCAACTTTATCATTGGGATTCAAAGGATAAAAGTATATATCATGAAGAGTCTAGCTCTATTACGCAAACTGTGGCTCTTGCTATTGCTGGAAGTGTTTTATCTGATACTGCCAGTACGCAATGTCGAGTGTCTTTAAGTTCTGAAGCTACAAGACACCTTCTAATGTGCTTTCTCTGGGTATTAAAAGGCTTAGAACGTTCAGCTTTAATGCAGTGGTGCTCGGAATTAAGTTCTAAAAGAATTTTAAATTTTCTACAAGTACTTAGTATTTGTATATCTGCATTTGAATATAAAGGAAAAAAAGCTCTTAAACGTCTTCCTCAACAAGTTGCAGCTTCAGGAGATATTCGATCAAGATTAGAAGATGTTATTCTAGGTCAAGGTAGTGCAAGAAATGAAATGATGCTACGACGTAAAGAAAGAATAACAGGTGATAAATTAAGATGGAGAAAAGATCAAATGTCATATAGGAGTAATGAACCAGCTGAAGAACGTACGATTGAACAAGATGCTCACATTGAAGGCGCTTTAGCTGCTGAATCATCTCTTGTAGTTCTTGATTCATTAGAAATCGTTATACAAGCTGATGGTGGTGGTGGTGCAGTAGTTAATGCGGTATTAAATGTACTTTTGAAAGCATTAGCACGAAATCAGAGTACATCTGTACTTCAACATATGTTTAATACTCAACGAGCACTTGTATTTAAATATCATAGCGCTCTTTTTGATGAAGAAAGTGAACGCTGTAGTGATTTATGTTTAACATTACTTACTAGATGTAGCTCTTCATTAAGTGCAGTGAGAAGTCATGCTGCTGCAAGTTTATATCTTCTGATGAGACAAAATTTTGAAATAGGAAATAATTTCGCCCGAGTTAAAATGCAAGTGACTACTTCTTTATCGTCTCTTGTTGGTCGTGGTCGTGCTCCAAATGAAGGAGCACTTCGTTCTGCTTTGAAAACTGTTCTAGTTTATGCAGAAAGAGATACTGACTTAGCAGATACTAGCTTTCCGGAACAAGTAAAAGATTTATTATTTAATTTACACATGATTCTTTCAGACACTGTGAAAATGAAAGAATTCCAAGAAGATCCAGAAATGCTATTGGATTTGATGTATCGTATTGCTAAAGGTTACCAAGATTCTCCGGACCTGAGATTAACTTGGTTAGCAAATATGGCACAACAGCATATGGAACGAAAGAATCATACTGAAGCAGCAATGTGTCTGATCCATAGTGCAGCACTTGTCGCTGAATATTTATATCTTCTAGAACCAGGAAGCGGAGGTCGTCCAATTGGAGCAGTAGCTTTAGCTTCTATAACACCCAATGCTTTGGAAGAAAGTGCTGTCGGAGATGATGTTTTAGCACGTCGGGAGGAAGGATTATGTCTTGGACCAGATTTCTCTGAAAGTGGTTTAGCTGGACTTTTAGAGCATGCTGCTAGCTCGTTTCAAGCAGCTGGAATGTATGAAGCTATTCCTGAAGTTTATCGTGTTCTCCTGCCTATTGCAGAAACGGCTCATGATTACAAGAAATTAGCTAACATACACGGGAAACTTCATGAAACATATACTAGAGTTGAACAATTAGCGGGCAAACGGGTTTTTGGAACTTACTTTAGAGTTGGCTTTTATGGTAGTAAATTTGGAGATTTAGATGGTGAGGAGTTTGTTTATAAAGAACCTCAACTTACTAAATTGCCTGAGATCTTTTCGAGACTTGAAAATTTTTATACTGAAAGGTTTGGAGCAGAAAATATCGTAATAATTAAGGATTCAAATCCAGTTGATCCATATAAGCTAGAATCTGATAAAGGATATGTCCAAATTACTTATGTGGAACCATATTTTGAAGAATACGAATTGAGACACAGACCGACTATTTTTCATAGAAATTTTAATATAAGTAAGGGTATAAGTTAAAAAAGAAACTAATTATTTAATTAATTTTATTTATAAATCTAATCATTTTAATTTTTCTTGTCTTTAATTTCTCGTTTTTCTCTTCTAGAACGATTTGTCTATGCGACACCATTTACTCCAAGTGGCAAAGCTCATGGTGAGCTTAAGGAACAATGCAAGAGAAAAACTATTTTAACTGTTGCAACCAATTTTCCATATCTTAAAACTCGTATCCGAGTTGTTGCTCGAAAACAAATTGTATTAAGTCCTATTGAAGTAGCCATCGAAGATATTCAAAAGAAAACAGCAGAAGTATAATAATTTTTAAATATAACTTTACCATCTAAACGTCTGGTTCTCGGTGATATTAATATTTTTGATATATTTTTTAGCTTGCTAATGCAACGGCTCAAGAACCTCCAGATCCAAAAATACTGCAAATGGTACTTCAAGGTTGTATTGGTACGACAGTAAATCAAGGACCAGCAGAAGTAGCAATCGTTTTTCTCTCTGAATTACGCGATCAATCTATAGAACCGTCTCGTCTTCAACATAAATTGCGACTATGTTTTAAAGATTTTCAGAAAAAATGTCTGGATGCGCTGCGAAGAAATAAAAATTTGATTGGACTCGACCAACGTGATTACCAAAAAGAATTAGAAAGAAATTATCAACGTTTGACGGAAAAACTTGCACCACTTGTTTGTTGGAAATAAATAATTAATCAACAAATAACAATATTGGAACAAATATAAATCAAATTATGGAATGCAAATCACAAAAAATTTTAGATGCTAAGAATTTCTTTTTTACTGAATTTTATACTTCTTTTTTAACATGAATAAATGTCATATAAGAAATTTAAATTAATTTATTGAATATAACTTAAAATTAATTTTTCTTTTAAAATAAATTATTATACTCTTCTTTAAATTTTTTTTCTGTTTTAAAATATCGCGGTTATAAAATACAGAAGTACCATTTACCGGGAGTATTGATTTAAGGGATTTCTCGTCTTTTTCTGTTGTTTCTAATAAGAAATTGATTCAAAAAAAACGTTCTCTCTCGTGAAAGCACTTTTATTTCCTTCGATTTCACTATAATTCAGCTGTGCTTAAGATACAAAAAAAGCTTCCAGTTTGCACATAATAAGATAATAGCAAAAAAAAATCTTTCAGGTAAATTCCGAAGAAAATAAAAGTTTTATATCTCAACTTTAGCTAAAGGAAAGAAATCTTGCTTAGTTATTTAACTTTTTCGAAAAATTTATCTCAACCGAATATTAACCAAATGAATATTGAATAATATAAAAAGAGTTTAATTAAATTATAAAATATGTCATATAAATAAATTCAGAGGAGTACTTTTTCCATATTGATCAAATAATTTGAAGAAAAAAATATTTTTTATCAAAAATGTTAAATGAAAAATGGTGCTGCCCCCTTTACTCAGTCCTCTCAGTTGACGAAAAAAAAAGAGGTATGCTATAGTCTGAAAATTGCACAATATAGAAGATTACTAACTATACTATATAATTTTTTTTACGTAGTTCTTACTATGGTCTATCACGAATTTCGACTGAACAAACCCGTTATCAGTGGCTGAGAGAGTGCCGGTATGATGATGCCTAATACTGTCATAAAAAATAATTTATACAATATAATTCAAACGGATAATGATAGTGAGATTTTTGCAAAAACATTAACCAATTATGTGTGTATTATGTGTAAGAATGTGGATGTAATGAATTGGAAATAGCATTGACAGAATAGTGACAGAGACAACAGAAATTATACAAGAGATCGATTTATCGTAACCAGAAATGAGGATAAATAAACATAGTGAATGAAAACGAAAATTCGTTAAAAAAATAATTATGATAAAAAATGATTACAAATGGTTTAACATAGTATAAATAATAAAAGGTGCAAGAAAGTGTATAAGTAACCTATAATTTTTCGAACCTGTTTACATTTCTGACATTTAAAACGTGGAAGTGATTAAGATATAGTTAAGAAGACATGTGTTTTAAGTTTATGTGTAATAAAGTATAAAGGTAATATTTCTAAGAATAATAATTGGAATCTCCAAATTAGGATGTAGAACAGCTGCTCTAGTTATTGGAGTGATCACGAATGAAAGTGCAAATATAACTTTTACTGACAGTGTCACAACCTGTTTGAACGTTGATGTCTGTATTGTTACAACATGGCTGAGGAGTTGATGGTTACATTAAACAGAACTGACACTGGTGGATTTGGTTTTTCTATCCTTGGAACTGCCGGTTTGCCACATGTTATTTATGACATTGTAGAAAATTCACCAGCAGCAGAAAGCGGAAAGGTACGTTTTTGTAGTATTTCGACTTTCATAAAATCGATTAAAGCGCGTATCGATTTGATATGCTGCAAAAAAGGCGTTTTAGATTTATGATATTTTTCGAAGCAAACATCAAATGTAGAAGCCCTCTCTATAACTATAATAAATAGAATTGATAACATAAAGCTTATTTTCCTCAAAATTTTGTATAAGTTGAAAATTATCTTCTTACCATTTATTAGAAATTATGAAATACAAAATTGACGTGAATTCTCAGGTAGAGCTATACTTAAATATAATGGGAATTTTTTCATAATAACATTTCTACAATTTTTAATGGTTGCTTAATGAGACGGATAAATGATTTTTATCAGAAGAACTTTAACGAAATATTTCCAATACTCTTTTAGATATTGATGACTTCATTCTGCACATTTATCATTAGTTAGTATGAATCATAGAATTTTTTCAGATCATTATGTTTCAATATTTCCAATTTCCATTAATGTTATATGCTACAAAATATTCCAGCAAGCTTAATAATTATTTTGAAGCTGAAATTCATTGACAAATACCAAGTTTTAGATTTGAAAAAATTTCGTTTTTTTATTTTTTTTATTTTGTATTGTATTTATTTTGATTAAATTGAATACAATAGAAGCTTTTATTGAAAAATAATATCTTATGATTGTACTTACTTCTAATTGGGATCATATCAAAGTTAAATCAAAGTATACATTTTTTTTATAACTGTATGAATGACATGTAAAAAATATGGGCTATGTTGTATAAACTTTTAGCCGATCTATCTTGTGTGAGTGGTTGTTGACCTGATTTTTCATTCTAATAGTAAGTTAAAAAAATATAAAAATTACATCAACTAACTAATTTATTCTAACTTTATGCTAGAAATTTCTATCCAATTAATATTCATTGTAGACTGTTTAAAAATATATATTCGAATTTTCAAATGTCAGGGAAGTAATTTAGTAAGAAAGGTTGATGACCTATATATAACGAATCTATAATTCATCATTTTACAAAATATTCCATAATCTAACAATTTTTAACTATTTATTTTGTTTATCGTAAAAATGATACATAGAATGATATATCTATTTAAATCTGTATTTAATTTCAAAATAAAACTGGTTTTTATGCTTTTAATATACACTCCAACTTAGTTTCCTTTCTGATATCAACAGTGGTTTTCCCCCTTAATTCAAATTCTATCCATGACCCAGTCAATAATAGACTCTTTTTTCTCCAAAATGATTCACTTTATAAGCCATTTGGGCAGAGTCTAGATTTTTTACTTACTAAAATGTTGGAAAAGCATTTCTATGATTAAACAAACTTATTTCTCGTTACATAGATATTATCAAAATATTTTGTTGGATGCAGAATTTATATGATTATGGTTTTATTATTTTTTTTTTTTCAATTTTAGATCGAGGCCGGTGATATTATACTCAGAATAAACGACGTTGATGTCAACCACTTTAGTACCAAGGAAGGTGAGTGCATACTCTTTTTGCATATTAATTATATTAAATCAATAACAAAGTCCTATCATATTTTGAAAAATCTTATTATTAAAGGAAAAAGAATTTTAAGAGAAAACTGAATAATGTGACTGGATAGCTCAAGAGGGGATTCGGTAATTTTTACTATGTATCAGAATCTTGCACTTCACATTACTATCCAGCAAAACTTCATATCAATTAAGTTCTATATTTTAACTTATCAGTTCTCGTTTGTTCCAGTTTTAAAATGTTTAAGGTTGTCATTGGACCCTGTCACTTTAAAGCTTAGAAGAGGTGAGTGCTACATGCAATCATACAATAAATATTTCAAGTAGTATGAGTTGAAAATAAGTTATATACTTCAAGTATATTGTTATTAAATTGTAATAATTAAAAAAAAAAGATCATAAAAATTGTACTATAAAAAAAGAAATCAAGTTGGTAGGTTACAAGGTAATGTTACATTTAAATATCTGTAATGTCCAAATTTTTCATTCGACTTCGGCTCATTATAAAAACCTCTCATTTAGAAAACTTGGTATGTTGAATCTTCCATTCTCAGAGATCTATATAAAACTCTAAAGATCTTGGATTGCTGGTTTGAAAACAATTTTTCATCATAATGTTAATCCTAAATGTGTGTCTTCCTTATTTGATTATTTTTTCATTATTCCAAACTTTATATAATAGGTTACAGTTAAAATATTGGAAACAATAACTTCAAAGATACAATTTTCTTCTCTAAACTTCTATTGTTCAATCAATATTGTTTACCAAAATCTATTCTTAGAATAAGTCATCCACTTTGTTAATAGATTTTTTTTTTTGGCACATATTCAGTGACATAAACTAATTGTATTTTAATATCTCATTGATTATAGACGTAAACTACTTGAATGTGTGTTTTGTCACATGTTTTGTTAATTGTGTATATATTAGTGCACTTACAGTCACTTAATTTTACATCAGTGCATCTACACGCATATTGTGTATTTATTATATACTTTTTCGTCATGCATTCTTTATATACGTGTAACTACACACAATACTTCACCATCACATTCACACTTTCTAATACATTATTAGGTTTAGGTTTTTTTAACAATATCCTAGATGATCAGTCGGTAATTACATCGTGCCTGCATTCAGAAGAAACGTAATTCTATCATTAATTTTTATTGAATAACGTGAATTTTAGTAAATCTTATAAACATCTCATAATAAAGTAAACAAAAATGGGTGATAATACAAGGAAAATTTGAAATTATTTGATGATACTACATTGTGTGTTCATGTTAAACGGTACTTTGTCATTAAATTATACTATCAAATTTATTTGGAAATCCTTTCTGTACGAATTTTCAGAGTTTTATCCTTATCATTTACTTCAGATCCAGCTATAAAAGCACAAGTGAAGAAGCTTTTATCATGTGAGCGAGAAATTGGCGACGTTGAATCATCTGCTGATAGTTGTATAAAAACAAAACAAAATTGTAAAAGTACAGTATCTAATTATGCAGAAACATCTAAAAAAGATCAACAAGATCATTCTGCTACACAATCATCAGATATTCAAGTAACGACTGAAGTTTCCCGATATGAAAAGAGGAATGGTTCGTACAATGATGCTTCAGGCCCTTCCAAATTTGAAGTACTTCTTCAATCCAGTGATAATTTTAAAGAAGAAATACGAACCCAGTGGGAACCATTGTCTGCTGATAAATTCAGTAGACATAAAAATACTCCAAGGTAATTATTCATTTCCCTCTTTAATATTGATTTATTATATTTTCTAATCTATTAGATATTACCTATACGTAAACATCTTATCGGGAAATGTAATCGAGCATTCTATAGTGAAAGGGTTAGTCTTTCCAGAGTTCTTGTTTGTCAATAACCAAATTTCTAAATTAAAAATAAGATATTTTAATAATTTTTCCCTGAACATTATGTTATTTTATTAATATTTCATATTTTAGTCAATGTTGAATTTTTTTTTGGTATTTTTATAGGTTTGAAGCATACATGATGACTGGTGATCTTATGTTAAATTTATCAAGAACGCAGCATAGTACAGGACTATTGCCAAAATATCAAAAGAAAGTTGATTCACTGAGAAATAATAATCATTATATACAACGACAACGTAATTTCTACAATAACTACCATTCTTATTATCAACATAACTCAGTACCTACTAGCCCGATAGAAATGTTGAATCATCGTACATACAAATGTACAACAAGTAATGAAGGTTCCAATTCTGCCAGAACATCACCCATTGGAATTATCAAGCGTGAAATATCAGGGCATTGTAGTCATGCAGCGGATATCAAATCAGGCATACCAAATTTTGGATATTCAAGTGGATTTGTTAGAACATCAAGGTCAGAAGATCATTTACAATTTCAAAAAGATTCTTCAATGAGTGCGGTCGATATTGACATCGATGATGATGTGACATCTAGTTTAAATACATTATTAGATACGCGACCAGACAGTGCACAAAATGCATCCAGTGAACGAATAGTATGGACGTATAATGCACCAGTTAGCTCATCTTCAACTTCCGAACGTACTTCATGTTGTCAAAACGATAGTTCATCAAGTAGTTCATCAATTGAAGAAAGTAGCCCACAACGTTCTCCATCTCCAGCTTCTCCTACATCTGTATCATCATCTGTCATGTCTTCTAATTCTAGTTCACGAAAAATTTCTTTGCCAATAGCGACTAATGCCTCATTGAGTTCTCATGTTGAAGCACTTGGTGATTCTTCATTGAATGTACTCAATGCTTACAGTACTAGTAATGTCATTTTTTCTGGTTATCATCCAACAAATGGAGATCTTAGTCAATCAGAAGCTATTAGCAATATATCTAGTCCTGACTATAATGATGAAGAAACGATGGACATTCTAAGTGCCCGTGATATTATGATGGTTAGTGATCCAAGTGATAGTGACTCAACTATTCTCGCAAGTGAACCCCCACAGCGACGGCTCAAACCATCATACCATGGTCAAGAATCCAATGATCATAAGATTGTTATTCAAGTTAAAGGACCAGAAAAGGAGTTAGCGAGAACATACAGTAGCCCTAAACAAAGTCGTAAATGTACTTCGTCTAATCCAAATGAACAAATACGATCACTTTCTAGTGTAAGTTCAAGCAACGTCGAATCCTGTATCTACCAGGTAGTTTTTTTAATCTCTCATTCATTCTTGTTGCATCTAATTTCTATTACATAGTAATTATATACAAAGTCATAATTACAAAATAAAAATAACTTTTTATATGATTACATTGTATTATGATCTAAATTGAATTTGAATTAAACTATTTTTAATTCATTTGCATAGGAATTTAAAGATAATGAAGATGATAAGAATTTTATGTCAGATGATGGTTTTGATGATAAAAAGCTAAGTGGACAATCGCCTCCACAATCAGCTGATGAAGAAAGTGATATTGAAAGTTTGCATAGCTTCCATTACAGTCCTAAAGCGGTGGATTTGCCTTCAGCAGTAAGACTAGCTAAAAGATTGTATTCATTAGATGGATTCAAGAAATCTGATGTTTCTAGACATTTGTGTAAAAAGTAATATTTCTATCAATTTAATCCGATTTTATTTAAATTCTTTCAATACTGATGAAATGATAATGAAGAAACTTTTTTTCAGTAATGACTTTTCTAAAGCAGTTGCTGAAGAATATTTGAAATATTTCAATTTCGAAAAGGATACACTAGATGTAGCTCTTCGAAAATTTCTTGCTCAATTTTCATTAACCGGTGAAACTCAGGAAAGGGAAAGAGTATTGGTACACTTTTCTAAACGATATATTGACTGTAATCCTGGTTCATTTAACTCACAAGGTAAATAATTCTTATTTTTTTTTATTTTTCAAATATTACAAATAATTGACTTAAAGTTTTTTATTTCTTAATATATTTTAATGTTAATTGATATTATCAAATAAATATTAATATTATTAATAGATAATAATAATAATAATAATAATAATAATAATAATAATAATATTCATAATAGAACAAATTTTGAACTCAGAGTTGTATATGTTACATTGCGATATCACAAACTAATATATGAAATTTTATGAATTAACCGATGTAATCGATTTTTAGTAACTCGAATTGATTGTTTCCGTACTAACAAATTCATTTTCAGATGCTGTTCATACACTTACATGTGCTATAATGTTGCTTAATACCGATTTGCACGGACATAATATTGGAAGAAAAATGTCGTGTAATCAATTCATCGAGAATCTTTCCGACTTGAATGATGGAGAAAATTTTCCACGTGAAGTTTTAAAACAACTTTATGGTGCGATCAAATCAATGCCACTTGACTGGGCTTTGTACGTATATCTTTTCTTTCAAGAATGATTATTTAATCAATTTTCGTTTTATGCCAATAATGTTAAAATATTGGTTTCCTCTCAACACTTGAAAGATGCATTCAAATATTGTTTATGCTTCTATATCACAGTAATCCATGTTACACCGATAATAAATTATCCGTGTGTATGATATCAACACTTTTGTCATATTCTTGTTGATATTTATACATGAAAAATTTTTTTTCGTAAGTTTTGCCTGATAAATTGCTAAGAAAAAGATTTAATTTTCCTTAGTGATTGAAATAACTTTAAAGCTATGTTTACCAACTAGAAATCAATAAATGAAAGGTACTTTTATTTTTAATATAAACAGAGATGATGAAGGTGATGAGTTATCGCCACAAGAAATTCAACAAACAAAAGCATCTACCACTTTTGTTGGTGGTAATCCGTTTCTTGATGTGCCAAATGTTTCGGGAGCGAGAGAATACAAAAAAGGCTACGTTATGCGTAAATGTTGTTACGATGCAAATGGAAAAAAAAGTAAGTCAAAAAGAAGATTAATTATAAATTTTTCATTTATTCAACAGTTTTATTAATTTCATAACCATTATAAAAGGATAATGAAAAAAAAAAATTGATTCGAAGTTATGAAATTTTTTTCAGCCCCATTTGGAAAACGAGGTTGGAAGATGTATTATTGTACGTTACGAGAACTTGTATTATATTTACACAAAGATGAACATAGTTTTCGAAATGATAGCCTACATAACGCAATACATATTCACCATGCTCTTGCAACTAAAGCAAGTGATTATACAAAAAAGCAACATGTTTTTCGACTTCAAACTGCCGATCAAGCTGAATATCTTTTTCAAACAAGGTAATTGATAAATACTCATTGATAATTTTATTTTTCTCAATATTCAATTTTGTTAAGTAACTGTAATATTATTGTTCTTTATTTCTAGTGATTCTAAAGAGCTTCAATCGTGGATTGATACTATTAATTTTGTTTGCGCAAGTTTTTCTTGCCAGCCCTTAGCTGGAGCAGTTGGTTCTCAACGAAAGTTTCAACGGCCTTTACTTCCTTGTAGTCATACGAAATTAAATCCGGTAAGTTTATTTCTGGAAATTTTATAGTAAAACTGTATAATAATTATTATGTAGTGAGATATATGTTATATAATGGAATAATTTATTTGGCCCTGATCTCCCCTAACTATTTGACGGTGAAATAATAATTATTCTAAAATAGTTTGTTTTTCGTGTCTATCAGGCATTTAAAATATCTACAAATAATTCTATTTAATTCAATTAAATATAAATAATATTTCAGCGTGAACAGTTAAGGGACCATGAAGAAAGAGTTAAAAGACTTGAAACAGAACTTGACGAGCATCGAAGACACCAACCTGAAAGAGGCGCTAAAGCTCTAACAGTCCAAAATTATAAAGAAAAAGATACTTATCTTCATCATGAGGTTATCATTATTAAATTCTTTCCTTTATTATATTGATACGTTTATTTAACTTAATATATTATTGAAAAATTTTTTTTTTTTATGTTTTTACAGTTAAAAAGATATAAAACGTATTCGTATCTTCTACGTTCGAGATTGGCATTCATTGAAGTAGAGCCTTCGTTAGCAGATAATAGTATAGGAGAAGTGGATGAAATAATAAATAGTGAATTATCAAATTCAGAAGTAGAATCGCCACTATTCTCATCAGATCGATCGAAAACAAATAGATATAGTTATAGAGCTGCCATTTATAAAAATGACCTTATAAATGGTCAAGATTACGGTGGGGATGTTGGCTGATCTGTTATGGGAGTGATTTCAGCATGTGTAATATAAGTATTATATTTAAAGTCTAAAAAGTTAATATTGGCACTAAAATATTTAAGAATGCTTATCTTTATTGAAAAATATTCTATTTTCATTTATGTTTATAGTTTTACTAATTTATTTTTCCCCTGCTAAAATTTAGTACAAAAAAACTATTCTAGATATTTCTAGTATTAGAAATTTATAACTTATCCTACTTGAAATGTATGATTTAAACCATATAAAAAATTAAAACAAAACGTTCGTAAATATTTTTTTGTGGCATCAGAAGTAATTCAATGATTAATAAATTTATTCATTTTCGGTAATATAGATTGTTCAAAGTTTGTTAAAAAAAGTGACATTGATTGGGGAATATATAAAGAATAAAATAGTAATTTATAATGAAAATTGAAAATAATTTAATTCCTGTTATGTAATCTATTATTTCAAAATTTTTTATGTATATGTTACTATTTTCAGTTGTTTATAGTACAAATTGATACATTTTACTGTTAAATCTACTTTGACTGTAAAGTTGATGTTCCTTAAAAAAAAACAACTCGTATTGAAATTATTTTTTCGTAGCTTAAATTTGATTTAGTTAATACAACAGTAGTTTTGAGAATAATTCAAAATATGATTTTAAAGTAAGAAAGTTGTCTTCATTAATAATATTTGTTTATGTGATTATTCATGTAACATTTAAATATTTTTTTTGTATGAAAAATTCATAAAAAATAACAGCAAAATTTACATAATTATACGTATAATTTAATTATTTTATTAGAAAATAAATAAAAAATATTCTATGATGATAATTGGTAAAATAACTTCATCAATATTAAACAATAATAAAGTTTAAATTCATAATCGGATACTGCACTTAAAAACATTTTTGACGTTTTCATAGACTTTATATAAATTGTTGAAAAAAATATAACGATTAGCATAGAAATGTCGATTATCTAGTCATTATTTTAAAAGATATAAATATTTATTTTTATGTGTTTATAAAAAACATGTGTTAATAAATACGATACTTGGAGCATTGAAAGAATCATCTTACTAGTAAAGAAGCTTTTTACTTCAAAAAGTCTTTGATGAAAGGATTATTAATAAAAAAAAAATTTGGATATATCTTTGATTGCTTATTATAAAAAATGAATATTCTTTAGTATATTTTCAATTAGTATCAGCCATTAAAAAGATTATCCTACTGCAATTGCTCTATAAAAAGTTTATCTTTATTAATTATCCGTAAAGATATTTATTCACTATTAATCTCTACATCAGAATTATTAATACATGATTTTGTAAGTATACAGTTCCATTTTAAGATTATATATTAATTAATAAAATATTAATATATATATATATATATATATATATATATATATATATATGTATATATATATATAAAAATTAAAAATTCCATTGGTCTTGTTTTGCCAGTTTAAAACGAAATATTGACGTATATTATTTCATCGAATTGATATTAAAATATTATTCGTGATTTAAATAGAAATATTTTTCGAAATTATTCTTATCTTGCTCATTTTAAAAGATGATTTCTAATAAAAGGAATTTCGATTAGTAGTACCAATAAATTTGATATTTGAAATTTTAAGTACATTCAAGAATGTATTTTTTTATGTCAAATCATTGTCTTCTTTTATTACATGTAGAATCAAAATATAAGAATTTTTCTACTGCTCACAAATCCTAGACTATTATATGTCAACATTTATTTATCATTATGAATTGAATCCTATTTTCATTTTATTAAGACAATTCAATAAATATGAAAGTACATATAGAACAAGTTATTTAAATCCAGATAGTGCAATTTATAAAATTTAAAAACAATGCAATATTGATCAATTGTCTAAATAAATAAAATTGGAAATATTTCCTTTAGAATAAAGAAAGTAATGTTTTTTTACTTTCGATATTTTTTATAAGTATCATATAAATTAGATAAGAATATAAGTTATTAATATACCATTTGTTAAATTATTTATTTATATATTTTCTATTTGTAATTGTCATTATAGTTATTTAAGTTCGTATTTGAGAATACTTATTGTATATTAATTAGTAAATTAATGATTAAACTATATATTATGGTATAAATTTATTTAATAGAAATTTTAGATACCTTAGAAATTTGTCAAATAGTAATTCTTAGTATACAGTAAAATATGTAGCAATATTTGTGACAAACCGACAAGTTGACATTGTTGATTTTAAAGGGTAATTGGCTGGAAAATTTTTATTCTCTAATTTGATTAGAAACATCTCAAAGGTAAGATATATTATATTTTTAATATTATTACTCACATGATAGGGTCCGTTCATGTAGATTAAACGACTAAAATAATAAATTAATATACAGCTAAGAATAATTAAGTAAATCATAAAATACATTTAAATGATTTCTTTAATTTATTTTATATTTATACAAGTTGTATTTGTCTCGTTTTTTCCAATTTTCTAAGAATGGAATGTAATTATTAATAAATATTCTAATATAAAACGATAAAAGCTATTTCTAATTATGAAATATAATAGTTTATTAACGATTTAAAATTTTCCATTTGTCCATTCGGCCATAACATTTTCATAATCTCGAAAGAATTATAAACTTTATATTCAATTATTATTTTTATACACTATGGATCTTAGAATTTTATACTTGTTGTAAACTAGTGGAAAGCTGTAAATAATTAATTAATAAAGTTTTATAATAAAACGGTAATCAAATTATTTTATTTTAACTGAATATTAAAAATTAATAGCAGGTTTATAAAAGTAATTGAATAACGAACGGTAATATTAAAATGAATAAAAAGTAATAATTAAAATCTTGGAAGGTATATAAGTATTAAACAACAACACATATATAAATACAGACAATTTGTTATCTTATTTTCGATGAAAAAATTATCTCTTGGCATTTTTCGATTATGTATATATATATATATATCTATATATATATATACTTAAATTTATTCGTATTTTTATTTTGAACTACAATTAAACGTCAATATTTAAAGCAAACTTAAGCATACAATTGGCATAATTTTTTCTGTTAAGATTTTCAGAAAGTGCATAATAATTGAGCATCTATTTATATTATATCATAATAAAGCAGATATCTGTTGCAGTCCTTAATGATTCACATTAAATTATACATGAATCATCGTATCCAGTGAAAGAGTTTTTTTTATCATGAAGAAGTTTCAATTATAATTTATATACACCCCCAATATAATGGCCATAGCACAATTAATTTAATCAATCGCCTTATTGAATCTAGTACAAAAAATGTACAATATATTAATACATATATATAACATGATTTATATATATATATATATATATATATATATGTATAAGTGTATTTTTACTATAAAAATGAAACACAGCTCAATTATAAAAAAACACAGAAAATGTTGAAAAAAAAAAAACATTAGTTTTCATATTAAATGACATAAATAAATTAATTATTCTTAACAAACAATATGATAATCCAAACTAGAAGATTACAAGAATGATTAAAAACAAACGAGTATGAGGTACTGGTATTTTTATGTTATTTCGTTTTATTTGTTTGAGATTTATAGAACATGAATTACAAAGCAAGCAGTACAGTTATTGGTAAAACTATAGTTATTGATAAGTATATGGGAATCAAAAAGAATATTGAAAGAAAAAATATTTTAAACTGGAATAACTGTTACAATACAAATGATTATTGTTTATTATTCAAAATCATAATTACCTATTTCAATTATAATCCTATCAGATTAGATTTGAATTTAAAAAAGTACGTTTTAAATAGATAAATTGACTAGATAATATAAATAAGATGATAATTATTTAATTTAATTACAATTTGATGTCATTTTTTGCATCATAAAAATTTTGAGCACGAATAATTGGCATAAAAATAATTTTAAATAATTATTTTTCAACTAGTAAGATAAGGTAGTAAATTCAAAAAGTCCTACTTACAAGAAATATTAAACTAATATCATAAAATTTTTAAATAGCATTTTACTAATGTTTGAGAATAATCTATTCTCTATTGCTATTATTTATGAAAAAAGTTTATGTAATAATTAAATTTATGATAATGAGTAAATGGTAAAACATGCGCACTAGAATAATATCATCTAGAAAATCGATTGACTGAATAAAATAAATTGCCATATTTCTAACATTATAAAAATACTAATAGTTAATATTATGTAATGGTCATGATTTTAAAGTCTTAGAATATTATGATTGTTATCCTATAGTTAATACTGGAAAATATGTTCATAAATAGTAAAAGTATTAACTATTTACTAACAACAATATTAGTTAACTCAAAAAATGATTCGTAATAAAACTAATAATTTATATAATTTATACTTTCAATAACTATCCATAAATCATATTCATTTTATGTACCTATGTTTCATTTATTACAGTATTTATTTATATCTAAATTTTGTGGTTTTTTTTTCGTCATGATTAGCTAGTCTATTTACATAATTTTTGAAATGTATAAAACATCAATAACTGTACTATTCACCTTAATTCAAAATTAAGTTATGAAAATAAAATAAGTTCAGTCGTTAATTATTTTAATAATAAAATAATATACTGATAAATATATCATATTTAAATGCATTTTTTTTACCGAATTTGAATAAAACTGTTAAAGCCGAAAACAGATATGTATATTTTACAGAAAATGTTTCTGTTATTTTCAATAAAACTTGTGCTAACAAAGTGTCATTTTAATAAAATAAAATTTGTTACTCACATACTTAAGTAGAAATTTGTTATGTTTATTCATTTTTAATTATTTTTGAAGTACCCAATTACTCTTTCTAGAAGTCTACTTCAGGATGAAATAAAAATTCAGTGACTGCTAGCTTGATACGCTAGATCTCGAAATGAATTCTTGAGATTTTTCACGCCATCGGGGGTGAGAGTAGTCCTAGCTGCTTGTAGATGCAATTGGACTGACAGGACTTAAAGGACTACGTGTTGAATCTCTAAGGCAACCAGTCAAAGTAATGACTAATTTTCTGCTTCCAGCATTATTTCTATGCTCACAAAACCAAACTCCTTGCCACGTTCCTAAGGCAAGTTTTCCATCCGTTATCGGAATACTCAGAGATGAACCAAGAAAGCAGGCTTTGACGTGTGCCGGCTAAAAAAGAACCGTACTAATATTAAATCGAAGATAATTATCAAACAGATAGCGTTATTGTAAAAAATGATTTTGCAGAACATACAAGTATGTATTATCAGAATTTATTCATAGATAACATAAGTATGATATCAATGATATTTCATTAACCAATTAATTTTATAATTATATGAACTTGTTACGTAATAATATAGATAGTGATTTTTGTATAATATAAAAGCATGTTTTTAAAAAATAAATACTTGACACGATAAAAATATAAAATATACTAAACTTACCATATCGTCAGGACCTTCACAACTGTGTCTATATGGCATTTCTTCTGGAATAATTTTATTTAACATCATTTCCATGTCATCTCTGACATCAGGGTCCCAACTTTCATTGAGAGCTAAACTTGCCGAAGTATGGAGGACTGAAATATTTGATTGTACATGATTAATGAATAAATAGTAAATTTATATAGATAAGTAGATGAATAAATACTTACTTTGTATGTGACATAAACCGATTGCAAATTGACATAGCTCCGGTACTTGTCGGAGAATCTCTTCAGTAACGAGGTGAACACCACGATGCTGTGGTCGGAGATTAATTTTTTTTTGAAACCATGCTGATCCGATTTGTATTCCTAGATTTGATGAAGCCATAATATATGGATTTAGCTTGAATATCAAAAAACCAAAGAATCCAAATTGTATGTTGGACGTTATACTGGTTTCTTTAAATGTATAATTCACTAAAATGAAGTTTTGATCACTTATGGATTTAATGTAAGTAGAAAATTTGATATATTTATCAAAAAATGATGACTGTGACGATAGCAATAATAACAATATTAATGACAGTAGTATTAAGCAAACGCTCCATTGGGTGGCAACAATTATTTTTAGTGCATATTTCATTTAGATACTTGAGCAATGTAATGGAAATACTTTGAAGTTAAAAAATGCATTTTTTGAAGTTAATAGTATGAATCGATTGTAAAAAAAATAATTCAGTATTCAATAAGTAAGTAGTGATAATTTTATAACCTCGCTCTACAGATATCAAAAAAGGTTAGAAATGATAATGATGAGGCTCATTATTATGGAATCGACAACTGAGTTTTAAGGCGTAAACACAATAATCCCAGTAAAATGCATTTCGTAATTTAGAATAATAATTGGTCGATTAAGATTTCACTAACAGAAATTGCAAGAAAGATAATAACCTGATTGGACAGTTTTATTTGACTGTGTTAGTGAGAGGTTCGTTTATGTTTAAAATTTTGACAACAATAGAACGCCCTCATATCATGGAAATAAATCGAAAATGAAATACATGTTCTTCAAAAATGTTGGTAAGAATGAAAATAGATACGACTGATATGTCGGTAAATCCAAAACTTATATTCTCTGACCGATAGTTGTCGCCTCGGAAAATTGACTGCAGACACGTCTCCAAATTTTAATGCGCATGCGCAGATCAGAGAATAGCGTAAATTTGAAAAATGTAATTATAACTTTTAATCATTGTTGATGAATTTAAAGGCAATCGTGTAAATAAAAACGATGAGAAAAAATTTTTTTGTGAACGTACTTTCGTATATTTCAAAATTATATCATAATAACAGTATAAATTGCATTATAAGTAGCGAAAAGTATTGTAGGTAAACGTTGTTAGCCTAGTTCTGTACGCCTGATAATCGGAGTAGGCGTTAGCCGAGTTTAAATTGCAGCGTTAGTATATATAATTGTGGAGCTTATTCAATTCAAAATGATTTTCACTGGTGAGGAAGATTTTTATGTTATGTGCGGTTGGAGAGAGAAAAGCGTTACAGACTGCTGTCTATGTTATGCAGGCCTATTAGTTTCCGTCGAGTGGCCAATATGATTCCTTTGTAGGAGCGTTCCTATGTACACAGAGTATGTGCAGTCATTTAGATGGACGTTTTAAATGAGCTCCTGTTAGTAGAGTATGTGTTTCTTGATGAGCAGTGTAGTAGTATGATTTTGTAGTAGTAGCAGTCCAAGTAGACGTAGTTTCACGGAAGAACGACCTGAAATACCCCTTTACATTGATAGACTATCGGCGTCTTGGAGAATAGTGTTGTGACATGATTCCTTCGTAGGAAGATAGTAGTGATGTCATGTCTGTGTAGGAACGGTTTATGGTATGAGTAGAATGTGTGCGGATCTGATAGGGAACGACCTAAATTATCATATATTTATTGTAGACTATGCAGTTGTTGTAAAATGGTGTAGCTGTAAGATTCTTCAGTAGGAACGGTTTCACTGGACGTAGATGAGTGCAATTATACTGAACGATGATCCGAATCGATTATTAGTATTTGTAGACTGAGATCAGTGTAGCGCTGTGATTTCTCTGTAGGAATGTTCGAAGCGGGTGTAGATTAGGTGTAGTTGCATTGAAGGATGACTTGAATGACCTCCATCTATTTGTAGACTATGCACATGTAGTAGGAAATCGTAGTGATATGATTTTTGTGTAAGAACGGTCATGTTATGAGTAGAATTCGTGTGATTACGAGTGAGAAATGATTTGAAGTACCGCATAGTTGTATTAGGCTCAGTTTTTCTCGTAGAACAGTGCGGTGATATGGTTCCTTTGTAAGCACAGTCGTTCTGTACGTAGAAGATGTGTAGTTCTACGGAGTTTCTTTGTAGGAACGGTCCCGTTTATGTAGATTATGTGCGGTTTTACGGAGTAACGATCTTAAATACCTTTTATCTTTGTAGACTGGATCTTCCGTGTAGAATGATTAGTATTATGATTTCTTTGTAGGAACGGTCCCTTCTTCGTAGATTACGTGTAGGTGTATAGACTAATGACTTAAATTACCCCGTCTTCTTTGTAGGTTAGGCTTCTTTTGTAGGATGGTTTCGTGATATGATTTTTTTGTAGGAGCGGCTCCTGCTTTGTAGATTATGAGCAGTTTTGTAGAATGACGATCTAAATCGCCTCCTTCTTTTTGTAGACTGGACTCTTCCTGTAGAACGGTCAGTGATATGATTCCTTGTAGAAACGGTCCCTTTTTCCGTAGATTATGTGCAGTTTTGTAGAATGAATACCTAAATTACCCCCTTTTTCTCGTAGACTGGACTCTTCCTGTAGAACGGTTCAGTGATATGATTCCTTTGTAGGAACAGTGCCGACAGAAGCATTTATCATACTAAGTCTCTAGTATCTAGATCCTCTAGTCTCTATAAGAGACTAGAGCCTAGAGACTAGAGACTAGTATGATGAAATGCTGTCTGTCGCACTGTTCCTACAACAGAAACAAATCATATCGCTGACACCGGTCTACAAGGTGGAGAGGCCCGTCTACAAAAAGAAGATAGGGTGACATTTAGTCGTTCCTTCGTAAAACTGCACATAATCTACGAGAAGGGGGACGTTACTTACAAAAGACAATCGTATCTCACTAACACCGTTCTAACAGGAGAGTCCGGTCTCTACAAGGCAAAAAGGGTAATTAGGTCGTCATTCTACAAAACTGCACATAATCTACGAACAGAGCGACCGTTCCTACAAAGGAATCATATCACTAGAAAACACATTCTACGAATAAGAGCATGGTCTACAAAACAACAAAGCTGGGGGTATCGATCCTGCTCACTACAACGACTACCAGCGTAAATCTACGTCCAGCGCAACTGTTCTAAAGATAAGAAATCATAGTCACTACACATAAGCTACGGCAGGAGGGACACGTTGCTACGCAGGTATCATATCACTTCGCTGTTCTGCAAGACAACCATACTCTACATAACATTCAAGGTACTTCCAATCATTATTTTTTCGTGACGGTCCATGACTCCTTACGTCCACTTGGACGTGTTTGCGCAAAGGAAAGTCGTGACCAGTTACAGAGGGCGGCGAGAAGCGTAGGGGCCTACTACAATGAACTGCCACGACATTTATGGTGAGTCACACTCTCAACTGAACACATTCTTCTAACGGGCGCCGTTTCCAAACCTGTTTCCAGGCCAACAGAATCAAAAGACCTCATATCACCAATTACTCGAGAGCAGTTAAGGTCTTTTCCACGTTTTACGACAAACATCTACGTCAACATAATCTGTTTCCACTACAGAGAACTACTTACATCAGTCGCCGCCGCTCTACCGTTATACAACACTGTGGTCTACGTTACCTACGGCCAGTCCACAAACACGTCGCTTCTCTCGTCTCGAACCCAACATCTCTTCTGCATCCGTCTGCTCTATTTCCACATAGAAATTATTCTACACTACATACCTTGCTCTATAAGAACATACCCTCATCTTCCAACCCCTTGTCCCTGTCTACCTCGGACACACGGCCGCCGACAGCATCAACCAACCGTCGCCACACACAACAGCCCGGGCTGGCGTACAGCCACGAGCCGGACAGGAGCGTACAGGCCAACGGGCCGCACAGACCTCAACAACTCCCTAAGCTTAACGACCCAGCCTATACGGAATCCGTCTGATCAAGTTGCTTAAAAAACGGTTTTCAATTACCTGCTCTCCTCAGACCAATACCTGTTCTCTTTTTCAAACTTATCGCACTTGCAACGGCCGGCTGACTCCTCACACACTCCCATCCAGCTACGACGGCCGCGGGATGGCGACAAATGCACAAGTCGCGACTGTCGCTGTGCATGGCAAACAACAGTTCCTAAAGTCCTATGATGGTCATGCTACGTGCGGCAGCAAAGACGCTATGAGATAGAAGTCGGAAGCTCGCGATATGGCGCGGAGGTTCCGAAGTATGAAGAGCCGTTTGGTAAACGGGTAGCGTCGCGGACCCGCCATGGCAGGTACTGCGCTGCGTCGTTTAACTTCGCATTCTGCACTCTTGTCAATACCCACATCAACAACAAACATATCAATACACTCGTGAAAACACCGGCTGTCTTATTTCCACTACTCACACTGCATCAGTTCCAGCATCACCCAACGAGTATGTGTCGAGTACACAGAAAATACCACCAAAAAGAAAATTGCATTCATCTCTATCATACATTACTTACACTGCATACTGGGATATTCACAAAAATAATCACTTCGGCATAACATATTTTTATAAAATTCCTTTATTACCACTTAAAATCACATTGCTTAAAATTTACATTCAATATAATCTCTTTTTTAATGTTACATTTATTCCAGTTATACTATTATAGTATGTTACCTTTCTTCATTGGTTGTTATATATCGTATGCCTTCGCTTGTTTCCGCACAAAGAAGACATAACTTACTTCACGGGCTCACAGTAAGACATACATCCTACAATACGCCTTTCATTCTTACTAGTAAATCATTACACTGAAACTATGTATCAGTCAGAGTTTTTGGTTTTCACGGACGGAATGTTGCATTGATTGTATTTGAATATAGCAAAACTAATTATTTATCGAAAACAACATTTTATGGACGGATTTTAGACATCATGTTATCTTTGAATGATATAAAATAACAATAATAAACTACAAATTGTCATTGCAGTCGGTGTTTCTCTTCTACTTGAATTACATCCATCTGTTGAACAAGTAG